CCCTGGTGCTACACCACGTCTCGCGGCTGGCGATACCGAACCCAACCCAGAAGCTCCAATCATCCACTTGCGGCCGGGCGAGCTTCCGGCCCGTGGGCTCGACTTGTCCGCGTGCAAGTCGTCCCCTTCCAGCCGTGGTACGGAGCACAGATAGACGGCTGCCGGGCCCCGGCTCGCGAGCCATGGCCAAGAGATGGGCCGGCAGCGGGAGAGTCTCCCGACAAACGATTCGTGCCCCGTGTCCTCCTGCGTGGCTGGGCCGTCTCCGTGCTTCCGTCCCAGCGGGCGTCGTCCAGGCCAGTGGCCAGCGAAGTCCAAAGCACGCGCGTCGTGTCGTCGACACGGTGTGCCCATGCGACGAGCCTCGGCACCGCGACAACTTACAAGCGCCGTCTGGGAGGCAGGCAGGCAGTCCGTGTAACCAGGGAGAGGTCCCTGGCTCCCATGCCATGTGCCATGCGTCACTCCCATGCCGGAAACGTTGTGATGCGCAAGACCAGACCTGGCTCGTAGGGCGACCAATCCAAACGGGATCCGCCCGTCTGGGAACGTCTGTGGTTCCCGAAGCCGAAGCACGCACGCACAGACAGACAGACAGACAGATAGACAGACAGAGACGAGGCCAGATGCCAGATGCTTCGCGTGGACAGCGCAGAGCTCGCGTCGGCTCCCTGGCATGCACCCTTCTCCTTTGGGCGCATGGCGTGGCTGGGAAAGGAAACGAGCTCCGCGAAAATTTCTACCACGCAGCGCCCCGGCCGGGCTCGTCGTCTCGCAGTCGACGCGCCAGGGTATCGTGATACGCGCCGCTCCCCTTTTGGGTTTTGGGGGGGGAATCAGTCAAACAAGACGTGGCGCCGTCGTCATGGATGCGCGTGAGTCTACTCCGTGCTGGTACGTATGGCGAGTGTGGTGAGACCAGTCCACGAGCCCAGCTCATCTGTTCGGGTTACGTCCGGGAAGATTCGACACGTCTCTCTCTGCAGCTACTCTTCTTCCGTGAGTCCGTGACTGAGCATGGAGCATGGTCTTGGGTTCGGCCCCCCGGCGAGAGTGTTTCACTTTTATTCACGGCTTGCGCAGTAACCTGTAGGGTCTAGATACAACTTGTCCCGCAGATGCAAAGAAACCTGATGCCCTGGTGCCTCGACGGGCAGAGCCGATACGACCCTCGCGCAGGCCATGACCGGCATGACCCGTGCCAAGGGACCGCTCTCGAGACGGTCGTCAGTCGTCACCGCATTACTTGGCTCGCCTGGATGGCGCCCCCTGCGCCCCCTCCTGCTTGGCTTCCAGGGCCGTCAAGACCGTCACTCCTGCTTCGAGCACCAGCCCGAGGCTTTGCCATGCTTTCTCCTCCGACGTTGATGCCCGCTGCTGCGGAGCGCTGTTGGCCTCCTTCGCTCCGGTGCGAGCTCGCGTCCCGGCAGCACCGCCCTTGCCAGAGCTGGGAGGGGCGCCTTTGCGCGTTTGGCTTGGAGCTTTTCTGCCCGTCTCGGTCTCGGTCTTGGTCTTGGATTCGGCGTAGCTGCGTCCGGCTTCGAGCAGCACGCGGCCGACTCTGCTGCTGCCGCCGGTTCGTGCAGCTTTGTCGCCGTCCTTGACCATCTCGGCGGCGATGCTTTCCGCAACCTTGACGGCCAGGGGGATGAGTGGCGCGAGTTTGTTGCTCATGTCTGCGGGAGCCCTGTGCTGGTTGGCTAGGCCACCGACCGTCGTTGATGTCGCTGGGATGTGGTGATCTGATATCAAAGTGCGCGTGGGCCTGAGGCGTGGCCGACGGTTGCGAATGTCAGCGGCATGCTTCTTTCCCGGCGGCGTGTATCGATATATACTCGGGTCCTGCGGGCACAACCGACCCTTTCAAGGAGACGGCCGGTAGGTGACCACGACGATGCGGACAAACATGTGACAAGGGCGTCCAAAGATGCTCAAAGACGGAGCTTGCCGTGGACGCCGTGGGTGGTTTGCTGCGGGCACAAAAGACAGCTTTGTGGCGAGCCCGGCCGTGGTCTTGAAAGTCGGCTGCTGGGGAATTCTCGCCACAAACAGCCTTCGGCCTCCATTTCTTGTCGGCATTGTCTCGCGTCTCGCCTAGGTAGATGCGTGAAGCGCCGCCCCCGTGCAGAAAATCCCACCGTCTGGTTCTGCACACATGTCCAACACGGGGACAACGAGGCACGGCGGTGCTTTTGCGCAACTCCCATTCTTCCGTCAAGCGACGTGCCTCGGGGCCACGGCGCGTTCAGCAGTAATGGCGCCTCGTGTATCCAAACAGCCAGCACACACCCACCGCGCAACGTCTTGATCCCGCGTCCTCGCTCCTATTTCACGGCGAAAAAGCCTGCATGCGGCCTTTCACGCCTCCTGCTACCCTATGTGACGTGTTCGGCCCGTGGGCAAGCTGAGTCGCGGCCAGGTGCTACTGCAAAAAGCTCATGTTCGCCCGGATTGCTCCAGCCTTGCGCCCTCTGCGTCGGCAACGCGCTGCCCAAGCAAACCTATAAGAAGGATGAAGCGACAGTCTCGTGTTCCTATTTCCCTTGCAGCCAAAAACCGTCGTATGGGCTACTTCACCACTCTCTAGTTTTTCCACAACTGACGATCCATACGTACAGGACAACATGGACCCTCAGGCTCCCGCAAAGAGTTTCGCAGAGACTACGTGGCACAGCATTCACGTGCCCCGACCGCCGGCGACGGATTCGCAACCAAAGCAGGCAAGCTCTCGTGATCGGGGCAACCAACGCCGCCGACAGCGAGCCCGCGTTTCCAGGTGTGAAAGGACGAACTGTTTACCCAAAGACTGGCCCACCAAGTCGGTGATCCTATCTGGCCCCTTGGGAGACACCGACCCCTTTTCTGAAAAGTCACACCCTCGTCGTGAGTGCCCAGATCTCGGTCCAAGCAGCACATCACATCGACAGACGGGCTGTGAATCCCATCACACGGAGAGTAGTTGCCGGCCCGGGCCCCAAAACTCCGGCAGAGCCAACAAGGGCCTTCGAAGGCAGCGGCGCCGTCGTCGTCAAGCGAAGCTTCTCGGAAACAACAGCGCAGAATCTCGGCGCGACCCGGTCGTTGATCTGACGAAGAGCATGGCGTCTGTCACGACCCGGCAACCGCTGGGTGTAGCGGCGGGAAAAGAAAACGAGAACAAAGCTAATGGTAGGCCAGCAGAGCAGACCATTCTCTTTAGCAATGTGCATGCTGACGAAAATTGGCAAGCGGACGAAACGAGTGCAAAGCCTTAGCTGCCACAACGTCGCGCTCGCAGCCGTGTTGCTTGATGCGCCGTCGAGCCCCGTTGCAAACGGAACGGCATCTCGTATTGTGCCCGTGGGGGTGCTTTGATTCCGCAGCTTCGCCGGTGTTTTCCACTACATAGTGATTCTTGTCCCAGAACGAGAGGTTGGGATCGTGAGTCGGGACATCAAGGGGATCGATCGGGTGTGGCAGGATAATTCCGTCGTCTTCATCATAACCAACAGCTGGAGAGGTAGATTCAACGTCATCCCACAATAGAGGAGTCTTTGTTTTCTTTGCTTTTCAGCGAATCCATCCCTTCACACATCACTGTGGCCCGTCCGGTTGGAACCTTGCCGCCTGCATGTCTTGCCCATCCCAGCGTCAAGGTGTCAACGCTGCGTCCGCGCCTGGGAAGAAGAAACGCTAGACAGACACATGACGGTAAGGAAGAATATGCATTCGCGGTACAGCGGTCTTGTGGCTCCCAGCAAAATGTACCTGTAGCTCAGCGCGTCGCCAAAAACTCTGCAATGTCGTGTCTCGTACCCTTGTATCTGCCATGCTTAGCACCACCCAGTAAATGCCGCAAATCATTCTGATATCCCCATCCCAAGAACGCCAGATATGCTGACTGACGTGCATGGCACTGATCGCGCGCTTCTGCATCGTCGTGGAAAAGACGGAAAAGACCATACCCTAGCAGGTACGAGAAACATGATTCCCCCCCGCTTGAAACAAAATTCAGTCGTCCCACTCCTCATCCAACTGGTCAATGAGTCGGTTTTCTGCATCCGAGTTTCGGTTTCGAGAACTCGAGCCGAGATGACTGTAGCCTCGTCGGCCAGGGAGACACCTTGCGCATGAGGAGAATGCAATAACGAACATATCCTGGGGGTCACGGTTAGCGCCCTGCACCATCGGGGTCTCGGGGAATGCGACGCACACTCAAGAAAGACCAAATACCTGCCCACAAACTATAATTCGGCAACTGTCGCCATCCCCGTGCGTTGGTGACGGCTCGATTATAGAAGACGCCGCCCAGCACGTATACGAGGAACGCGACCACCAGGATGATGCCAAACACACTGCCGGGGCCGACACTTCCTGGTTTGTGTGGTTCTGCTTGCGCACATGCATGGCTGGAGCGGCCTTCGAAAAAGTACGAACATTCGTCCTCGTCGACCCCAACGAATGATATGCTCGCTTGGGAGCTGGTGGGGTCTCGGTCGCAAAGAAAGGAAATCGTCGTCGACTTTCTTCGCGATGGCTCCTCCTTCGCCTCCTTGTCTTCTTTCAACGTCTCCACCTCGTGAGGCTGCCTGGTCAAAGACGACTCCTTGTTCGCACGCCTGTCGTTGGTCGAGTGCGATGGAGGGCTCCGGCTACGCCTGGTCGACTTGGAGGCACCACACGGCGAGCCACCGGTATATTGCAAGACCAGCTTGCGGCCACGACTCTTCAAGTCCATCGATGCGGAGCTGAAGGTCAAAGGTTAGCATCATGAAATATTATCGTTCCGATCCGACAGCTCGCTAGACCAACCCTATAGAATAGACGTTTCCATGAGACGTATAGTATGCGCTGACATTGGCCCATTGGCTCTTGGAGACTCCAACCACCTCTGTTACGTGGTCCACGACTGGTGCGCATATGTTGAGAGTAAAGTTCTTGCCGTAATCATATCCTCTGGAGTGGTAGTCCTTCGCAAGGCCCGTCTTGTGCTGCTTCCCCTTTTCGGGAGCGTGAGCTGTGTCGGGACGCAGATCGAAGAAACCGCCGCCAGTTCCGGATGACGCGGTCGCAGTACATGCCGGCGCATGGGTGGTTGATGATGGGGCTTCTTTTGCTGCAGCAAATGAACCGACTACCAGCACCGGGCTAAATAAACTTGCTCGCATCTTGTAGAGGATAAGGGAACGATCGCGGCTCGACGGAAAGGAAAGCGGTCAGCGAATTTGAATGAGCGCTCACGGCGCGACGAAAAAGTACGGTCGGAATGGAGCCGTGTCATCAATTGCTGACTGAACATTGACCGAGGAGATGAAACCGAGTGAGTTTGAAGCAAGGCCTCGCGCCAACCCAAACCGCAAGTTGTAGTGAAAAAATGGTGCAGGTTGAAGACTGGAAGCCACTAAGCTCGCCGTCGATGGGGAGGTTTCTTCGAGGTTGCGACAACTGGCCACATCTACGGAGTACAAGTGGGCGAATAAGCTCCCTCCTCCGCAACTCTGTACGCGTAGGGAAGGTGCGATCATAAAGCTTCTGCGCTTGGCGTCTCCACATGGGCCGCATGATGTACGTACGTACTCCGTACCTGCTGCTGCTGGACTTGCATGTTCCACCGGCCCGGCAAAATAGTTCATCCATTTACCTGGCTCATTTTGGCTAATCTCCCCGAGAGAGAGTTCCATGCTGTCATTGAACTGGCCCTGAGCTTTATTAAGTTTGCGACCTGCATCGGCTTCACATCGCATACTCCGTCGCGACGCCCTGGAGCTGACGTCGCACAGTTTTCTGAAGCCCTCTTGTCGACTCTGAACAGGCTCTAGTCTAGATCTTCGGATTCCCGCTTCGCCGCTGGCCAACCAGCTCTCTTTCTCTAAGCTCTCGAATCGCGTCGCGCTCAGCAAGTACTCATCGCCTGGTTTCCGCCGCAAGATGCCCTCATCAAAGACTGCTGCCAAGTCTGCAGCTCCGGCTGGGCACGGCTACGAGTTCTTCGGCCCGTAAGTCATCCAAGGCACTGGTATACTCGAGCTGCTTCTGATTGTTGCCTCATCAGCCCGGGTGCCTTTGGCATCTCGTTTGGTCTGCCCATTCTCGTCTACGTCTTCACCTTTGCGTGCAACGACATCTCGGGATGCCCCGCGCCATCGCTCCTGAGTCCTCGCTCCTTGTCACTCGAACAGTTGAAGGTCGAAGTGGGCTGGCCGCAGAATGGAATATGGGGTCTCGCCAGCTGGAAAGCAACTGGCGGCGTCCTTGCCTACTACTTGCTGAACCTCATCTTATACCGCGTTCTGCCTGCGACCGAGGTAGACGGAACTGTCTTGAGCTCCGGCGGACGTCTCAAGTACCGATTTAACAGTACGTAGTTGCACGCGGCTCCCAACTTGTCCGAGTCCCCAAACCGCTAATGGCCCGGTAGCCTTGTACTCCAACACGGTTACTTTGGCCGCCCTCGCAGCTGGAACTTTGGCTCGGGGCGCCGAGTTTCCCGTATGGGTCTTTATCAGCGAGAATTACCTCCAGATTCTGACGGCCAACATCGCAATCGCTTACGCAATCGCCACTTTCGTCTACGTCCGTAGCTTCAGCGTCAAGCCCGGAAACAAGCAACATCGTGAGCTTGCCGCCGGCGGCCACACCGGCAACTTGCTCTACGACTGGTTCATTGGCCGCGAACTCAACCCCCGCGTCACCATCCCCCTGATTGGCGAAGTTGATCTCAAGGAGTGGTGTGAGTTGCGACCCGGCATGATGGGCTGGATCATTCTCAACTGCGCCTGGTGTGCTCAGCAATACCGCAACTTTGGCTTCGTCACCGACAGCATCATCTTCATCACGATTGTGCAAGCGCTGTACATCCTGGACTCGTGGTGGTTCGAGCCCGCAATCCTAACGACCATGGACATCACCACGGACGGTTTTGGCATGATGCTTGCCTTTGGCGATCTCGTCTGGGTGCCCTTTGTCTACTCGACGCAAACCCGATATCTTTCCGTCCACCCGCTGTCGCTCGGTCCCGCCGGCCTCGCAGGTACCCTTTCGCTCATCGGCCTCGGCTTCTACATCTTTCGTTCTGCCAACAACCAGAAGAACGCGTTCCGTACAAACCCCAACGACCCCAGCGTCTCCCACCTCAAGTACATGGAGACCAAGGCCGGCAGCAAGCTTCTGGTCAGTGGCTGGTGGGGCATCGCCCGTCACATCAACTATCTCGGTGACTGGATCCAGTCCTGGCCATACAGTCTCCCCACCGGACTTGCTGGCTACCAGATTCTGGCTGCTGGTGCCGGCGCCGCCGGCCAAGGCGCCCACGTCATGAAGGATGGCCGGGTCGTCATCCAGGGCAACGCGCGAGGCTGGGCCATCCCCATCACCTACTTCTACGTTGTGTACTTTGCGGTCCTGCTCATCCATCGTGAGCGGCGGGACGACGAGAAGTGCCGTCGCAAGTACGGCGACGACTGGGAGAAGTACAAGAAGATTGTGCGCTGGAGAATCATTCCCGGCGTATACTAGGCAGGCGCCCGCGCAAACGCAGAATCAAAAGCCTCAAATGTCTCGGCTGTCCAAGGGTGAAGAGTGAAAGGGTTAAAGCGGGAGTCGGGGTTCTGGTGGATGGTCGGGGCGAGTTTTTCATTGCGAGCTTTTCTTCCCCATGGCCGTAGTTTTTACGCGACGTGCACTGAACGCTGTCGGAAATGCAAGGAGGCTTCGGGCCGTGATGATGCACGAAAACAAGTGTCCATGCCGGACATGGGGTAGTCAACGTCACGAATATATATATATATATATATATATATAAATATATACGGAGTATATGCACGTGTATACGATGTTGCACCATGCTATGCGCCGGGCAACGAAGTCGCATCAGAGCAACTGCCAATAGAGTCCTTAGCAGCTCGCTGCACATGACAATCTGCGCCAGTCGGAGACAAGGTTCCGAACGCTGAGATCTGAGATGTCAACTAGACTCCAGGGTTTGGGACCGCAGCCACGTCTGTGTTGTGGATTTTGCGTATACTTGATTTACGTGTTTACCTGAGCAGGAACGGGCACAGGGCCCATGGCCCATGTACATGAGGCCTTGCCGGGATAACCTACCAGGACATGTCTCTCGGCCTACGAAACATGCACCTCGGCGCTCGGCGGAGCCGCCGGAAGATTTTGCTCACCGGGTCGGAATCGGGGGTTGACAGGTTGACCCGCGAGCTGTTATACTCGGTTCTCTTCCACGGTTTCTACTGGTCTCGTGTGAGGGTGGGGTATCCATGTTTCGCCGGGAGAATTGCCACCGGGCTTGTTCTCGGTTCGCTGGAGGGCTTCCCCGTGGGAGGGGCGGAGAAAATCGTGGACCATCCATGCCACTGTATGACGACGATGCAGCCCTCTCGGTGGTCTGTCCCGGACTCCCGGTGGCCATTTCTTGCTTGGCACTACCGAATACGCTTGGGGTAAAGAAACCAGGATGGGGGATGACGGCGGCGGCCAAGTCGCGGTTCAAATGTTGCTTCCCGGCTTGTCAGCGTCAATCTAGACAAAGGGCCCGTCGTGAACGAGCGAAGGGTCTGGGAGATTCAAACTTGAAAGAGTGCGAACGGGCCGAAAGGAGTCTGGTGCAGGCCAGCTGGGTGGCATGGCCGCGCTTCGAGGCAGGACAAGATTGCGGGGAAAGGGCAACAAGAATGCGGAGTTCTCGTACTGATGAGACCAGACTACTAGTTGACATGCGAAAGCCTCTGCTGGCTGTTCTTTGACTAGTGACGGTTGGGGATGGCACATACGGAGGACTCGCCGCAGGCAGGTCAATGGTAATTTCGGTGCCATGTCCAGGTCGGTGTCAGCGTCAGCTGAACCGGGGCCGCGCAGTACACGGCGGCCGTGGCGTGGTGACGCGAACCAGATTGCTGTTTCAAGCATGATGGTTTTTTTTTGGTTTTTTTTGGGTGCCAATACGTAGTCTCTTTCGTCGTAATAATGGCGATGCGCCTGGGTTCACTGCTCTGTGGCTCAGCCAAGGAAGACCGTTGTCGGAGAGCGATGGCCAGGAGATGGGTGGCCAAGGGTGAGTGTGCATGCTGGCAAAGCGAGCATACAACAATACCAGCCTGTCTCATTCTACTGGGTGCGTCTGTTGTGTTTGTTGTTGTTGTTGTTGTTGTTGTCATTGTCGTCATTGTAGTTGTTGTTGTTGTTGTTGTTGTTGTTGGCATGCAAACCAGCCCCGCATCGGCAGCTGCCTGGTCCGGTGTCAGCAGCTGCCAGCGACCCGCAGTGAAAGACGCACTGGGTGCTGGAATAAGCACGGCATAGTTAGGTACTTGCCTGGCCTACATACCACGGCGTGGTACGGAGTACATGCTAAAAGTACAGGGCACTCGTCTAATTTGTCACTGCTTCCAGACCGTCGTCATGGCTTGCCTCGCACGGCACCCGAGTCCGGACAAGGCCATCATCAATGAACGCATGCATGCATCTTGAGCACGACGATCCGCTGGTTTGATGCTAGTACCACTTGCCACTTGCCACCGCAAGGCCCTTGGACCGGTTCCCCATTAGCCCATTCTCTATCAATCAATTATCAAGCGGCTCGTACTCGCGACTCCACACGTCCGTGAGGCACCCGTCTGGTCCCAAAGTCAAATGCCGGTACGTACCAACAAGTTGCCAACTGCAACGAATTACTCCGTACGGAGTAGGCACATGTTCATCGCTGCAACATGCACTTCACGACCTCTATTCGGCCACCAGGCTTGTAACTACCAACGAGAACTCGGCATCGTACAACAGCACTCGCGTCCGTCGCACTCGGGCGAGCTCCCAAGTTGCTCCATGCTGCTCGAGGGGGGCAGAGGGGTTTTGCCGTGATCACCGATGGCACTGTTTACTTGTTGCTATCTGCACGTCACCCTTGCTTGAATATGTACTTCGCATCCAAGACATGCATTAATTGCGGCCATGCACGGCGTAATAGGAACTACAGTAAACCATGTCTATAACGATCCTGTGTTATAGCGAAATTCGGGTTTTTACGATAATTCACAGTCATCTAAGGTTTTTCCCTAGTAAATTATTAATAGTCGTGTTACTAACAATATCGTTGACTTTTTGCTTAGTCACTATACATTTTATCGTTATAAGGCCCCACTTTTATTGGCTTAATTCCTTATAGTGGGGCGGGATTTCCTTATAGTGGGGCTGAAATTCCTTATAGCAGGGCGGAATTTCGCAAATATGTACTTTATACTAGTAATTTCCAGGGGAAGGTACAAGCCCCATAATAGTCGCATCTTAACGATAGTCGCTATATGACGATGAAAAAAGCCACACGAAGGATATCGTTATAGACATGGTTTACTGTAATGCCTAGTACTTGAGTACCTAGTGTGCATAACCCCTGCCCCGTGCTCGGCATCAATGAGTACTAGTCGTTGGTAGAATGAATCATTCATGGAAGTTACCAAGTACTTACCTAGGTACTTAAGGTACTTAGCGAACTGGCCGCTCCTGCAGTTCCACCTCGACAACTACGGAGTACAGGAGAGAGACTTTCAAGGCTCCCAGGTGTAGGCACACAAGCCTAGGAGTCCACAAGCCTAGGAGTCTAGGTGGGCTCGATGCATAGACGGATGCACACAGAGTACTCCGTCCGTACACATGCTGGTACTGCCGCAGACGGCATCGCTTCAGAACCTCGGGAGGTCCGTTCACGCCCATCGCGGGGACCATGACGACTGTGCCATGGCCCATCCTCCCCCTCCCCCGGCCGCGTTTTCTGTCACCTCGTCGACGCTGTCGACGTTGCCCGACAGACCGAGACCTCTGCTGCGCCCAATCTCGTCTAGTTATATCAAGCCCACGTTGCCCGCCATTCTCTTGAGTGAATCGCACGGTGTCTTCTGAGGCAGGTCGTCCCTGTCAACTTGAGTCCGCGACTCTGTTCCTTGCCCACGCAGACGAGAACATCGGCTGGAAACGACCAAGACCAACGCCAGCTCAACATCGTCACGTCACCGTCACCATGAAGCCGCTGTCCGTGTTTGCGGCGCCGCTGCTCACTGCTGTGGCAGACGCTGCCCCGTCGGCTCCTGAATCCTCCCACAAGGTAAGGAGCTTGCTCTGATCAGTTGGAGCACGAGATCACGGCCACTTGTTCTGATCTCTGTTGCTATCTTTTTTTTTTGCATTCTGCGTCATGCTTCCACCCCGTGTATGCAGCGTCAAACCAAACAAATTTTTCATTTTTTTTTTCCTCCTTCGTCGGGCCTCCGATGCGCCGACATGACCCCAATTAATGCATCGGAATGTCATATCCACATGCCCACTTTTCCACCAGCCATCCGTGGGGTCACCCGTGCCTGGCCTGTGTGTGGGGGGAAAGATGATCTTGGATCCACAAGAGGCTGCTGAATCATCCTGGCAGTTCTACCACTGCTCCCGCTTTTGACCGTTTCTACAGCTTCGCTACTGACACCCAGGTCTCTAAGGTCCCTTTACAGCTCGACGTCCGAGCCGAGTTGGCCGCCTCCCCTCCTCACTATCCGTCGCCATGGATGAACCCACAGGCGCCTGGCTGGGAAGACGCATACGCAAGGGCCAAGGCCTTTGTGTCGCAGATGACTCTTGTCGAAAAGGTCAATTTGACGACAGGCACTGGGTGAGTCCGCGAAGCCCACGGCGGCCCTCGCATCGACCACAGCACTTGTACTTACGCACCTGGACATCAGATGGATGAGCGACAATTGCGTTGGCAATGTTGGAGCCGTCCCGCGATTGGGTCTCCGAGCTCTGTGCATGCAGGACGGTCCGTTAGGCATTCGCTTCTCCGACTACAACAGCGCTTTCCCCGCCGGCATTACTGCTGGCGCGACATGGTCCGAGTCCCTTTGGAGGGCCCGTGGCAAGGCAATGGGTTCCGAGTCCAAGAGGAAGGGCGTTGATGTGGTTCTTGGTCCCGCTAGCGGCCCTCTTGGCCGTGCCCCTACCGGCGGCCGTAACCCCGAGGGATTCGGAAGTGATCCTTACCTTCAGGGCAAGGGCCTCGCCAACACCGTTGTTGGTATTCAGGATGCGGGAGTCATTGCCTGCGCCAAACACTTCATCGCCAATGAGCAGGGTACGAGGCCAATCTCGCTCTGCTTGGGTTGACCGTTGGGGGTCCTTGAACTGACTGCGTCATAGAACACTTCCGACAAGTTGGCGAGTCCACTCCGCGGGGGTTCAACATTTCCGAGAGTCTATCTTCCAACCTCGACGACAAGACCCTGCACGAAGATTATGCTTGGCCATTTGCCGATGCAGTCAGGGCTGGCGTCGGTTCCATCATGTGCTCCTACAACCAGGTCAACAACTCCTACGCGTGCCAGAACTCCAAGCTCCTCAATGGCGTTCTCAAGGACGAAATGGGCTTTCAGGGATTTGTCATGAGTGACTGGCAGGCTCAGCACGCGGGTGCCGCCACCGCAGTCGCTGGTCTCGACATGAGCATGCCCGGCGACACAGAGTTCAATACCGGCTACAGCTACTGGGGCGGAAACTTGACTCTGGCCGTCATCAACGGCACCGTGCCCGCCTACCGTGTCGACGACATGGCCATGCGAATCATGGCTGCTTTCTTCAAGGTCGGCATGACTCTCGGCGAGCAGGTCCCGACCAACTTCAACTCATGGACCCGCGACACTTTTGGCTACCACCATGCCGCCGCAAGGGAGAACTGGGAGCAGGTCAACTTCCAGGTCGATGTCCGCGACGACCATGCCGCCCACATTCGCGAGTCTGCTGCCAAAGGAACCGTCGTCCTCAAGAACACCGGATCCCTGCCGCTGCACAAGCCCAAGTTCCTTGCTGTCATTGGCGAGGATGCTGGGCAGAATCCCAAGGGTCCCAACGGCTGCGAAGACCGCGGATGTGACGACGGCACCTTGGCCATGCTCTGGGGCTCCGGCACCTCGCAGTTCCCTTATCTCATCACCCCCGACAGTGCGCTCCAGCGTCAGGCCATCGAGGACGGCTCTCGATATGAGAGCGTCCTCAGCAACTACCAATGGGCGGCTGCTCAGAAGGTCGTCGCCCAACCCAACGTCACCGCCGTCGTTTTTGTCAACGCACACAGCGGGGAGGGCTACATCGACGTTGACAACAACGCCGGTGACCGCAAGAACCTGACCCTGTGGAAGAATGGCGACGATTTGATCAAGAACGTTTCCTCCATCTGCCGCAACACGATTGTTGTCATGCACACTGTTGGCCCCGTTCTCGTCACCGACTGGTACCGGAACCCCAACATTTCTGCCATTGTTTGGGCCGGTCTGCCCGGGCAGGAGTCTGGCAACGCCATCACTGACATCCTCTACGGCAAGGCCAGCCCCGGACGTTCTCCGTTCACCTGGGGTCCAAGTCGAGAGAGCTACGGCACCGACGTCCTGTACAAGCCCAACAACGGCAAGGGTGCCCCTCAGCAGGACTTCACCGAAGGTTCCCTCATCGACTACCGCCACTTTGATCGGGTTGCGCCCAACAAGAGCAGCCCCGGTGCTCCCATTTACGAATTCGGCTTTGGCCTGTCGTGGTCCACTTTCGAGTACTCCAACCTCAAGGTCGAGAAGCACAATGCGGGCCCCATGTCGCCGCCCGAGGGGAAAACGATGGCCGCCCCGACGTTTGGCCGCCACAGCACCGACCTCAAGGACTACGCCTTCCCCCGGTCCGTTCGCTACATCAGCCAGTTCATCTACCCCTGGCTCAACACGACCGCCTCTGCCAAGGAGGCGTCGGGCGACCCTCGCTTTGGCCAGACTGCGGAACAATTCCTGCCGCCCGGGGCCGCGGACGGGTCGCCCCAGCCCAGGCTCGCGTCTTCCGGCGAGCCCGGCGGCAACCGCCAGCTGTGGGACACCATGTACACGGTCTCGGCGACAATCACCAACACGGGCAAGCGCGTGAGCGACGAAGTTGCCCAGCTGTACATCAGCCTCGGCGGCGAGAAGGAGCCGGTACGTGTCCTCCGCGGCTTCGACCGCATCGAGGGCATCGCGCCCGGGCAGCGCGTCACGTTCCGCCACGACATCGCGCGGCGCGACATTAGCAACTGGGACACGGTGTCCCAGAACTGGGTCGTCACCAAGGCCCCCAAGAAGGTGTTTGTCGGGAGCAGCTCGAGAAACCTCGCCCTGAGCGCGGACCTCGACTGAAGGGGACAGGCGGAGAAGCGAACAAGATGTCGCGACAGATGTACATATAGAAGACTAGGTACATAACCCCAAGAATGACGCACGCCCCCAAGAGTCGAGACTGCGTGAAGGCGACTGTCTGTTGCGAACTGCAGCCGAGCCCACGAGGTATGTCTCGCTGGACGCCGACACTTGTCTGCGCTTGTAGTTATTGTCATGTCTGGTGGCCGCAGTGTGTGTGCAACGTCTGATCCGTAGCAGCAGCAGAGAGCGGGTAAGCCCCAACCCCTGTTTTAGTTAGGGCCAAGTCTTCAGCGGGCCCGTGGACCCACGACAGGCGGGGTCGACGGATGGGGTGTGGGCCCTGGGGAAGAACGGGGCAGGTTGGCTCGGACGGGATTACTCATCGGTCGTCAGTCATGACGCGGCGGTCAGGGCGGCGTCGACGTCGACGTCTATTGCGGACTACCAGCTACTGCTACTGCTAGCGCTACTGCTACTGCTACTGCTACTGCACTGCCACTAGGGTGCTGCTGCTGCTGCTGCTGCTGCTGCTGCTACTGCCACCGCTACTGCTTGTCCCTGTTCGTCAAGCTCACGCGCTGCTGCCCGCCGCGAGCGTGGTGCCAATGTCGGCCGTGTTAGCGGCGAGCTGGTCGAGCAGGAGCACCTTGAGCCAGGTGGGCCAGGCGCGGACGCCCGACAGCACGGCCTGGTGCTCGGGGATGATGAGCTGGGCGGCGCGGCGGCTGAAGATCTGGTCGGCGACGAGGGCGGCGACGTCGTCGGGGGCCAGCATGCGGATGCCGCCGCGCTCGAGGTGGTGGCCAAAGTCGCGGACGAGCGGGGTGCGCACAAAGTTGGGGTGGGCGATGGAGGCGAGGACGCGGTCGGCGCCGTGGACGTGCCGGAGCTCGACGGCCAGCGACTCGTGGAAGGACAGGGCGGCGGCCTTTGTCGCGGCGTAGTCGGCGCCCTTGGGGAGGGGGATGAAGGAGGCCATGCTGGCGACGGTCATGACGTGGCCCTTGTTGGCGGCCACCATGTGCGGGAGGAACTGCTGGGCCAGGGTCCAGTGCGAGAGGCAGTTGACGCCGAAGATGCGGCGCAGGAAGTCGTGGGGCATGTCGAGGATGGCCAGGGGCCTCGTGATGCCGGCGTTGTTGACCAGGATGGACGGGTGGCCGAGGTCGTTGCGGATGGCGGCGGCGGCGGCGGCCACGGCGTCGGGGGCCGTGATGTCGCACGTGTAGAGGCGGACGAGGGGGTCGGCGGCGAGGTCGGCCGGGAGGTCCTGCACGTCGAGGACGGCGACCCTGACGCGGCGCGCGGCGAGGCGCCTGACGATGCAGTGGCCGATGCCGCTGCAGCCGCCGGTGACCACGGCCACCTCGGAGGGCCAGTCCCAGCCCGGGGCGGCCGTGGCGCGCCAGCCGTTGGCCGCCATGGAGCTGAGGCCGCGGTTGATGCTCTTCAGGAGCCCGAGGCCCAGGAGCGCCTGGAGCACCTTCCTGGCCGCGTCGACGTCGAGGCCGGCCGGGGCGTGCCGGAGCACCTGCTGCCTGACGGGGTCGGGCGCGCAGAGGAGGGCGGCCAGCAGAGGCCCCGAGAGGAAGGGCGACTGCACGGCGGCGCCGAGGGACTGCAGGGCGCGGACGGGCGCGGATTCGGCGATTCTGACGAGCGACATGCTTGCGGCCGGGCGACGTCGTGGGCGTGGGAGGTGAGGGGATGGGACGAGAATGAGCAGCCAGCAGTCGCCTCTCGTGTGCCGCGAGGAGCGAGGAGCTCGACAAGACCACGGGCCTCGCACGTATTATTATACGCGTGTGCCGGCGAGCGAGACAGACGCCCAGGCGGCGGCTTGGCCTCGGCTAGAGGCCGTTATTCACGCCGCCGGCCTCGCCCTGGACTCGCTTCTCGTCCCAAACAACGTCGCGTTCCTGGCTCTCGGGGCGCCGGGCACATGCGTGGCGCGTGGCGTCGCGCCGCGGCGTCATAACTCGTAACCACCACCGCCAACCATGACAGTTGCTCCCAATCTGGCTTGTCCGGATTCGACGGGACGGCCTGGGCCCAGGGGGGGCAAATGCAACGCAACTAACTTGCGTTGGCCTGGGGCTGTGGCTGTAGGCGGCAAGTCGCAAGTCGCGAGTGGCAACGACGGGGCCGCCGTCGGTGAGTGGTCGATCAGCCTTGGGCCCCGGAGACGGGCCATCGGAGGAACAGCCTCGTCCGTCTGCCGCCTCCCGCCTCCCGCCTCCCGCCTCCCGTCTGCGGTCCCCCGCGGCGTGGCGCCGCTGCGTCGGAGAATCAAAGCACGGCGGCGCACGGCGGGTTATAAAACGTGCCCCATGGACAAACTCAATCCCCCCTCCCGCCCCAGGCTCCCACGGTTGATTTCGATCCACACGCATTTTGCCTCTCGACAGCTGACGGCTCTCTCTCTCCTCCTCGACTCGCCCCCCGTCAAACCGGGCTCGTCATGACGACAGCAACGCACACGCAGCCGGCCGCGGCGGTCACGGCCACGGCCACGGCCACGGCCTCGACGACACCACGCGGCCAACGAGACTCCATCAAGTCCACCTGGCGAACCAGAGACCGCAGCACCTGGACCTTTTCCCAAAAGCTCATCGACTGGGTCGGCGTCCACCCCGTGTCCCTCGACCAGCCCGTCCCCCAGCACGCAAAGTCCGAAAAGGTGCCTCACCTGGGCCAGGTCTCGCAGCACATCTGGATCCTCGTCCACGGCTGCCTGCCCCTGGCCCTCCACCAGGCCGTCGTGTCCCTGACCGGGTGGCCCATGGGCAGGCACGCCGCCTTCCACTTCTACATGGTGCTCTTCAACGCCATCGTCATCCGCGAGGTGCGCGCGCTGCGCCGCCTCGGCCACCAGCACGGCTTCCTCGACGGCGACGCCCACGCGCGCGACGGCGTGCCCGACCACGGCGCCGCCAAGGTCGTCTGGTCGCTGTACAAGACCATCGGCGCGCGGCTCGCCCTCATGCTCTGGCTCACCTACGCGCCCTCGCAGCCGCCGCTCGCCGCCCTCTCCTCGTGGCGCTGGTGGGCGGCGCTGCCCCTGCAGACGGGCCTCTACGCCCTCGTCCTCGACTTCTGGTTCTACCTCTACCACCGCGCCATGCACGACGTCCCCTTCCTCTGGCGCTTCCACCGCACCCATCACCTCACCAAGCACCCCAACCCGCTGCTGTCGGCCTACGCCGACGAGGGCCAGGAGTTCTTCGACATGGCTGTCATCCCGCTGCTCGCCTATGCCTCCCTCCGCGCCCTCGGCATGCCCCTCGACTTCTACGCCTGGTGGATGTGCCAGCAGTACGTCGTCTACACCGAGGTCTGGGGCCACAGCGGCGTCCGCGTCCATCTTGCCGCCCCGTCAACCCTCAGCTGGCTGCTGACCGCCCTCGACATGGAGCTCTGCGTTGAGGACCATGACCTGCACCACCGCCGCGGCTGGCGCAGGAGCCAAAACTACGGCAAGCAGACGCGTGTCTGGGACCGCCTCTTCGGCACCTGCGGCGAGCGCCTCGAGTCGTACGACGACAACGTCGACTATGTCAACCAGGCCTACATGCCCATCTTTTGACGGCCCGTCTTCCCTTCCCGCCGGGTGAGTTGTCATCGCTGGACCGCATCGCCATCGGGCTCCTGTCGGCTCTGCATTGATCGATCCACGTTGCATGTAGACGCAGACACTTGCCAGGCATTCCTTTACACCAAGGCCTCTGGTGTTTGTTCTGCAGTCGAGTCGAGCCCTTTGCCGCACACAGACGCCCGGCATGTCCTCTGTGCAACAAGGCACGAAAGAGAGAGAGAGAGAGACAGGAAAGACAGGACGGGGCCCTGGCACGGCAATCGTCTGCACATGAGCGACGTGCCCCATTCGCGTGGCATGAGCCGTCCGTCGTCGTCGTCACAGGCAGCACGCCCAGCCGAGAAAGACATTGGCAAAACATCCTGGACACGCGTCTCCCGGATGATACGACGACGCTTCTATCATAGCCCTGGCCTGCAATGTGGTGACGGCGCGCGTGGCGTAAGACACGCGAGCAAGTATTTTAGCTACAGACATGTCTCTCTCTATCTATCCAAACAACAGGTCTAGCATCTTTTCAAATCGGTTCCTGCTACTGTTAGCAAGGGGCCGGCCATGTTGATGATTTGCACAAGAAACATACGCTGGTGGCTGGGGGATGTAGCTGCGCTCGTAGTCCTCAATAGAATCCAGGTCCCTGACTAGATCGATTTCCTCTGGTTTGAGAATCCTTGTCTTGCGCACCAACTTGTATCCAATGTAGAGGGCAGGGAAGAGAGCAAGCATAGTGTATCTAGAAAGAAAAAGAAGCAAAAATTAGCATCTCAACACACCATGGCTTGATGTTATAGAGATAGAGAGAGAGACTCACGAGAATAAGAAATCGGCAACGCTCCATCGGCCAGGCAGAAACACCGTGTATCCTCCCACAAACACCATCGTGACGGTGGCTACCAGCGCATAGTACGCTCCGTAGGGCATCAGCCAAGCCTTGTATGGCAGCGAGTCACGGCTTATGCCCTGCACTTTGAGGGCACGGTGGAAGCAGAGGTACGATATGCACACACAGCTGAAATTGATGAGTTGGGATGCCGTGACCAGCGAGACGAGCCAGTCCAGCACCGCCGCCGCATTCTTAGACAGCTGCAGGAAGGCAAGGAGGGCAAACGACAGCACAAAGCAGACGCAGTAGATGGGCACGCCATTCCTGGTGCATCTCGTCATCAACTTGGGCGCCTTGCCTTCCAATGCCAATCCGTACAAGGAACGAGACGCACAGTACACGTATGAGTTGCCGGCGGAAAAGGCTGCCGTCAGCACCATGGCGTTGACAATGTGAGGCAGGACCTTGATGCCCAGACGGTTCATGGCAACGACGTACGGTGAGCCCGCCGCGCCAGGAGCAGAGTTCCTAAAGGCGGCCGCCAGTTCCTTGTCGTCGTACGGAACAAGGATGCCGACGCAAAGAGATCCGAGCACGAAAAAGGCTGTGAGTCTGTAGAACACGGCGTTGTACGCGCGAGGCATGACCGTTCGCGGGTTCTCTGCCTCGCCAGCGGCCATGGAAACGTAGTCGGGCCCGGCGATTGTAAAGGCAGCCTGAATCAAACACTGCAAGAAGCCTAGCCACTGGCCCAGAGACCCCTCATAGTACAGAGGAGCAAAAGCGCCAGGTTCTTTCCAGAAGCGGAATCCAAAACGATCACGTTTGGGGTTGCCACCAACCATTGCGACAAAGGTGAAGACGATGAGCCCGATGATGAGGAGCACCTTGCCGATGGCAGCCCAAAACTCGGACTCGCCGTACCACTTGACGGCCAGGAGGTTGATCAGAGCATATAGGACAATGACAATGACTATGACGGCGGCTGTAGGGATAGCCTCGGTCCAAAAGTGAAGAATGAAGTTGCAGGCTACGATCTCGAACGGCACCAGGGCCGCCTCCAAGACGAAAAAATTCCAGCCAGCGGCAAAGCCAAACGCCTCATCGACGTAGCGGCCAGCAAAGCGGATAAATGGCGATGATATGGGCAAGTACGTGACCATTTCAGCCATGCACAAGGTGATGGCGAGAACAAAGGTGCACCAAGAACTAAAGGCAATGAACAAGCTGCCCGGACCGCCGTTCAAAAGGCCTTTACCGATTTGAACCTGCAACCACCAGGCACGACGATGAGCACTTGACGAACCAGAACAGGACGGAAGCAAGAATCTGGGAAGGGAAACTAATCAAGGGTTGTACAATTCTTTACGCACATAAAGAGCGGTGCCAATGGTGCCGCCGATGCCGATGAGCTGGATATGTCTGGACTTGAGTCGGCGATGTGTCGAGTCGTGCTTTGAACCTGAAGAGAGAGAAAGTCGGCGGGGAGTCGCTGGATCCGCAAGAGGGCCGTGACGATGCTTAGCACCGAGGGTGACGGCTTTCTCCCGGTCGTGCCCCGTTGCAGCCATCTTGGGCGTGCTGGGGCTGGGTTTGAGTAGACGAAGAGCCAAGACGAGAGGCTCACGGAAATGGTGGTAACTGCACGCGCACGGCCATCAAGTATGACAAACGGATTCCTCGAAGGCTGGGACGACACGGTTATCGAACAGCCCTGTCAACTGGCCCTCAATGGCAGTCGCAAACGGATTCCGGCCGAAGACTTGACTGCAATAGACTCAAGCCGCACAGTTGCGACGGTTCGTCCGGCCGAGGGCTGCTGGCTCAAGGCAACAAGATTAGCCGAGACAAAGATTGTGCAAAAAGACGAAAAACACACACGTCAAGAAAGCACATGGCGATGCCAGCGTGACGAAAGTGTCGGCGTTGTTGGTCAATTCTGATGAGCAAGAGTCACCAGCAAAGCGACCAGACAAAGTCGCGAGAGTTGCAAAATTGGGGGACAAGGAAAAGGGAAAAAGAAAAGAGATAAAACTACACAGCAACCCCCGGAAACAGCTGGTGTCGGCTAGTGTCCGGTGGACCAAGGTTCACGCCTGGAGCCAAAAACGACGGCGGGTCCTCGTTGGAGTAGCGTGAGCAGCGTGAGATGTCGAGATGTGAAATTAAACATGTTTGTGATGGCGTACGGAAGAATGCGAGCCGAGTACGGAGTACAAGCCAGTGAGCTGCCCCCCAAACTATCGATTCTGCCGCACCTGCCTTACTCGTGTCTGCCACGCTCGCGCCTGCCACTTCAGCTTCTTCGTGCACCATCATGCTGGCAGCTGACAGACAATTTCCGTCTTTTTCTCCCACCCACACCATCAAAAACCACCATGCCTGTATTCGTCTGCGGCACATTCAGACCCTCATATACATACCAAGTACCTCCAAGTACTTAGCACCTACCTAAGGTACCTAGGTAGGTTCTAGATTAGGTAGCCATGTATATTAAGTACATTCTAGGCATGTACAATGATGGGCCGTGGGACTCTACTCACCACCGAGTCCGAGTCCCCGAGTTGGCCAAGAATCGTCAACGGCCAACGGTTCCGTGGGGACCGTGCCACGTTTGCACCCAACGATCACGGATCTTCGTCATGTCAAGGTGGAGTTGCCCAAAGTCAATCAATCATCACCACCAGTGGACCCTGCAAGCCTAGGTACCTAGTACATACTTCATACCTGCTAGGCAGGTGCCTTGGCACGTACTCTCCGTACAGAGTAACTACAATATTCATCTCGCAACCGGATACACGATTTCAACCAATAGGCAGCTGCCCTCATCACCACTTGCTTGCCAGTTTCTTCAAGCTTCATCTGACGTTAGTTCGGCATCTGCATACGCAACCGCTGGAATACAACAACAGAAATTCGGCCCTCTTCCACGCATCCCCCATCAAGACACCTCGTTAAACCCACAAGACTCGTCGTCTTGGCCGCCCGCATCCCGCATCCATGCCTGCATTACGAGGTACTTTGCTTCTTCGCGTCACTGACCAATGCTAAAATCTCACCATACAACCACGCCGCATGACACTGGGTATCGTCCAAGACAAGAAGAAAAACAAAAACAAAAGTGATACCAAGGAAATTTTGTTGCATCAAAGCCTCCCACCCTGCCGTCCTCATTTTGGTTCCGTTTACGCCTGGCCCTCGCCAATACTTTACAACTCGTCTCGTGCTTGCTGAATTGATCCCTTGACGGCCTCGGTCGCTCGGCTGGCTGCGCTTCCAACCCTTTCGCCTGCTGATGCTGCCGCAAAACTGGCGTCGCTGGCTACGCTGCCCACGTTGGAACTTGCTGTGGAATAAATGCCGCTGAGCCTTGACATGACGCTCTCGCGAAACGTGGGCTCTTTTCCATCCACTAGCTCGGAAACCATTTTGTTGACGGCGTCGAAATGTTTGCCTGCGCCGTCTGCGACTGCCTCGGTGGCAGCCGTGAGGGCAGACCGGGCCGTCTTCGTTGCGTCCTCATACCAGCCTATAGCTGTAGGCGGACCATAAACCTCCACGGCGATCTTGGACACAACAATGTCCCATGTGTCCGCAACTGCCTCTGCAACGTGAACGACTTGCTCAGCAGCTGCGTCTGCTACTTGGTTGATGGCGTCTTCGGCGTCCTGAGCAGCCGACATGGCTCCCTTGCTGGCAGCGGTATACGCGGATTTGACGGCATCGTCAGCCGCACCAGCCGCTGAGCTCGCTGACTTTTGCGCAAGTGAAGCCATGGAAGAGACAGAACCCATAAAGTCTGTAGCCGTGGATGTAGTCGTAACCGTAGCCGTCACTGACGACCATGCGGACGAGGCTGCAGCCATGAAACTCGAGTACCGATCTTGTGCCATTCCCAACCCTGCATAGTAGTGATATTTGGCCTGCTCATAATACTTTTCAGAAGGCGAGGTTGGAGTAGGCGTAGCCAGCCGGAGTGCAATCAGTACACTTTGGTACTGAATCTCTGCCCACAGCTTCCCTTCACTCAATTTCTGGGCCGCAACAGACTCTACTTTTTCCCACTCGGGGACACTGCTGCTCTTGGTTGCTGTGGGAGGTGTGGGAGCGGCACGATACACCCCAGAAGATGCGGCCGCAACGGCGTCGTTGAACTTTTGGCTTGCTGCGGAAACGGCACCATCGTAGGCGGCGGAAACAGACGAGAAGAGTTGCTCATGTACCGGCTTCGATGTGCCCTCCGCTTGTGCCGAGACAACAGAGACGGCGCTGGAATAACGATCGGCAGCGACGGCCACGGCACTAGAATAGGCTGCCTGGGCCGCACTCGTCACACTGGCAAAAATATTGGAATCTGCCTCGTCGTCGTCTAGTACTGGGCGACGATCCGCGACCGACTGGGCCGCTGCTCCAAACATGGCAGGGCTTGCAAGAGTGGCCTGGTCCTGTACAGCCGATGTGGCGGCCTCCCTCTCTGCTTCACTGGTATCGAAGTCGTCCGCAACGAAATCAGGGGCCTTGGTTGAGGTGGTATCCGTTTCTTCTGTGCGTCCACCAAGGATTGATGGACTTTCTTCCGGCTCAGCTACCGGCTCCTTGTCATCATCGGTAGCGATGGTGGTTGCCGTGTCCTGGGCAGCTAGGACTATTGGCTCCTCGTGTGGCTCAGGGGCTTTTGTATCAGCATTCACAGTAACTTCTTCCCTGGCTGGTTCGGCGCCGATGTTCTCTCGAGGCATTTCAACGTTGATGGCTCGTTCAAATTGAGTTTGTTTTGTGGCCCCCTGCGCCTCCGGTTCCTCTCTTGCGGCATTGGCGTTGGTCGCCGCCGCTGTTGCTGTCGCCGCCTCTGCAGCAAGGCGCATTTCCTCGGAATCAAAGTTGTCGGTGAAATCGTTAGCTGCAATCTTCCAGTTTGACACCTCCTTCAATTGAGCCAACTCCTTCGCAGCGACAGAGGCCATGGTCATGCCATCGTCCTCAATCTGGTGCGAAAGCTCTTGGGCTTCAAGGAGAGTCGGGTGCGTAACGACGAGCTGCTTCAGTTCTTCAGTCCAGTCGTTAAGCGCAGTCTTTAACTCATGGTATTTCTGCCAGTCCTGATAGGTGACGCCGTCGGTCCAAGCCCACTTCATACCGATTTTTGTCAAGGCCAGGTTTCGTGTTTCGTCGAGAATTTGGAAATGAACATCCGCAGCACCAACCACAAGTTGCTGGAGCTCAGCGTCATAATCTTCACGCCAACCGCGGATCAGCTGGGCTTTCTTCTTAATGGCCACCCCGGCCGATCGAATAGCAGATATTGCCTGCTGGTGAGCATCCGCACTGCCAGATTCTATAATTTTGGAAATGTTTCGTTTTGCACTAGCAATTTCGAACTTGATGGTGTCCTCGAGCTGGGTCAGAAGCCCGTTTCCGATCACTCTGGCATTCTCGTCCATCAGGCGGCGAGCAATTTGTTCGACTTGGTCTTCCATAACGCTGGCACCCTCCTCCGCTTGGGAAGCAAATTTGTTTTGCCAGGTCAAGAGATCACTAGCAACCATTTCCCGTGTGTTTCTCCGCTCTCCGCTCTCGTTCTCTGTAGCAGCTGGGGCTTCGACGAGATTCCAGTATCGTGACGGCTCGGTCTTGTCTGCTTCGGTTGCGGCAACCTCCGGCTCGTCGGTGTTCGCCGTGGTGGCAGAGGTGGAAGGGCTTTGGGGGGAGGGCCTGCTAAAGGACGGTGAGACTACTGATACTGTTGAGCTAGCCCTGCTTTCCATGTTAGTATTGGCAGGCTTTGAATACCGGTGGGACTTGGCAGCTACCTACGGTCTGACAGCTTGTGTCTCATCCGATGGAGCCTTGTTGGTGATGTTGGACTTGGTCTTGTATCGAGCAAGTCGCGCTCCGATACGGACAAGCTGTGGCTCTACATTTTCAACGTAGACAACACGCAACTGGGGCCACACGGCCGTGTCCAGGAAAGCATTGGCCTTGCCCCAAGCCCAGTAGGTAGCCGGCAAAGCCTTGGCGGTGGTAAACTTAGCCGCCATGTCATACCCACGGATCGCGTAGGGACCCTTGGTCAAGGTCTGAAGACGCGCAAGTTGAGGTTGGCCATTCATCTCCCACTGTGCACGAGCAAGGTCATATCCCTTGCTGGTCCACGGAGTGCCGTAATAAACGACATATTGGCGCGTTGGCGCCAGAACACGACTGTGCAACGTATCATAGTATGGTTTGACAACGTAAACGTAAGGTGCGGCGTATTGGTCGAAATAGGGTTGGACATGGGGCGTAACGGCATTTTTGACTTGAAAGTACGGTTTGCAGATGGAAGGCGTGGTTTCATCGCAAGAATCGAGTGATGTCGGACAGCGGAAAAATATCGTGAGAATGGCAGCCCATATGGCAATTCTGTCCGGACAAGAAGTTAGCGGACTATAGAATTGCGATGATTGTGGACCATGTCCAAGAGCCCCGGGTACGATTTAAGAGGCGGAGAAGAAACATACCTGGCAGCGAAGTTGAAAATCCAGCCGAGGAGTCGCCGCTGCTTTGGCGTCCTCCGCTTGGTTGTTAGCTGGCCATTCAGTTTGCCATTGGCGTGGGCAGGCCGATCGGTAGTGGGATCGGCGACCGCCATGGTTGAAGGAACCGGATTGCTATCCGTCAATGTGCTCCCAATTGGTGATGCTGATGCTGGCGCGAGCTCCGGCTATAGCTGCGCGCGGAGCGTTGCACAGGCAGGTCTGGCTGGTGACACACCGACGGAGTTCGAGTGGAGCGACAGGCAAAGCCAGCAGTCTGTAAACGGCCCAAGAAAGAAGCAGGTCCCGGCAACAAACCAGTGGTACGGCGACGAGGTGATGAGGGCAACGGGCGAAGAGAGGGGGGGAGAGGGGGGGAAAGAAAGAGAAGGGGGCGAACAAAAAGTCTGGTGAGCTTGCCCCGACGTAGCGAGAGCTGACGGTGACGGGACGAAGAAGTCTGTCGCAGGGCAAGGAGTATTTGGCCTTTGCCCGAGGAGGGAGACGGCGCCGCGACACCACGGAACAGGGAGCAGGGGCGGGCCCTCGTTGGTCGTGGGATCCAAGACAGACGTCACGGCCAGTCGAGTGTCTAGCGGTGAATGACGAGATGTAACATTTGAAGAGGGAGCATTGCAGACAGGCGGCACTGAGGTGACATCAAGAATGGAGGGCCGAGGGAAGGGCGTTGGTTGACAGCTCCAAGTAAGTACTCAAGTGCGGAGTACTTAGGCCGTGGCTGGCATTGCTATTGAGCTTATGTGGAATAAGCACGTGCACCAACGACCACGGAGTACGCGGGCAATGCCTCCAGGCACTTAAGTAATCAGCCATCCGACCAGTCACGGACTCGGCCGTCTTCCGCAGTCCTTCACCATCAGGTCCCGTCGTAATTATCTGCATTTGCCCCTCTGACCACGGTCAGCACTCCGAGCCGAGACCCCGGCTCTGGCCAGCGACCGGACGAGAAACCATAACGAGTACTCCGTACTCCGTACACGCGAGGTACGGCTCCTGTTGTGCCGTCGTCATGGAACCCCGTCGTCATTTGTGTGTGACGCCCGAGGCCTTCGCATCCAATGTGCAGTGTGCAATGTGTCCCGCTTTAATTCCCCATCCTGCTGCGCAACCCGCTCGGCTGTCTCGTGTCTAGTCCCAAAAGAGTGACGCGGATTCTTCATTATTCCTTGGACTTTCTGGCCACACTCCATACGCCATACAGCTAAATTACCACATTTTTCTCTTCGCGTGATATATTCTTCTCGGAACTGCGCATCCCTTCTCCCGACTCCTTATCCCGTCGACTCCCTTCCGAATATTCCTCAGGAACCTTCTCGCTGCTCCGCACTCTCCTATCATTTCCTCATCGGATCAAGGCGGCCACGAGGCAAACCGCGCTTCGCCCAACCTCATCGCCCACCGCATAACGAACCCTCTGGCAGACAACAGCGCCGAGTCGAGCCCAATACGTACATTACTTCTTACACTCACTACCTTCGACCAGGAACCGATACCTCTCCATGATTTATCCACCATCCGGCCGTTGACACTCCTCGTCGTCCGGTTACGGCCACGCTTTGAAATCCATCCACCTCGGCGACGGAACCAGCATCAATCATGAACGACCCTTCATCTCCGCCACAGCGCCACGGTGTGTCCCCTTCCGTCTTCGACGACCGTTCAAATGCTGCCGCTCTTCAACATTCCGATGCGGCCCCCGCCATTTGCCGAATATGTCGCGGTGAGGGAACCTCGGCAGAGCCCTTGTTCTACCCTTGCAAGTGTAGCGGCAGCATCAAATTCGTTCACCAGGACTGTTTGATGGAGTGGCTCTCACATTCGCAAAAGAAATACTGCGAGCTTTGCAAGACCTCTTTCCGCTTCACTAAATTATACGCGCCGGACATGCCGCAGTCGCTCCCGGTTCACATATTCCTCGAGCACATGGCAAGATATCTAGTACGAAACGCCTTGCTATGGCTTCGCGCCGCCGTGACCATCAGCGTGTGGGTGTGCTGGCTGCCGTATTTCATGCGGGTTGTCTGGGCCTTCCTGTTTTGGGTCAGCGACGAGGGCCTGGGTGCCGGACCATTTGCATCACGACACTCGCTCGTCAAGCCTGTGGTACTTGGTCCTGCACCTACTTGTGCCGCAAGTCCTCCGTATCCGCTAAATACCCCCAACCAAAGCGACAGTACCACCGTCGTTGATAAAATCACCTTCCTAAACAGCACGGCTGGCTCCTTTTCAGCAACACTGCTGAGCGATGTCGGCTTCCTGAGAAACTTCACTCGCAGTGCGACCGTGAACCGCACGGTCATCACCGTCATTGAGGGTCAGATAATCACCGTTCTAGTCATTGTGTGTTTTATTCTAGTAATCCTGGTCCGCGATTATGTCGTCCAGCAGCAGCCAGAGATCAACATGCGAGCCGCTTTCGCCGACCAAGAAAACAACAACCCGCCGGCCCCTGCCCAGCAGCCAGTTGACGCAGAGATACGTGACGATAATGGCGGCGGCGGCGGCGACGACGACGACGACGACGACAATGGCGAGGACAATCACGATCACGACGATAGCCCAGAATCTGACGGCATGGGCTCTGATGGCGAGACCCTGGATGCTGGATTGGAGGTTCATGAGTCACTCGGATCCGACACCGGGCACGACATCAACACTGGAGAACCAGACCTGTCTTCTACAGACGCCGATATGCGCAACGCTATCGCACCTGAACGACTGCTTCCTGAATTAGCCGCAGACTCACACGAGTCTTCAGCACACGACGAAGCGGCCGCAGGCTCGGACAACCGAGCCAGCGTTATTGACTACCTACGAGTATACCGTCAGGCTGGTGGTAATTTAGAAAAGATCTTGCAGATCGTCGAAGAGGAAAATTTAGAGGACAAGCTTGGCTACTGGGTCGATGTTGCTCAGCGATCCATCCGGGAGCGAGAAACGAACCTGGCAGACACGTCAGGCCCTCCCATTTCCCAAGAGGATGTGCAATCCTCACTACCACTCCCTCGGGTTCTAGATTTCAGCAAGCTCAATGATCGGGGTCAGCTTGTGCCCTTGGGAGATGAACAAGAAGCTACGCAGAAGATCTCCAAAGGCAAAGAGAGGGAACGCATACCAATGTCCCCAGACTTTTCGCCCCATCCAGCGAACCCGGATGACGAAAACGCCTCTGGCCCGTCAAGGCCCCGGGCTCGATCCGATGGCCCTGAACCCATAACCCTTGCAAGTGCGTTGGGGAATAACAGTTGGACTTTCGACAGCCTTCCTACTGCAAATCAAGGTGACCCAGAATGCGCGACACCGCCCCTCGTGCCAGGCCCGACAGATACGACGCCGGTTCAGAGTGTCAACGGGATTGTGAGGCGCCGCACTCCCATTCCTGACAGCCCCCCTCGCTCAAATCATGGCGATGATGTTGCGTCAATCGGTCATGGTGGCGATGTGGCCCACGTTGTTCCAGGGGAGCCGGCTGTACCTATACCAGAGCAGAGAGGGTTCGTCGCTCGCATCGCCAACTTCATGTGGGGTGATCTTGATCAGCATCGGGACATCGACCAAGAGCAACAGGAGCCCGCTGCTGCTGGCGACGACGATGGGGCAGAAGACGCGTGGGTTGACGTGCCTATTGCTGGACCCGCGGATGCCAACGCGGAACCAAACGCTGGCGAAGTCGACGCTGCCGCTGCCGCAGCCATGGACGCTGAGGCCATCGAAGATCTTGAGGATTTTGAAGGCGTAATGGAGCTCTTGGGCATGCGTGGTCCCATTGTCGGACTGTTCCAAAATGCCATCTTCTGTGCTGTTCTCGTATCACTGACTATATTCACTTGCATTTTCATCCCTTATAACATAGGGCGCTTTTCCGTTTGGATCATGGCCAATCCTATCCTCCTTGTACGGATGCTCATGGGTCTCTCCAAACTAATCCAAGATGCCGCGATGATGATTGGTGGGTTTGGTTCTTGGTGTACACTGAACATTGTCGACATGTTCACGAGTGTTATTGGAGGTACCATGGGTGCTCAGATTGTGTCTGCCAGAAAGGCATGTTGGGGACTGTGGACTGGCGCTGGGACCAGAGTTGTGGAATATGCTCTCATGGAGTTCCCTTTGACCGCTTCCGAAGTACAGAACTTCTCAGCAATCAGTCATGAGTCTTTGAATGTGCTCAAAGAGAATATTGGCTGGGTTCTCGGTCAGGCCGATATTAGCCTCAAGGCTCTTGCGCGACCCGACTATACCGCTGTCATTGACGGGCGGTTTGTTGCCGCGGCTTCAACAACTTTGCGGTCTTTCATTTCCACCCTCACGGACGCGGCGTCCTTTTTGTTGGACCCAAGCTCCTGGACGATCGACCTGGGTGAAGTTGCCACAGGAGCCTCAGTGAATCCCAGCCTTGCATACTGGTCAGGTCTGGACCGATTCTGGGCAATTCTCATCGGATATCTGACCATCTTTGCTGTTGGTGCGTTGTACCTCAGACGAGACAGCCCATTTTCGCGAGGGGCCATGATGCAAGCTTGGGAAGCGGGCGTTATCGACACCCTCCACCAGGCAAGCGGTATCATGAAAGTCATCCTCATCATCAGCATTGAAATGCTCGTCTTTCCTCTATATTGTGGTCTCTTGCTAGATGGCGCCTTGCTTCCGCTTTTCGAAGACGCAACCTTCAACTCCCGCATTCTCTTTACCTACAATTACCCCTCGACATCAATCTTCGTCCACTGGTTCGTGGGAACTGGATACATGTTTCATTTTGCACTTTTTGTTTCCATGTGCCGCAAGATCATGCGCCCAGGCGTATTGTGTAAGCCATGGCGTCCGTCGATTTGTTTGCTTGTAGAACAGGACACTAACGTACTTTGACACAGACTTTATTAGAGATCCAGACGATCCCGAGTTCCACCCTGTACGGGACGTATTAGAGCGAAATCTGACAACACAGCTGCGCAAGATTCTCTTTTCCGCTTTCGTGTACGGCGCTTTGGTCATTGTCTGTCTCGGCGGTGTGGTCTGGGGCCTCTACTACACGATGCCTGGCGTTTTGCCAGTCCATTATTCCTCCAACGAACCAGTCTTGGAGTTCCCTGTTGACCTTTTGTTCTACAATTTCCTGATGCCGCTGGCTGTCAAGTTCTTCAAGCCCGGCGACGGATTGCACGCCATGTACACCTGGTGGTTCCGAAAGTGCGCCCGCGGCCTCCGCTTGACATACTTTCTATTTGGCGAACGACGTATCGACGAAGAAGGCATTCTCCATCTCAGCCCTGAGTTGAGAGGTCAAGTTCCACCTTTCAAGTCATTACTCCTCGAGCTTGATGAGCATAACGCCGTCATACCCAAGACTTGGAGAGACACATTTGACGGCGGGGATGCTAGACCGAACCCATCCATATCGGAAGGGGAAACGAGGGATATGACGCACAAAAAGGCCCACCTTGTCAAGACAGGTCAACTCAAGAAGAGCGGCAGATTTGTTCGTGCTCCCGCATCGGACAGAGTCAAGATTCCCAAGGGTCAACGGGTTTTCCTGACAGTCTCCGAACGCAATCGCCGAAAGGACGGCAACGCGGACGACGACATGTACGCCTCCGCCCAGTACCAACTGGTCTACGTGCCACCAAACTTCCGCGCCCGGGTGTTCTTGTTCATCCTTTTCATCTGGCTATTTGCCGCTGTCACTGGAGTTGGCTTCACTATCGCGCCGTTGGTGCTCGGCAGAACCATGTTTAAGATGCTGATTCCAGCCCACATTCGCACCAATGATATCTACGCATTCAGTATTGGCATCTACGTTTTGGGCTCGCTGGCCTATACCATCTTCCGCCTTGGTCATCTTCTCGCCAGACTCCGACATTTGACAAGCGAGCTCGTCCACGAGATTGCGAGGGGAGACACCAGGATTCGCATTCTTCACGGGCTGACGCGCGGTGCTCAGCTTTTCTATGCCTATTTCTTCCTGTATATTGTGTTCCCCTTATTGGTGTCAGCACTGATGGAGCTATACTTGAGTATTCCTCTGCACACCTACATGAATCCACCCGGGCAACGACAGAAGGAAACGACGGCGGCTAGCCCGGAGGGAGAGGCTGGGCGCCATACCGTACGGGTTATTCAATCCTGGACGCTTGGGCTTCTGTACCTCAACCTTGCAACCAGGATGATCACATCACTCTTTCGCGACACTCGAGCTGCCATGGCGGTGAGATCTGTGATGCGGAGAGGTTACCTAAAGCCGGATGTCGACATCCTCACTAGAGCATTTGTCATTCCCGCAGTTGCCCTGTCAATTGTCGCAATATTTGGTCCTCCTACGGCTGCAAATCTTTTAATCAATTTCGGCATTCTCTCGCCCTCGCAAGTCGTCGGGGTTGTAGCCGACACGGCCAATCTGTCCTCGATATTCAGATATTCCTACCCAGTGGCCGCAGTGTCTGTCGTCATGGTCAGGTATGCTGTTGGATTGACAAGAGTGTTTCATCGATGGACAGCGGGGGTTCGAGACGAGGCCTACTTGATTGGGGAAAGGCTACACAACTTTGGCGCGGCGACAGCGGGATCCAGAAAGGCCAGGAAAGCGTGGGGCGCTGCTGGTGGGGGAAGACTTTGAAGTTTGCAGTTCCAAAGCCGGAAGTTTTGTGTGTAGTGTACATGCTGCGTGTATGATAGGAAGGGAGCGTTGGTGCGGCACCTTGATACGTTCATACGAGGGATGGCGGGCACGATACCATAGCGAGGATTAAAGTTTCTGCAGAATTATCCATCATTATCTATAGAATATAAAATGATTTCTAAGTAGGTGAAACTAGGATTGTTGTGACTGTTCAGGGCCGACCAAAATGCTGTGTTGTCGAGGGGGATGCGCTGCGTCCTCGCACTACCCCTGTACAAGTTGCGAACGCGACGACTGGCAAGGCCAGCTAACCTAGATACCTATCTAGGTGGAAAAGTTACCGGCTGGCAAGGACACGGATACAGTCTCAGAAAGGACAAGAAGTATTTGCACATACAGAGGTCACTGTACGCCACCAGGTGGGCAAATATTTATTGCGTCACGAACGAGATCGCACGTGACTCCGAGGGGTCGGACAAGCAGCGGTGGCACCTGCCGCGGTATTTTTAGGTGCTGTTGCCCATGACGCCGAGGGCTAAGCCGAAACGGGCCAAGCGGTTGCTCAGGCGAGGGCTGCTGGGGCAAGCCCGGAGCAGGGCGAAGGCTGCTTGGTCATTGGTCATTGGACCATTTGGGTCAACATTGAATCAATTTGGCCGGGTCCAGTTGACTAACCTTGCCGTCAACAGGGGAGCGGCCAAAACACGACTAGCCGGTTGACTTCTTCCACCGCATCGCTCCGGCTTGCGGCACGCAACTTCGACAAACCAAGGCGAGGCAGAGGCAGATAGACATAGGTAAGTCCTGCTGTTTGCTGGGGATAACCCGTGAAATCCACGCGCGTACAGCCCCAGAAAGAAGACACGGTTTTTTTTCTTTTATCTTTTAATTATCATTACTCGTCGTCTCGTCTCTCCGTCTCCCACGTCCGGGACAAAGGGGAAATCCAGATTAGCCGGCCTCCCCCCCCTTTGGAGGAACAAACCCGTAAGTTCAATGTTGGTGGCAGTCACAACGCGCGCGAGCGAACAGGCTGACATTGCGCATATGTTCGGCCAGGTTCGGAACTATCCTTTCACTCAACACCCTAAGTGACGTTTCTTTGTTGCTCAACCGCCCGTTGGTTGGCATCTCGAAAGCCACACCGCATCCACGCCCGCCAGCAGCCGCCAGGCAACACAACTATTTCTTTTGTCAACGACTGTTGCCCGCTCAGCTCATCAAACTCGTTTTTTTTATTAAAAATAAAATAAAATAAAAAACCCACAAACACATCTTGTTATCGGTCGATGTGCCCAAACTCAAAGGCAAGAATCACTCAACGAAGCAGCGACTCGGCGCATGCCCAAATTCCAAGTACTCCTAGCTCGGCATCACCCCTCGCGTAAGCATCACGGCACATCATGGCTGAGCCTCCTTCATCGCCTCCCAGTGAGGCAGCCACGGCTGAGGATGCCCTCTCCTGGTACAAATCGCAGTACGAAATGCTGGAATCCGAGCTTGCCGAGTTTCGGGAGTCGAGCCGTGAGCTTGAACAGGAACTGGAGAAGGATATCGAACGGGCAGAGAAGCAGGAGCGGTCTCTGCAGGAAAAGGTTGAAACTTTGGGATTCGAGGTTGAAGAGTGGAAGGTAGGAGAGCTCTACTGCAAGCGCTCGGAGATGTGCTGCTGACATGCCAGCGCAGAGGAAGTATAAAGAGTCCAAGAGTGAAGCTAGCGCTGCGCAAAACTCTCTGGAAAAGGAAATCACCACCCTTCGAGATTCGAATCGTTCGCTGCAGTTAAAGTTGAGAGATGTCGAGGTGGCCAATGATGACTTCGAGCGCCAAGCTCGCAGCACCACTTCTTCCTTGGAAGACATGGAGTCAAAATACAACCAGGCCATCGAGCGGGGAGTCATGATGGAGGAGGAGATCAGATCCGGCGAACAGGAACGGGAACATCTTCGAATCGAATCCCAGCGACTTCGAGAAGAGCTCGCCGAGCTCAAGATAGAGGCAGAACTCATGCAGGACAAGATCAAGAAGCAGGAAGCCCGACACTTGTCTACCATCTCCACCGACCTCTCAGCCCTGGGGTCGCCGACATTCGACAAGAACGTTGAGGCTTCTCCCAACTCGACGGCCAGCTCGCCGCTCGTCACCACGCCCCCCGAAACCAAGTCCCTCCCCGCGGTCGAATCGCTCTCCCAGGTACACGAGCCCCCGTCGCCGCCAATGTCTGATGCGTCAGCGCCTGTTGCTAACGCAACCCCGGCTGCTAAGCATGGCGGCACTCTTCCTCGGAAATCTCGGCTGCCATCGCTGGACCACAGCGCAACCAAGCCACGTGGGAAGCCTATGACTGCACGACAAGGTGGCCGCCTCTCAGGAGGGCCCTCGAATCTTCGCACACCGGCTCCACGCTCCACGGCCACGGCCGCCTCACCAAAGCGCAAAATTCCCGCATCTAATTCGCTCTCACACATTCGATCACTCACCGCTCAGATGCAGCGTCTCGAAGCTAGAGTGCATTCCGCAAGGTCCAGACTTCCGGCCCCTGCGCATACTCCACCACGCGCGTCGCCCAGACCGATGGCCAATGGTGCTGGCGTTCCGTCAACGGTTACGATCCGCTCTCGGAAGCGAACAGCAGGATCCTCTGCATCGTCTCTTGTGGCAGACGAAACTACGCCAACCAACTTTCGTTCATCGATATCGCGGCCTGGCCATGTTCCCAGGCTTAGCACGTCCGGCGTCAGCAGGTTGTCGTTTGGCCCAGTCCCAAACAGAGCACCAGAATCTGATGCTAGCTATAGCCGCCCAAACTCACGGGCAAGCATATCATCATACGCGAGACCCTCGTCACGAACCGACATGGTGCCACCTCCGCGTCCCATGTCACGATCGTCCATGACGGGAACACGCACGCCTCTGGGTCGATCAAGGTCATCTCTGAGCGGGTCAATACACGGGCATTCTCAAAGCATAAGCCGTATAGAAATGGAGGAGGATTACGAAGGCGACTTCCGCTCTTCCGCCCGCCGCGGTACCTTTTCGAAGCTTGAGATGGAAGGGGCCGTCAGCGGCATACCCGTTCCCGGGACCTCAATCCCCACCCCCGGCGCAAGACGGCAAAGCGGAGGTGGCCCCGGTGGCAGGCGGACCAGCACAGGCGTCGGTCCTACGCGGCCTGGCACCTCGAGCGGCAGACGACTGAGTGACTTGGGTGAGACGTATTAGACGACAACCGAGTTGACGTTTCGACAGGCACCATGATCAAAATTAATGCCGGGGTTGTGCGTGTGGGTGTGTTTGCGAATGGGTAGAGTGCTGGCGCCGACGCTCAACAGTCAACACAGTGCTACGATTCTTTCCATGAACTCGTTTACGACACAATGAGATATCAAGCGATTCTAGTTCAAGGCGATGCTTTTTGTTCATTATAATGATTATGACCTCTCTATTCGGGCACATAGTTTCTGGGTTCTAGTATATTTGCTGTTGCACGCATGGATTTTGCCGACAATACGATGAAGTATCCCGGGAGGGATGGCGCTTTGGAACGGTTGGAGGAAGATTGTGCCATACGCTATTGCCCACGAATCACGATGGCAGACCGGATATTTGCCTGAGGTGTGTCCTCGGGAAGGGGGCGTGGGAGTAATGTGAACTCTCGGTTCGAGGATGAGGTATGCCGTCGGGACAATGATACCTGGAGGCGGGATTGGGATTGGTTCTTGAAGTTGAGGATGGAAATACCTAGATGGAATAGATGGCGTCGATGAGTCTTGACTCTTGTGCGTGTCGGTTGTCGATGTCTGCTGCGGCTGTGAATTGTGCCTGTCTTGCGCTTGTATCTGTCCCCCTTTTCTGGACGGTGAATGGTGCTGTCGCGCGTACGGCTGGCTGCGTTGCGGAGTATGCGCACGGAGTACGTGTGGCATTATCGTCGTGGCAGTGAGTCGTGACTGGTGCTGACTTCCAATCTTGGGATCGTGGACGGATGCCTGGCGCACGATTGACTGAGCGGGCCCGTGTCAGCTTACCCTGGTCCCCGAGCTGGCTGGGCGAGTTTTCTGCCCAAGTTCTGCTGAGTAATACGCCTGAATTGGCCGTTAGCGCTTCAAAGGGCTCATCAGCTGCCATGAGGGTTGTCGTTGTAGGCCTGATATACGGAACACGTGCTCCGTACTCGCTCCGTACTTACTTAAGTGTCGCCGCTGGAGCACGGCAGGCGCAGGGAATGTTGGGGCACGCCGCCGCAGCGGGTTCCTCTGTTGGCCATCGCCTGGGGGTGGGGGTGGGGGGTGGGAGGCAGAAAATTTCGACTTGGTGGGTGGGTGCTCAACAATTGGGGCATGGGGCCCCTCGGATCCGTGGATCGTGTCGGGGAGCCGACGGTTGGACGGTACGGGCTGATAGTGGTTTCCCGAAGAGGTCCCGAGTACCAAGACGCAGTCATCTGTACTCACGGCTCGACGCCGAGAGTTGACCTTTTGTGGCCGGGGGACGCGGGTTTGACAGCGGACAATGGAGAGAAAGAAAAGAAAAACGTGGCTTGGGACAGGCCGTCCATGTGACTCGTGAGGCTGCTTGCAACGCTACGCTTACGGCTTGAGAGGCGCGACACCCACGAAATTCACAGTGTACTGCTTAAGGACGGTCATGTTGCCATCACCGCCGCCGAGAGGCAGATCGAGTCCGTCTCGAGCCGGAATCTGGGTGCGGGTGCGAGTGCGTCTGTTGGCCCTTGATTGGTTGGCGCTATGAAATGCCATGCCAGCCAGGGAGGAAGTCTGAGATTTGCTGCTCCTCAGTCCCGACTCCCGACCATGGATTTCTTTTTGTCTTGGAGTCTGCGGCTGCGGCTCTGCGCCCAAACACTCTCCATCGGCGTACTGCGTGCTGCAGGCAATTTCGGAATCCGGGACTCCAGGGTCGCTGTCAGCTTTGCCCAAGGGCTCACAAGCAATACTCCGTACTCCATGCCCAGTACGGAGTCCGTAGGCCGACAGCCCTGGGCACCTTGAGGGTTCCGCCGTACCGTCTCCCGACATGCCCTCGTTCATGTGCCATGTCGATGGTTCGGAGTAATATTTTGATACATAGCCCGGCATGCCCTCGCCCCGGTTTGATTTTGCTTTCTTTCGGTTTCGGTCTTTGCTCGACTTGTGTCGCCTAGCTCATCCGTCCCTTTCACCGGCTGTCGGTACGGCTAACGCCTGGCGATAAAGACGGCATCCAACCAACGGCCTGTCAATGGCGAAGCGCATCTGACCAACACTCAGGGTAAGTGACCAAGTAATAAATACCGGACCCGTGTCGCCGCAACCCCAACCCACGACGACTTGTCGATCCAACACCGGGATGAACTTGGCAGGAAAATGACGATGCCATGCCAATGCCAATGTAACAAACCGCAGGCGGGTGGTATTGAGAGCGGGTGATGGATTGGTTAGATTGATGGGAGAAGCGCCAAGCCAAATGCCAACGCAGCGCTTGAGACGTCAATGGCGCGCCCCGGTTTTTCTTTTTTTTTTTTTTTGGCCCAGATGGTCGCCGTGTCGTGTGTTGACCGTTGACCTTTTCACCTTCAAGGTGTTGAGCGAGCTCGGCTGGCGCTGGCCACTGGAGCCGGGTAGCCCCGAGGCCACCCCCAGCAGCACCAGCCAGACCCGAGTCTCACTAAACCAAAGCCGTCATGTTCAATCAAATGCTCCCAAGCTAATCATCCCGGTGCCATTGAGTTTGGTCCTTTGGCCCCAACAGATTCAATTTGACAACCGACCGTAATCGACAACTGCCCGTTATCCCGACATCTGCATACCGTTGCTCAAACTCCAAACTGACCTTCGCCAAATTCACCTCCGCCTCCGTCTGCCTTCCCCCTCTTTTTCTCTTGCCCATATCGATGCTATCTACTGGTAACTACTTATTCTGCGCCCCTTCCTTCCCAAGGCCAAAAGCCGCGCGGGTTTTAACCTTGGACCTTTCTTGCTAGCTGTTCCATCTCGAAGCTCCTCCCCCTCGAGATCGGATAATATTTGGCCACGTCGACCCGATTGATACCTTGCCAGCGTGTCGTCTTGTCTCCTCCCCTGACGACTGCTGGGTTTTCTTCGTAACTTTTGTTTAATTGCTAGCGGCTTTTGCAAAAAGAAAGATTCGATACGTCTTCGTCTTCTCTCGATTTTCTCCCTACCAAGCGGAACCTCTCAATCTACTCGCAGTCCGCCCTTCGCTCAGGAACGAATCCACACATTTTCCAACCACAGGGTTCTAGACAGCCTGTTTGCCATCTCATGACGTTGCGAAAGTGACGGATTTGTCCTGTCACCTCCCAATCCTCGCCCAAGCGCCCAAGCGCCCTCTAATACCTCCTAATTGAAAACCCACATTCTCACAGCAAACATGCCCGATGCATCAGAAGCCAACGGCACCAATGGCCGGGTGGTGCCCGTTGCTAATGGCAAGGCTACCTACGCTGAGAAGCACAATATCGCAGATCACTTCATTGGAGGCAGCAGGCTAGAAAATGCCGCCCCCAGCAAGGTCAAGGACTTCGTTGCGCAACATGACGGACACACTGTTATCACCAACGTAAGTATCGACACACACTTCATTCAGAGTGAGAACTAACACACCGCCCGTGACAGGTCTTGATTGCCAACAACGGTATTGCCGCCGTCAAAGAAATTCGATCAGTCCGAAAATGGGCCTACGAAACGTTCGGCGACGAAAGAGCCATTCACTTCACCGTCATGGCTACCCCCGAGGATCTGCAGGCCAATGCAGATTACATCCGAATGGCCGACCACTATGTCGAAGTGCCTGGTGGCACCAACAACCACAACTATGCCAATGTCGAACTGATTGTGGACATTGCTGAGCGTATGAATGTCCATGCTGTCTGGGCTGGCTGGGGTCACGCCTCCGAGAACCCCAAACTACCCGAGTCGCTGGCTGCCTCGCCAAATAAGATTGTCTTCATTGGCCCTCCAGGATCGGCCATGCGGTCGCTTGGCGACAAGATTTCCTCCACAATTGTTGCCCAGCACGCAGCAGTCCCTTGTATTCCGTGGTCAGGATCTGGTGTCGACGCCGTAGAGATCGACAGCAAGGGTATTGTCACCGTCGCAGACGACATCTACGCCAAGGGCTGCGTGACCTCGTGGCAAGAAGGTCTGGAAAAGGCAAAGGCAATTGGCTTCCCCGTCATGATCAAGGCTTCAGAAGGTGGTGGTGGTAAAGGTATCCGAAAGGCTGTGAGCGAAGACGGCTTTGAAGCTCTCTACAAGGCAGCCGCTAGCGAAATTCCCGGATCTCCCATCTTCATCATGAAGTTGGCAGGCAATGCCAGGCACTTGGAAGTTCAGCTTCTGGCTGATCAGTACGGCAATAACATCTCCCTTTTTGGAAGAGATTGTTCCGTCCAGCGACGCCATCAGAAGATCATCGAGGAGGCTCCCGTCACCATCGCCAAACCCGACACCTTCAAGGCAATGGAGGATGCCGCTATCCGTCTTGGCAAGCTGGTCGGATACGTTTCCGCTGGTACGGTGGAATACCTGTACTCGCACGCCGACGACAAGTTTTATTTCCTGGAGCTGAACCCTCGTCTCCAGGTCGAGCATCCGACCACTGAAATGGTCAGCGGCGTCAACCTACCAGCTGCACAGCTTCAGATTGCCATGGGTCTGCCCCTGCACCGCATTCGCGACATTCGAGTCTTGTACGGTGTGGACCCTAGAACCTCTGGTGAGATTGACTTTGAATTCAAAAACGAAGGCACTGCTCAAGCTCAGCGTCGTCCTACACCCACTGGTCACACCACTGCTTGCCGTATCACCTCTGAGGATCCTGGTGAGGGCTTCAAGCCCTCCAATGGTGTCATGCATGAGTTGAACTTCCGGAGTAGCTCAAACGTTTGGGGTTACTTTTCCGTCGGTACTCAAGGTGGTATTCACAGTTACTCTGACAGTCAGTTTGGTCACATTTTTGCTTATGGCGAGAACCGACAGGCTTCCCGCAAGCACATGGTCGTTGCCCTCAAGGAATTGAGTATTCGTGGCGACTTTAAGACCACTGTTGAGTATCTCATCAAGCTGCTCGAAACCGAGGCCTTCGAGGACAACACCATCTCCACTGGCTGGCTGGATGAGCTCATCTCTAAACGCCTCACGGCCGAGAGGCCCGACACAATGTTGGCTGTCGTGTGCGGTGCTATTACCAAGGCCCATATTGCTAGCGAAGCCTGCGTGGCCGAGTATCGTGCCGGCTTGGAAAAGGGCCAGGTCCCTTCCAAGGAGATCCTCAAGACGGTCTTCAACATCGACTTTATCTACGAGGGTTTCAGATACAAGTTTACCGCCACTCGCGCCAGTGCCGACAGCTATCACCTCTTCATCAACGGCTCCAAGTGCACTGTCGGCGTTCGCGCCCTCAGTGATGGCGGCCTGCTGATTCTTCTCGACGGCCACAGCCACAACGTCTACTGGAAGGAGGAAGTCGGCGCCACTCGTCTGTCCGTTGATAGCAAGACTTGCTTGCTCGAGCAGGAGAACGACCCTACTCAGCTGCGAACCCCCAGTCCCGGTAAGCTGGTTCAGTACGCTGTGGAAAACGGTTCCCACGTCAAAGCTGGCCAAACCTATGCCGAAGTCGAGGTCATGAAGATGTACATGCCCTTGGTAGCCCAGGAGGATGGCATTGTTCAGCTCATCAAGCAACCCGGGGCCACTCTCGAAGCTGGTGACATTTTGGGTATTCTCGCTCTGGATGACCCCAGCCGTGTCAAGCAAGCACAGGCCTTTGTCGACAAGCTGCCTCCCTACGGCGACTCCCTGGTTGTTGGCTCAAAGCCCAGCCAGCGCTTCTCCGTTCTGCGATCCATCATGCTTAACATCTTGAACGGATACGACAACTCGGTCATCATGGCGCCTGCTCTCAAGGAACTGATTGAGGTCCTCCGCAACCCCGAGCTGCCCTACAGCGAGTGGAATGCGCAGTTCTCAGCTCTCCATGCCCGCATGCCTCAGAAGCTGGATTCGCAGTTCGCTCAAATTGTGGAGCGATCCAAGTCTCGTCACTCCGACTTTCCGGCCAAAGCTCTGCAGAAGGCATTCCAAAAGTTTCTTGAAGAGAGTCTGCCGGCAAACGATGCTGAAACCCTGAGGACGACTCTCGCTCCTCTCACCCAAGTTCTCCACGCCTACGTCGAGGGCTCCAAGGTTCACGAGCTCAACTTCATCCAGTCCCTGATCGAGGCCTATGTCGATGTTGAAAAGCTGTTCCTCAGTCATGCTCAGGAGGACAGCGTTGTTCTCAGGCTCCGTGATCAGAACAAGGATAACCTTGGCAAAGTTGTGCACACGGTTCTTTCGCACAGCCGGGTCAGCGCCAAGAGCTCGCTCATCCTCGCTATTCTCGATGAGTACCGCCCCAACAAGCCCAACGTCGGTAACATCAGCAAGTACTTGCGCGAGCCCTTGCGCAAACTGACCGAGCTCTCATCTCGCTCTACTTCGAAAGTCTCTCTGAAGGCGCGTGAGATTATGATTCAATGCTCTCTTCCTTCGCTTGAGGAACGTACCGCCCAGATGGAGCATATTCTGCGATCCTCCGTCATCGAGTCCCGATACGGAGAGAGTGGTTGGGACCACCGTGAGCCTAATCTCGACGTCATCAAGGAAGTTGTGGACTCCAAGTATACCGTCTTCGATGTCCTCCCTCTGTTCTTTGCTCACGAAGATCCCTGGGTGGGGCTCGCTGCGCTGGAAGTCTACGTTCGCCGTGCCTACCGTGCCTACATCTTGAAGCAGATTGACTATCACAACGACGAGTCTGACTCGCCCCAATTCGTCTCTTGGGACTTCCAGCTTCGCAAGATTGGTCAGTCCGAGTTTGGCCTTCCTCTCCAGTCTGCTGCCCCTTCGACGCCAGGTACCCCTGGAGTTCCGGACTTGAACGTCAAGCGCATTTACTCTATCAGCGACATGTCATACCTGACCAGCAAGTGGGATGAGGAGCCCACTCGCAAGGGTGTCATTGTTCCTTGCAAGTACCTCGAGGATGCTGATGAGCTTCTTCAAAAGGCCCTTGAGACGCTGGCTTTCCACAACAAGCAGAACCGCCAGAACAACCCTATGACAATCCTCAATGATCTCAGCGGGAAGCGCAAGCCTTTAAACTCTACTCAGAAGGATGCCAAGACCAGCGACGAGTTATCTGCTGTCCTTAATGTTGCCGTCCGTGATGCAGAGAGCAACGACGATAAAGAGCTCATGGGCCGTATCGTGCCCATCGTCGAACAATTCCGAAGCGAGTTGTTGGCCCGGGGTGTCCGTCGCCTGACATTCATCTGCGGTCATGGTGACGGCTCTTATCCGGGTTACTTCACTTTCCGAGGCCCGGAATATCTTGAAGATGACAGTATTCGTCACAGCGAGCCGGCTCTCGCTTTCCAGCTCGAGCTGGGACGTCTTGCCAAATTCCACATCAAGCCTGTGTTCACCGAAAACAAGAATATTCACGTCTACGAGGCTGTAGGCAAGGCTGTTGACACTGACAAGAGATACTTTACGCGTGCTGTCATCCGCCCTGGTCGTCTCCGCGACGAGATTCCTACTGCCGAATACCTTATTTCCGAGGCTGACCGTGTCATCAACGACATCTTTGATGCCCTTGAAATTATCGGTAACAACTCTTCCGATCTGAACCACATCTTCATGAACTTTACGCCTGTCTTCCAACTCGATCCCAAGGCTGTCGAGCAGAGCCTGCAAGGCTTCCTAGATCGTTTTGGAGCCCGTGGCTGGCGATTGCGTGTTTCTCAAGTTGAAATCCGTATTATTTGCACGGATCCCCAGACCAGCACCCCTTACCCTCTCCGTGTCGTCATCACCAACACTTCCGGCTATGTCGTGGACGTCGACATGTATGCCGAGCGAAAGTCGGAGAAGGGCGAGTGGGTTTTCCACAGCATCGGCGGTACCAGCGAGAAGGGATCTCTTCATTTGCTTCCCGTCAACACACCGTATGCGACCAAAAACGCTCTCCAGCCTAAGCGATACAAGGCTCACCTCATGGGAACTCAGTATGTCTATGATTTCCCTGAGCTCTTCCGTCAAGCCATCCAAAACAGCTGGGCCAAGGCTGTCAAAGACCAGCCCGCTCTGGCTTCCCGGCAGCCCAAGGTTGGCGAGTGTGTGTCCTACACTGAGCTTGTTCTCGACGACAAGGACACGCTTCAGGAGGTCAACCGTGAGCCCGGCACCAACGCTTGTGGTATGGTGGGTTGGATCTTCAAGGCTCGCACGCCCGAGTACCCCACCGGTCGCCGGTTCGTCGTCGTTGCCAACGACATTACCTACAACATTGGTTCCTTCGGTCCCAAGGAAGACAACTTCTTCAACAAATGCACCGAGTTGGCTCGCAAGTTTGGCATTCCACGGATCTACCTGTCTGCCAACTCTGGTGCTCGTCTGGGTCTGGCCAATGAGCTCATGCCCTTTTTCAAGGTCGCATGGAATGACCCTGCCAAGCAGGAGGGAGGCTTCCGCCACCTGTACTTGGATGAGAAGACCAAGGAGAACTTCAAAGACGACGTCATCACGGAAGAGGTCACTGAGGACGGTGAGAAGCGCCACAAGATTGTCACCATCATCGGACGTGAGGACGGCCTGGGCGTTGAATGCTTGAGAGGATCCGGTCTCATCGCCGGTGCCACCAGCCGTGCTTACAATGACATTTTCACCGTTACCTTGGTCACCTGCCGATCAGTTGGTGAGTAGCATTGCCATGTTTTGTTTTATTGACAGCACGGGTCTAACATTATCGTAGGCATTGGCGCCTACCTGGTCCGTCTCGGCCAGCGTGCCGTCCAGATTGAGGGCCAGCCCATCATCTTGACTGGTGCCCCTGCCTTGAACAATTTACTTGGACGTGAGGTGTACACTTCCAACCTGCAGCTCGGAGGCACTCAGATCATGTACCGCAACGGTGTTTCCCATATGACTGCCAACGATGACTTTGCTGGTGTCTCTCGCATTGTCGAGTGGATGGCATATGTGCCTGAGAAGCGCGACGGTCCCATCCCTGTTAGCCCCAGTTCTGACTCCTGGGACCGTGACGTTGTTTACTGCCCGCCTCAGAAGCAGGCTTTTGATGTCCGCTGGATGATCGCCGGCAAGCATGACGAAGACGGCAGCTTCCAGAGCGGCCTGTTTGATAAAGACTCCTTTTTTGAGACTCTTGGCGGCTGGGCCCGAACTGTTGTAGTCGGTCGTGCACGTCTTGGAGGGATTCCCATGGGTGTCATCGCTGTTGAGACTCGCTCTGTCGAGAATATCACCCCTGCCGACCCTGCTAACCCCGACTCCATTGAACAAGTCACCAATGAGGCTGGTGGTGTCTGGTATCCCAACTCAGCTTTCAAGACGGCTCAGGCCATCAACGACTTCAACTACGGTGAGCAGTTGCCGTTGATGATCCTGGCCAACTGGAGAGGTTTCTCTGGTGGTCAGCGAGACATGTACAACGAAGTCCTCAAGTACGGTTCTTTCATTGTCGATGCGCTTGTCAAGTACAAACAGCCCGTCTTTGTGTACATTCCACCTTTCGGCGAGCTGCGTGGCGGATCCTGGGTCGTCGTTGATCCCACCATTAACCCTGTGGCCATGGAGATGTACGCCGATGCTGAAGCTCGTGGTGGTGTTCTCGAACCCGAGGGTATCATTGGTATCAAGTACCGCAAGGAGAAGCAGCTCGAGACCATGGCTCGCATGGACAGCACTTATGCCAATCTGAAGAAGCAGCTCGAGAATAGCGACCTGACTCCCGAGCAAGCCGCTGAGATCAAGAAAAAGGTCGTTGCCCGGGAGAAGGAGCTGCTACCAGTCTACGCCCAGATTGCTGTGCAGTTCGCGGACCTGCACGACCGTGCTGGACGTATGAAGGCCAAGGGTACGATTCGCGACTCGTTGGAGTGGGTTAGTTCCCGCCGATACTTCTACTGGCGGCTGCGTCGTCGTCTGAACGAGGAGTACATCCTCCGACGCATGGCCAGCAGTATCTTGTCAGCGGTCAACGACTCCAACCATTCCAAGGCCACTGACGTGCGAGCCCGCAACCTACATTTATTGCAGAGCTGGTCTGGCATTATCAACTTTGGCAAGAGCGACAGGGAAGTTGCCGAGTGGTACGAGAAGGAGAGAAAGAATATTGGAGAGAAGGTGGATGCCCTCAAGGCAGAGCACCTTGCAGTGGAAGTTGCTGAAGTGGTGCGCACGCAGAAGACTGCTGGATGGAAGGGTGTTCGGGAGGCGCTCAGAGTCATGCCCGTTGAGGAGCGGGAGGCGATTCTCAAATACCTCAAGGCATAAAAGCGAGACGTGGGACCGGGGGGGGGGGGGACCTTTGAGCATCATCATCCCCTGTCTTACTTCATCTTGTTTTCAATGTCTGAAACTCGGCGCACATGCATATAAAGGAGTGTATATTATTCTTTTTTTTTTTCGCTTTTTGGCGTTTGGCCGTTGTACACATCAGAGCTGCCTCAATAACGAAACCGCGTTTATGATGGACTGACTGTCATGACCAAAGTGTAACTTGTGTGTGAAGCAGTGGTCTCGATCAAGTACAGTGTGGTCATATGGCCTCGTCGTTTGGCCATGAGTCTTTTTATGTCCGGAGTGACTGATTTGTAACATTCCCGAGCGCAAGCACGTGCGCCGCATGGGCCGGGTCATTCTATGGTACAGCATTATTACATGTTTATTGTACACACGGCGGCGCCCGCTCTCGATGCATCGTGAGTTCCGCCAGAGAAGACGGACGGGCCCCTGGCCGCGGGGAGGGATTCCGGGCCCTCTTGCGCAAAGCCCGCAACGTGTGCGTCCAGGCTGGCCGCTTTTGAACCTGGGCGGTGTTCCGAGAAGGCGAGGAAGGGGCACTGGCTTGGTCCCCTGTCTCGGCGAGCTACTCGGACACGCGCGTGTTGAGCTGGACCCCGTGCCAGCCGCGCATGACGTCGGCCAGGGCGGCGTTGACCATGCGCTGCTGCTTGAGCATGGTGGCGCCCTTGAAGGCCGGCGAGGCGATGTCGATGGCGTACATGCTGCCGCAGCCGCCGGATACGTCGCGCACGAGGAGCTCCGTGGGCTGGAGCTTGGCGCGGAGGAGGTCGGCGATGGCGGACTCGGCGGGCGTCATGGACGGTTCTTCCTGCTCGGCGGCTGTGACTGTCGCTGTTGAGGAGGGCCTTGTGCTGTTGAGGCTGGAGCTGGTGCTGGAGCTGGTGCTGGTGGTTGGATTGGGACGAGGACGGGGATGTGGTGTGAGGCGTGGGCGAGGGAGCGGTGGCAGCGGCGGCCGGCGCATGCCTAGGCGCCAGGGCTGGCGGATCATAGCTGCTGGCACTTTTCTTGATGGTTGATGATGCTCGGGGGGGACTCTTTGGTGGTTTGTCGAGCGGAGGTTGGGCGGAGCCTCGGTGGGCCGGGGATTTGCCGGAGAGGCGGGGCAAAGGTTCGCAACGTCTAGACTCGAGACTCTAAACGTGGACGGGCCGCCATCTTGATGACAATTCGTGGCCATGTCCACCTCGAGGCAGATGCGCTCTCGTCTGGGAATGGCGAACATGCATTTCTCTGCGGCCTCGGGCGCTGTCTCGAGGTACTCCGTACGAGATGCGAAGACGGGCCTGCGACGCCGCCTGTCGCTGGGCTCAATTGCGGTCTACACGGTGAGCAAGGTGGACATACTAACTAACTAGTATAAGTTAATAGGGTGTACGCAACTGGTGTGAGACGTGACGTGCGACAGACATGCTTACGTGGGTTTCCGCTCTTGACAGGACACGCGTTGATGCCGCGAAGACGGAAGGGGATGGAAGGCAAGAAGGATAGACGCGCCAACTATGGCGGGTATATCCATTCTATTTCGTGTCTATCTGTGCGCGGACCGTCAATACGGCCACGCTGGCTACCTTGCGATGAAGGAGTTGGACTTGCTCGGTGCTTTCCGGGGCGGCTGGTTGGCGACGGGCGTGCCGGACGACACAAAGGGACGGGTTGCATATAGAACTAACTAAATAGTCACTCTTCTCCGTAAATAACCGTGCGCCCAGCTGTCTGATTGCGATGGACTGCGCTGTGTATGTCATCATTGTCTGGTCTGAATGCCACATCTGACTCCGCTCTGATACTCGGCTCACCTCACACCCTCGCTGGCTGCTGGTGCGGCAAGAGTCAAGCCTCGATGCAGGATGCTTAAAGCTACCACGTACCCGGAGCCTTGCATGTCAGCTCCTGCCAGGGTGACCAGTTGCGGAAGGTAAATTGGCTTCCATTGAGCAAAAGGACAAATGGATTTGTTTGGTTCCTGAACGCCTGTTTGCTGGCAACGGTTCGTCCCACCAAGGAGTTCTCGCCATGGAGCGAATCTCTCCGCAGGTGCAGGCATGTGAAGGATTCCCCAGGGAGCCAGGGGTGAAGGGACGCGAACGTGCGGGCGTGACATTCATCAGATGATCTACAGGTACGGCAGTGAACTCCTGTGCTAAGCCTGTCCAAAGTCCACGACCTGAAGTTGGTCCGCGCACCACCGAGCAACTAGTAGCTGGTCTTGTTGCCCTGAGAGGGGGCATCTGAACAGCACAAGCCAGAGACACGGGCACCGCACAATGCATGAAGCAGGAACGCATCGTGCCTTTGGCTGCCGAAACCACCGTCGGAGCCGCTCTCCTGACGTGGTCTAGTCACCGAATTGTGTCACTGTGCTACCGTGACATCGTAGCTGCCGGCCGAGATGGGAAGGTATATGTGAATATTGATCTAGTGGCGGGATATCTGGGACAAACGACCCCAGAGGACATATCATGGGCATGGCGCATGCCAAATCGAGGAGTGGGGGGGCGCAAGCCTGAATGCATCACGGGCATGTCGCTTTAGCCAATTTACGCGACGCAGGCCCAGGGACAAGGGTGAATGAACCCTTGTTTGAGCTTCGTGAGGTCGGCAGCCGAGGTCGGCAGCCGAGGACCTGGCATTGCGTATGGGAGCACAGAGCCGAGCCGGGGGTGTTTGACTGCGCGTGTGTGTGATGGCCGTATAGATAAGAGACGGCGTTGTCTGATGGGGATACGGGGTTCGTTTGTGTTCTGTCTTGGAGGTCGTGCTGCAAAGGTCCTGCATAATTTTGACTTGTGCGAGATGGTTTGATGTCGGCAGCAGACCTGGAGAGGTGAGCATGCAAGTGCTCAATTCCTGGTCCTGCAAGCAGCTGCTCGGTAGTACGGAGTAACTACCGTCGCTGGGAAGGAGCCAGCTGGGCCTGCTCCTGCCGCGGGGATTTGATCGTGTCAAACAACACGCACACGGTGCACGACATTTTCCACAAGCTCAACAAACAACGCGCAGCAAGCAGCAAGCAGCACGCAGCACGCAACAGAGACATGGAGCATGTCAGCGATTCCGAATGGCCATCGCAGCCATTGTTCCACAATGTCCTTCTTATTTACTCCAACAACAAACGACACCTTGTTCTACCCCGCCGAACCGCCGCCCTGCCTTTGCAATACCTGCAGTGTGATCTCGCTGTCTGGTGCGGGACTTGGACGCTGCCGATTAATTGACTGCCCGTGGCCCGAATGGGAACTGTGCTGTGTTATTGCCGTGGCGGCTAGGACAGAACGTTTGGGTCAATCCGCCAGACACGGCTAGCATGGCTATCGAACAAAAGTTCGTAACTTACACCTCCTGGATTAAGCCAGCCAAAAGATGCTTCTCCAAGTACGCGAGTACAGGGTATGTTTAGTATCATCATTCTTCCTCTTGGCAAAATGCACCGACTGACACACAGGCCACCTGACGGCCAGCTTGAAGTGGCCAAGTTGATGATGGAACACATGACTTCCTCAGCGAACCGTCAATGTCTCGCCTATTGCCAATTACGCCAGAAGCAAAAAGGATGACCTGCCGGAAAGTTTCAGTCTGGAGCTGCCCCAGAGCTATAGCCACCAGCCGCTGATCCCCATGTCCCATTAGCCAAACTGGGCAGCTACGAATGAGGTGACGGCCCTACCATGGAGATTACTACCTTCAACCGCTCCAGAGTGGAGAAGATTGCAAGACGAACCCAGGGTCTCCGCGTCGACCCTTGTGCGAAGATTGTTGGGATGATATCGATGGATTGCTCCTCCGCGATATGTACGCAGTAACCCCACTGCACCATCTCTAGTCTGGGGACCAAGCAAAGCGATGACTTGCCGAAACCAATGGTCTGGCCTCCGAAAATCTCCACCACACGACTTATGTATGCTCGCTTCCCTAGCGCAATTAGGGGACCAGGGCCGGCGATATGTAACCTTTTAGACGTGAGGATCGATAAACATGTAGTGGTAGTTACAACGGCAGCATACGATTCTGGGATGGTCACGTACCGACATCGACATGGTGCTCCGTTTTGGCCAGCGACGGGCCTGTATATTGCTCCATCGTCCAAGACAAGTTGAAAAGGTCGGCGTGCAGTGTCTTGACCATCTAGTTATAACGCAAGTTTGCCTGTCGCATGACGGCCACGCCGAGCAGGAGGCGCCTGTTCATTTGACGGAGGCCGATGCTGGGTGACATGTGAAGAGGGACAGGCCTCGTGCGGAGGCCACATGTTGTCGTCTCCAGGTCTCCTCTGACCCAGCTTTGCAAGTGTTTGACTGACGATCTTACCAGTCCTCGTTGCAACCCGCCTGTCAATAGGCTCTGCCACGCCTACTCAGCTCGCTGTTCCTGAGGAGAAAATTTCTCTCGCCCAACAGCGAGCGCCCGTCGCGAGGCAAGGTGGTCCACTGTCTCACCAGCCGACAAGTCGGTAAGCGACCATTGACCAAGACTTGCGGCCGACTGTCTCTGGACCTATCCGTCGATTGAGGTTGTCCCGTTCCTCGGGGTATACTTGCTTTAGCCAAGATACTGCGTGTTCTTGGGTCATATTCTGAGCAGTCATGCAAGGCTTCAAGTCGTGCGTCTGGGACTCGCACGAATCCACATGTTCAGCAACATACATCCGGGCATGTCTTGTCTGGTTCCATTTCCCCAACCACTTGGTGAGCCTCTCGTGCTTTCTGGAAACGTGGCGAACACCCCTTCCCTAGTTGCTAGTAAGTCAAGTCAAGTCAAGTCAAGCCTCTCTGGTATGTTCTGTCTGACGTGCTACAGCATGTCTTCCACGCCTGTTTGAGTACACCAGACGGCATTGGCAGGTCAGACTACACCGGGCTGCTACATGCATCGGCACACGGTAATTTTAGGTCATCAATCGGGCCTGGGACCTCCCAATTGCGTTAAATGGCGCGTGCCGCTTGCTTGAGAGAGTCTGGTCGTCATGTCCAGCCAATGAACTCCACACGCCAATCTACGGAGTACGATGTTCCGCTTTGCTTCTCGGGTCGCCTCTTTAACTCACGTGCCGTGCCGGTGGTGAAATTTGCGCTTTGGCACCTGGAATCCGTCTCATCAATCGTTCGTGTCTGGCCACAACCGATGTTTGTGCAAGTATTTCAATGCGTTAGGGCCTTTCGTTTCCTTTTCCTTTTCCTTTTTTTTCCCCCTCGCGGCTTGAGTCCAGCAGTGTGACGCTCTAGACTCTGGAGATTGGAGCATATAAACTAGCAACCATGCCAACACTAATCCGACCCCTGCTCTACGGAACCCGGGTCTTTCATGTACTGCAACCCAAGCTAGCGAACATGACGGCGCCTATCTCGCTTTTGGTGTCCAACGCCGTTCACTTACGGCGTACTCCGTACGTGACCTATGGAAGACCGCAAAGTCCCTTGCTGGGCCATGCACAGGTGACCGGGGGGGCTGCGTCTCCATCTCGACTCCGGTTCTGGGACTTGCATATTGATGCAGAAGGTCAGCCGGGGGACAGTCATAATTCATGGAAGTGGAAGCTATGAGCTGCGGCAAAAGTCTCCCTTCGTGGCTATATAGTATACCACGATGGCCCTCCTGCCTTTGACAGTCCCGCCAGGATTGTGAACTCACTGCCGTCGTTCCTACTAGTTCACATCTTCTCTGTCTCACTCCCTGGCTTGCATGTAAGCCGACATGGTGGGACTCTCACTCGTCTTGTCGCTTGTGGCGGCAGCCGCAATGGTTCTGGCGGCAGATGCTCACAGCAAGAAAGTCGTCAAGAGCTTCGTTCCGGGAGCTTACATCTTCGAACTCGAGGAAGGCCATGTAAGCTATTCGTTCCAGTGGAAGAGCCCTTCTGCGACGCAACGACGTGACATGTTGGTTCCATGCCGCCTCGTCTGACACTCCTTTTAGGATCCTGCTGCCTTCGAACGGTCGGTTGGCAAGGATGGCACTACCCGGATGAAGCTCGACTACGAGCTGTTCAAGGGTGTCTCCGTTCAACTACATGATGTGGACAAGGCCCACGAAAAGGCAGCGAAGCTGGCAGCCACACCGGCCGTCAAGGCTGTTTACCCGGTCCAGCTTTTCAACATGCCAAAACCCAAGGTAGAGTGGGTTGCACAGGATAACACCAAGGCGCCGAGTGGCCTCCTCTCATCAAGAGCCGATGAAAGTCCCGACATCTTTTCTCCTCATGTCATGACTCAAGTCGACAAGCTTCGTGCCAAGGGAATTACTGGAAAGGGCGTTAAGATTGCCGTTGTCGATACTGGTGTAAGTCAGCGTGGCCTGGCCATCCGACCCTCACGCCCTTCCTGGAGCAACATCCACAGTGATACCATGAATTGACTTGATTCTTCAAGATTGATTACAAACACCCAGCTTTGGGGGGCTGCTTCGGCAAGGGCTGCCTGGTCGCCTTCGGAACCGACCTGGTTGGCGATGCCTATGATGGTTCCAACACTCCCTACCCCGATTCCGATCCCATGGACTGTGGCGGCCATGGTTCGCATGTTGCCGGCATTGTCGCTGCCCAGCCAAACTCGTACGGATTCAGTGGTACCGCTCCCGGCGCTACATTGGGTGCCTACCGTGTTTTTGGCTGCAAGGGCCAGGCCGGTAACGATGTTCTGATTGCAGCCTTTAACCAGGCCTATCAGGATGGCGCAAACATCATCACTGCATCTATCGGTGGACCTAGCGGTTGGTCTGAGGAGCCATGGGCTGTGGCCGTCTCCCGTATCGTCGATAAGGGCGTGCCCTGCACTGTTTCTGCTGGCAATGAGGGCGCAGAAGGCATCTTCTATGCTAGCACTGCCGCCAATGGTCGTCACACCTCAGCGATTGCTTCATTTGACAACGTCCAGACCCCTGCTCTCCTCTACAGCGCCAAGTACCAGATTGACAGCGACGCCGATGTAAAGTTCGGCTATGTTCCGTCTGAGCCGGCTGACTGGGACGGCGTCACGCTGCCGGCATGGTCCAACAGCCTTGACCCTACGATCCCGAATGACGGGTGCGACCCTTTTCCAGACAACACGCCTGATCTCGGCAAGTACATTGTCCTGATCCGTCGGGGCACTTGCGCATTTTCCCAGAAGGTAAACAATGCCGTCGCCAAGGGTGCTAAGTACATCGTCGTTTACAACAATAATCCCGTCGGCGCAATTCCTATGGACCTTGCGGCGGTTCCCCCTCGTTCCATCAAGGCAGCATCCATGATTGACGGCAAGACTGGCACAAATTTTATCAATGCTCTCAAGGATGGCAAAAAACTCACACTAAAGATGGTGAGCCCTCAAAAGGCCGACACAGACGTCAGCAGCTCCAACAACACCATTACTGGTGGCGCCCTTAGCACGTTTACCAGTTGGGGCCCGACCTGGGAAATGGACGCCAAGCCTCAGTTTGGTGCTGTTGGCGGCAATGTTCTTTCCACTTATCCCCGGGCCTTGGGCAGTTATGCCGTCCTCTCCGGGACATCCATGTCCTGTCCCCAGACCGCTGGCATTATCGCTCTAATCCGCGAGGTCCGCGGTGCTTGCGATCCTGCGCTGATTCAGAATCTGCTTTCTGCCAACGCCAAGCCGCAACTCTTTAATGATGGCAGTAAATTTTACGATTTCTTGGCGCCTGTCCCTCAGCAGGGCGGTGGTCTGATCCAGGCATATGATGCAGCATATGCCACCACCATTCTTTCGCCTTCCAGCTTGTCATTCAATGACACTGACCACTTTGTCAAGAAGCTCAAGTTTAAGCTTGAGAATACCGGCAAGGAGAAGGTGACTTACAAGATTACACACGCTCCCGCCATATCCATGTATGCATTGGGTAAAGAGTCGTCCGCTGTTGAGCCGTTCCCGAATCAGGCTATCGAGGCCGCCGCCGCCACCATTCAGTTCAGCGAAACCAGCATTACACTCCACGGTGGCCAATCCAAGTCTATCAGTGTTTCTCCCACGCCGCCTCAAGGTCTGGATGCCAAACGTCTTGCTCTATGGTCCGGCTACATTGCTGTCAATGGCACTGATGGGACGTCTCTGTCACTTCCTTATCAGGGACTCACCGGTTCCCTGCACAAATCCCCGGTTCTGGGTGCTAATAACACCTGGATCTCCAAGTCGACTGACAAACAGTCCAACCCCCAACCCCCAAACTCGACGTTTTTGATTCCCGCACCGGGTAACGCGGGCTCCAACGACACTCTTCCTCAGCTCACGGTTTCACTGTATCTTGGCTCTCGAAAGATCCGCGCCGACATCGTTCCGCTGACGACGTGCCCTCCCAAGAACTTGACAACTGAATCCCATGGCATCAAGACTATTGGCCAGCCTTACAACTTCCCTTCCCTCTGGGGGACCCGCGGTCTGAACAACTTCCCGTGGGACGGCCGCCTCGACTCTGGCAACTATGCGCCTCCTGGCAAGTACAAGTTTGTTGTGTATGCCCTCAGAATATTTGGTGACGAGAAAAAGAAGGAGGATTGGGACGTTAGCACCTCGGCGCCTTTGCATATAAAATACCTCTAAATGACGTTGAAAAGAGAGAAAAATAAGTGGGACGTGTTGTTCTGTCGTTTTTCTAGGGTGGGCTGATGATGTATAATATATTTGCATCTTTGCAGGTATATACCAGTACTACTTATATACTGGACCTTGCGAGGCGTCACCGGAAACTTTGTCCTAAGAGCCTCTGCCAATGACTGGAAATGAAACCAAATAAAACAAAGCAAGCTAAATATCCATCAAGGCCAAATAACTCGCGTCAAGGTATCGTTCATCGTGCAGTGAATAAGGGCAGCCAGCAGCTGCATGAATCATGATATTGATAAGATGTCGGCCATAGTGAAGTATCTTCAAGGCCGTCGGACTGTCGGGCGCCTCTGAAAATTGAGGGATGAAAATATCTTCATCGCGTCGTAGAATCTGAGTCGAAACGCCACGTTGTGTGAAAGAATACGTACGTAGTTGGATCCGGGCATCGCCGGCAGTCTGAGCAAGGTAGAAAAGCGACCAATCAGATCATCAGAGGAAAGACGTTGCGCCTTCAGGCAGCAGCATTTCGCGCACAGGGACAGGATCGAGAGCGTCGCTCCTTCCCCACAATGGCGGACTGTGCAACTCGCGCACTCAACGCCAATTCGATCCGATCATCGTTTTTTTTGTTTTCGTCAATGTCGCCTTGGTCTCCATTACAGGCAGTCATATAAAAATGACAGCGGACGAAGACATTCTAGGCTTCTCTGAAAGCTAAAGGCCGATGCCAGCTGCAGCGGCGGCGGCGGCGACGACGACGACGACGACAACGGTCGACGACAACGGCAACGGCAACACGCATTGCCATTCTCTCTCCCCTTCTTCATCATCTTCTGCACACTTGCCCGCTCAAGCTTGGATCCGGAATATTTGGGCGCCGTTGCTGCCGTTGCTGCCGTTAGTGGCGGGACGTTGGGTTTTAAAGTAACGGCGACCTGTTGACGACTACGACTACCAGACGGCTAGCAGCAGGAACAGAGACTTTCGAACGCCATGGACTCCTCCATACCCATCGACTGTCGAGTGCGGTGTCAACGCCGACTGAGCCGCCTCTACTATGACACCACAATGTTAAGTGACTTCGTCTTTGAACCTGTGCAGAATGAAGAGGACCCGGAGATGAGGAGGCTTCATCGTAAACTTCGCATCCAAAATGACCGCTACGTTAGTTGGGGTCTTGTGTGGTCGGGCCCGGACCAATCCGCAGAGGTTGACGAATCCCTCTCAGAGGCCGGCCTGAGCAAGGTCTTGGGAAGCGTCATGTTCACCATCAAAGACATCATGGCTGAGGTGAGAACCCTTTGGCGCAGCTGGAGGGATCGTGTTGCTCTGAGCAGACCATCGCCGGACAAGAAGGCTGCACTAGTCCAGCGGGACAAGGCTCGGGTTGAGGATCTTATCCTCGATTTAACTGCCTCGATTGACACCTTGTACAACCTGTCGCACACGATGTCGTCCGGATACTCTGCTAGACGCATGTCCAAGACTACGTATAAGTCGCTGGGTACCGATGAATCCAGGCCATTCGAGTCGAGCCGCATGCAGACACCACAGCACATCGACCCCACGACACTCATTTCTCATCCTAAGCCGCGGGATGCATCCGCAGCCGCCCCCAGGGAGGTTGTCTCCATGAACAAGGTTGTATATTCTGAATTAACTCAGGATGCTACCACCGAATCACACTGGGTGCCTCTACTTCTAGAATATGCCACGTTTGACTCAATTTACTCGGCGACAGGAATTATGCCTTCAATGTCACGATTCGAAAAGCTGTCGTCTGGCCTACAGCAAGCTCCCCAACGTCCTCCAGGGACCTGGACGGGTCTACCACGTCTCTTGGGATACTTTGAAGACTTGGAGAACTCACGAATCGGCCTTGTATACAGATTTCCGCCTTCCTTCCATGTCTTTACTGATCCGCTCGAGGATATCGCTCTGTATGTGGAGCGCCTCAAGACCCCCCTGTTAATGACGCGCCCCCTGTATAATCCTCCAACGTTGGACGACCTCCTCTCGTCTCATGTTGAGCCGCCTTTGGAGTTAAAGTTCAGATTAGCCTACAACCTTGCCAACACCATCTTCGACATGCATGCCCGAGGTGTTACCCACGGTAACTTGGCTGCTAAAAACATATCTTTTGGCAGCGTTAGTGCGGAAGAAGCAAACAAAATGAGTCGTCTCGTCGACATTCGCCGACCGCTTGTGTCTTCGTTCGACATCTTCCCAGAAGACAAGGTTACGTCGGAGTTGTCGCCTTGGAGACATCCATTGGATCCCCACAGCTCGAAAAGCTCCCCCCTCCGCGGGACTACGGATGAGCGTGTTCCCGAATTGCACTCACTTGCTATGGCATTACTGTCCATCGGCTTGTGGACCAGGCTCGAGGACTGTAAGACCGCTTTATGTCCCTGCATCTCTGACTCTGAGGAAGCTTTAGACCGGGTAGCAAAGAGATGCGGGACAATTTACATGAAGGCGGTCCAAGCTTGCTGGCATGCAGTTGATGATGAGCCAAGTGGAAAACTAGGCGGGGAGGTACTTTTATCTACGGTACAAACGCAGACTACACGGTTTCTGGAGGCTTGTTGCATGTTAGACGACGTGAGTGGTCTCGAGCAGAGTGTGTATCAGGAGGTGCGCCATACAATCGCGGCGCAGCAGCGACCTGAATTTCCCAAAGATGTAGAATCACCATCTGGATATCCCACAGACAAGATACCCCCGTTGCCGCAGTCTGACTCCGGATTCACATGCTCTGAACGAATGCAGCCGCTGGGAGCGGATGCCGATGTTAGGGCAGCCTCTCCGACTGCTTCAGCCCTGCGCTCGACTAACAACATATTGGCAGAAGTTTCGGGCAAGCAGAAAATGAGGCTGTACCCTCACGTACCACTTCCACCCGACGTTGTGGATAAGTGGAACACCATCCTGATGCCCCAGATTAACCAGGCTCTTCGCCACTTTTGTCGAAAGCACCCCGAATCCGTTGAGATATCTTTGGAATCAGTTGGAACGAGTCCTCAGACCACGCAGCCGACTGTTTTGGTTGTCTGTACTTCGGTGGGAAAAGTTGGCGCAATCTTGAAGAAACGAATTGGCGAATTCTTTGACGACTCAACTGAATTCGCGCTCAAGGTCTGCCGTGGCCACGTTCTACGGTCCCGACGCTTGTCAAAGTCAGTTTCCCGGTCCCTGGCTGGAGCAAAAACCGCCGACGGAGACGATGAGGAGGTAGAGGCAGTGAATTCAGAGTATCAGGAACACCCGGGAAATGGAGCTAGCATTGGAGCATGGATCGGCGACCGACACTTGCCGCCAGTTAGTTTCGGCGGCCTCGTCTTGGTCGACGACAAGCCGTATGGCATGACGGTCCATCACATGCTCGACCGCCCAGACAGGGACGAGACGCAAACGGAAACTCTACGCAGCAGCGCGGCTCCAGGCCACGACTGGTACGCTGAGTTTATGGGGGGCAGCGGGGACGATGGAGGTTTTGGGTACGAGTTATCAGACGCTGGATCAGAGCCATACTCGGAAACCGACATCACCAGCGACTACGGTGACGACGATGAGGAGGAGGAAGACTTTGAGCCGGGAGATATTCCTGGAATTGAGCCTGGGAGCGGCAGCGGCTACGTGGTGACGCAGCCAGCCCTGGACGACGTCGAGGAGGGCTTCTATCCTTGTCCTGAAACTGAAGATGAAGACCATCTAGACACTTTCAGTCTGGGGGAGGTGTATGCTTCCAGCGGCATCCGTCGCACGCAAGCACAAGGCCTCATCCACGAAGTAGATTGGGCTCTTTTTGAGTTCTCCGACGACCGTTTCCCTGGGGAAAATGCCATGCCTCGTTGTGCCGACGGCAAGGCGAGATGCGATCCGAGCGGCAACGGCGCCAAGCTGCGACCGACGACGGTTGCGCCCGCATCGTCATTGCCGGGGATGGAGGTGCAGTGCGTTGCAAGGACGAGCGGCCTTGGAAGCGGACAAATTCTGCCCGCCCTGACGAGTGTGAAGATGTACGGTCGACGGTCGGTAAGCCACACATATCAGGTTGCGAGCACGGCAACGGACGGCAAAGAAAAGAATTCCAAGAGGCCAAGCCCGCCGATGGGCATTCCCGGCGACAGCGGAGCTTGGGTGGTGGACCGTCGCCACGGTCAGGTGTGCGGCCACGTGTTGGCTTGGAGCCAGCGGAAGCGAGTTGCCTACATTTGCCCAATGGATGTGCTCTTGCTCGACGTGGCGCAGACGCTCGAGGCATGCGAGGTCCGTCTTCCGGGGGGCGAGCCTGTGGTGACGCGCAGAGACGCCAGCCAGGGCGAGGACGAGGACGAACCAGGAGACTTGGTCGAGTACGAAGGCGATGAGGCACCGGAGCTTGCGCCCACTCCACCGAGCGCCAGGCAGCGAAACGCGGAAAGCTCGCCCACATCAGTCGGGACTCCAAGCAATCAAGAACCGTCATGTAGTGCGCGGCGACTGGAGCCGTCTACTGAACTACGGGGACTGGCAAGTCGGCTAGAGCAGCTCCGTCCTGCGAGGACGCGGAGGATAGGGATGAGCGGGTGAGGTACAAGGGTTCCTTTGGTGTGTCATTTGTAATGTGAGTTGGAAATGTCCCCATGTAACGGTGGGATTCATGCGTCAACATCAGGACACTCCTTCAGTCGCGACGATAACGAAGGCGGGGAAGCGCATCACGGATGAAATTGCAGCTTTGAATACCACAATTCCCCCCTGGGTTTTTTTTTTGACAGCGTAGTCAAGGAACGAATGCCTTGTTTGCGCGGCATCTCCCGCCGTAGCAACCAAGCAGTCGTTCATCGTCGTCGGGGCCTCCTCTTGTCGTCGTGAACAAAGGGGTAAAGAGAGCGTCACATAAAGTCGTCTTCCCAATTCGCATCGCGGTCCTGATTACTAGAAGCGGCCATGTTCTCCTCGCTGAACATGTCATCGTACGCATGGTCCTTTGCCCACTTCTTTTCCTTCCAGTCCTGCGCCTGCCGCGCCTCTTCTTTTCTCTGCCCGTGCAAAAGACGAGGGTTAGTGAGCTCTTTCGAGGTTCCCGGCACGCCCGTCTGGCACACCACACACACACGCGCGCAAACACACACACACACACGAGGGCCACACAATCAGCCACGTACGTACCCTCGCCTGCAGGGCGTCCTGCTCCCTGCGCCGCAGGACCTGCAGCCGGTCGTCGCGGTCCCGCTTCAGGTCGGGCCTCTTCTCGACGCGCGTCTTGTTGAGGCGGTTGACGACGGCGTTGTCGCGCGCGGGCACGAGCACGCGACGGACCTTGCGGGCGTCCTTGAAGGACACCTGGCCCGTGTCCATGGACCCGTCCTTGCGGAGGTTGCTCCACGGCGTGTACACGACCGTCACGTTGTCGCGCTTGTTGCCTGCGATTCAGAGACGCCCTTCTTTTAGCGCCCCGGCCCGCGGCCGTCGCCGCTCGCTGCTTGGGAGGAGAGGAGGGGCAGGGGGCGGCTCACCCTCGATCGAGTTGGCCTTTGTGAGCTGCGCCAGGTCCATGACGAGCGGCGGCGGGAGGGCGTCCCAGCTCTGGCCGTCGCGCATCCGGAGGTAGACGTGCGCGCTGGAGAGCTTGTCGGCGTGGAACTTGAGGCGCTGCTGCGTCAGTCTCTCTCGCGGTGGTGCTGCTCGTCGTCTGCCGGAAGGGGGGGGGTTACCCAGACGTCGTCCTCCCAGCCGTACTTGATGAGATCCTCATCTGTAGGAGGTAGGAAGCAGGACGGAAGGAGTCAGCATTCCGGTCGCGAGGGGGAGGGGGAGGGGGAGCGACGTGCTTTCGAACTTGTCCTTGCCGACGTAGATGAGGCCCGGGGGGTCGATGGTGCTGGATGTATAGTAGTAGACCATGGTCAGTCAGACCTGCGTCTAGAGGGACAAGTTTGGATGTCTGCCGGTCGCGACCTAATTTTTTAATTTTTTTTCGGTCGTTTTTTTTTTCCTTTGGCCGAGCGGGTGGGCAGGATGGAAAGTGGAAAGCGGAAAATGGAAAATGGAAAATGGAAAATGTACATGAGGGCTAGCAGGGGATGTCTGGGGAACGGGTCGCTTTGCGGGGGGGCGGGTGGAGACTGCGTTAGGGACTTTGTCCACGTTTGCGCTGGCCAATCGGTGCCTGCCTGCCGAACGCCTTCTCTTTGGCGGACGCGTTTCCGCGTCGGCGGCTTCCCTTTGTGTGCGGTATCGGACGGGCCCTAGGTCTCGCTTGGTGCTTTGGACGGACTGTCCGTGGCCGGGGGGCCGGGGACGGCGTCTCCTTATATTGGGGCCGGGCATGGAGGGGCATCACGGCCGCAGAGGCCGAGCGGGCGCGGGACCCTTGGCACAGGATTCCCAGAGCTTGCTTGGTCCGGTGGTGAGGACACATGGCGTCGTGGGAGCTGGTGGCGTTTCGAAGCTCGGCGCAGTCTTTACACGCCTGACATCACTCTTGACTGGGGGCACGAGTTTCAGTCCATGCCCCTGGGATCGGTAGCGGTGGAAAATGCGCGTGCTTGCTTGATTCTTCCCGGCTACCGATTTTGCCATGTTTCCTACTGCGACTTGAGTACGGGCCGGGTGCGTGCTTGCCGCATGTGGTCCGGTTCCAACGCCAAATCAGATTCTCCGCTCTACGGCATCCCAACTGATTGCCATGCCTGGAACATTCGCAACGCCCGCCACGGTTTGACGAGCATCACTGCCATGTGAATCTGCTAGCCGCCGTGTTTCGTTCCAGGCGCACCGGCGTCTCGGGCCATGTTCATCCTCGCTTCCTCTCCGTCTGCCACAGCTCCATGGTTAGACTGACGTTCGTGGAGCTCGAGCCGGTCCCGGCCCGCGTTTCCTTTGGCGACCCTTGACTTACTCGCCATGGCACGAGGCGCCGTGTTTCCATCCACGGTGATTCTGTTGCTCTCCACCTGTCCGACCAGCTCCAGGGCGTTTTCAAATCTGTAAATGTCTGCGCGCAGACGGAATTCACCCACTCCTGAGATCAGCAACTCGGGAAAGGCAAAGAGGTAGCTGTCTCTGGAGCCATGCTTGAGTTGCCCAGAGACGCTCTTTATCCCTTGTACAAGCTTGCTGGCGTCCTCGTTTCCGACCGTGCGCAGAACGACGACGTTTCCCACGTACGTGCCTCGAGAGCCGTCTCCAGCATTGGAGAGCTCGACCGTAAACGGCGGGTGTAGATGTCCACCGACCTGCACCTTTGCTGGGGGCTGGAGGAAGACGGCTAGCCTGGACGTGTTTTCCATGTCGTGGCAGAGTCGGCCGACGGCTTCTGGTCCGAGCTGGTTGACTGTCAAGTGCGACGATGCGTAGGAGCGAGGCAAGAGGCGTGACTTGGACACCTTCTCAGCTCTCGCTCAGTGCTCACGTACCCTGATGATAGTGATGATGATTCTTCGTCGTCATTTCACTTCTTCTCCAAGCGGCCTTGCAGAGTTCGCCTCCTTTCCTCCGAGAAGCTTGTGGTTTTGTTGTTGTTGTTTTGGTTTCGACTGGACCTTTCGGGAATATACACGAGGCTACCCCAGCTCCGAGCCAGTCGGCGCAGATGTCGAGAGACAGGGCCTTGAACAATGGTCAGCCAAGCTGCGAACACACGGGGGCAGGTGGCGGGCGGGATGTCTCTGCCTCCCTGCTGCGATGTTGCAGCACCACGGGAAGAGGTGTATATGTCAGCTTCGACACAAAGGGGGCCGAGATTAGATGCCCGCAAAATACGAAACCAACGGACAAGCTGTCTCGACGACGACGGTTTTATCAGGTGATGACAATGACTCGCCCGATGAGCCCACGACAAAACGCGGAAGAGGGTACAAGACGAGGGGACGGCCTGCTAGACGGCCTTGGTCCAAGATTTGTTCTGCATTCCGACACGGTAAAAAAAAGCTCGGGAATGTGCGACGACGGGGGCGAATGGGCCATCGGAGTGTCGTACGGTATAACTACCCCTTCGTTACACAAAACGAGTCCAAGAACCCTCGTGCGTCCAGCGATTCCGGGCAACAGCTTTGCGGGAAGAGCACGTTGGTCGATGTGAACTGCCCGCAATCTGCTCAGGAGCTCACGCGAGCTGGAGTAGGTCCCAGTCCCAGTCCCCCAGACCTCCAAGGGAGGGGGGAAAAAGGAAGAGAGGACGGGGGAGACAAGCCGGGTCGTACAATTCTGTCGTTGAAATTATCCCTCTATTTTGCGATGCTTTTCTTTTCTTTTTCTTTTTTTTTCGGCCCCTTTGACGTCGTCCACTCCGTACAATCACCCCCGCGACATCGTGTTCATCTTGACATGCTATGCTGTCCATTTTGCTTCGATTCACCCAGTGCCATGCTGACAGTGAGCATCGCCGCATTTTCCTTCGTTCAGCAGGGGGCACATGTGGAATGGGGGTGTGTTGGGAGACGGATAAGTCCGAGGTCCTGCGCGCCAGCTTAGTTTCCTGTCCCCGCGACACCAGGAGGCACGGCCCAACGACGTTGCATACTGACAAAGATGTACAGCGACATGGATAAATAAGAAAATTGAGAGAAGTGATGGCGAGAGGGGCCGCAAATTCCAGGGTTCCGGTTCACAAGGGTCGTTTCCAGCGCAGCGGATCTGGGACGTGTGTGTTACCGTGCCGGGTTTGAAGGGCTTGTCTCAATCACGACAGATACAGCACAGAGAAGAGACGAGAAAGTAGTTCCAACTTTCGACACTGTGGTCAGATGATCAGTAATCCCACTTTTTCTGTACTCCGTCGTTTGGGATCTGGGTTGCACAGGCAAATGCCAACCTCAACCTCTGCTGTCGTGTTTGCCCCTGGCGAGACCCACGGCGAAGAATTTTGGAAAAAGAGACTCTTTGTCTCACAGGGGGGCTGCTCCGCAGGGATGCCCGCGTCTGGCTAACAATGGGAATCGTTGTGCCTGAGCAGCCATGGCATTCCAGTTGCTCCCAACGTTGCTGTCGTTTGCTGGCTCGGGGGAAAATATATCAGATCACTGGTGATGGCTGTCGGCCCCTGTCATTTTGATTTACTGAGAGGAATAGTAACTAGAGTGTGCGTGGCCCATTTGTCGTGCTGGTTAACATTTCCTTTTTCGCCTCGGTATTTGCTTTGTTGGCTGTGGCGGCTATCGGATTAATAGTCAGGGTTCATTGCCATCAGAGGCCAACCAACCGCTATTCTTGCCCAGCTTTCTCGAACGCGAAAAGGCCGAGGTAAAAAGGGCTTCCCCTGCAACCGTCATCCCCGCAGGACTACGGAGTACTCCGTACTGCTACTCTTGTTATTAGTATTCAACTGCGATCTTATACTCCGTTCCGGAGTTTCGGATCCAGCACGCCACAAAAGGACTTACACTGACATGTCATCACCAACCTCGGCGATGGCAAGGGCTCCAAACACCTGTCTTGTCTCGCTGTTTGGCACATATCTCGTCTCTTCTATTCAGTAGACTCATGCGGCGTGCCAGATTCTCAGAACTTTGGCGCAGGCTCATCTTCAATACCGTGGTGGCGCCGCTTTGGCTTGGTACGAAGCCGAACTGCGCATTTCCACCGGACCCTGTCCGTGGGTTTGGAGCCAACCTTGGAATGCAGAGAGGAAGACAATAACCGCCAATATTTGAATTCTTCATCAATCATCTCTCTTCTGCGCGATAGTGGTTCCGTACCAAGAGCACGGAACAGAAAATCATGGAATAGATATCCAGATACTCGATGTGTTGGTCACGTTCGAGCCTGGACCAAGCGAAACATCCAAAAAGTCCCAGCCCAGCTCCATGGGCAAGGTTCCGGACTCCACTTGGCGGTTCCAATCGGATGATCTTTTCGATCAATGTCTTGGCCCACTTCCGAAAGCGGCCGAATCGTTGAAGCCATTGACTCCGAGGCCAACATACAGACTCCGTACAGCCCCATCCATGTCTTGCTCTCGGCCAGGCCATTGTCACTTTGGAAAAGTGCAGCTGACTAAAGGCTACGTTCAGAGGTGGCTTGCGAGATGTTGACACGCTGCTTATGATGCCTACCTAGTAGCGGGTATAGCTTCAAAGAAAAAGTGCAGGTGCAATGTCGGTGAGCATGGACAGCCTGAGAAGCGGGTAGATGCTGTGTTGGAATGAGACTTGATTGACTGGCAGGTCTAACGCCCGTTTGGCGTGCAATCTTGACGATGCAGGACCGGCCGCGCCACATCCAATGGAAGTGGGCGTTTAAGAGATCTTCTCGGCGTTTCAGCTTTGGTGCGATTTTCGTGATTCTTCTTCTGGCCCAGCTGGCGCTGCTTTTTCCACTGCTGCTCGAAGGGCCAAGACTGTCGCCGTCAAGTCCATATACGATGTCGATTTGCGACGCAGTTGTCGAAAGGAGGAATTGTGTATGCAGGGATGGTGCTCGTGATGGGAGGTCGGAGGGCGTTTGGGTTGGCGCAAGTTACTCCTGATAAGGTGGGATTGTTGAGGGGCCTTGAATTTCTCTTTAGAATCGGAGGAAGTGGAGGCTATATGCGGCGGTAAATTAAAACGCAAGAACATGGACTGACAGTCGACAGATTTGCGATATCTTGCCTACCTCTAGCTGCAGATCGGCATCTGTATAGGGTAGTTGGTTGGCTCGAAGCCATTCGCCAACGGAGAGACGCGGAGGCAACTCGTGCTTCGGAGGGCCAAAACAAGGAAGATATTAGCGGACAGTCGGGACCAATCGGGACCAGTGACGACCAGTGACGACCAGGTAGGTGGGAAAGGGGCACGTTTGGACATGGCAATGGCGGCCGGACGATGCCATCAATGACCATTGCGCAGAAAGAAAAAAAAAAAAAAAAAAGAGGGCGGGGTTGGCCATAACCCTAACCCTGAGCAACACTCGGTTTATCAGCTGGTGGTCCCCCTCTGCGGATCCCCTCGGCGGACCCCCCCCTCCCTCTGCAGTCCGGTCGAGTCAACGGTCATTGTTGCGTCGACTGTGACGTGACGCCTCACTTGACATGGCATCCATCTGCTGTGCTCCATGTCTCCCCGCGTCGCAGCTGCTCCTGTGCAACGACGGGGGCTTGGCATTCTCAGTCGTCGCTCGTTTCTCTTTCACCTCGGGCGAAGCGGCCTCGTGCCTCTACCTTCAACAACCCCTCCATCCAAGCCACGCCACCAGACCGCCTGGATTTCCTCCATTCCATCATCACCAAACACCATGACCGTCCAGGACTTTGAGGCCGTTCTCAAGGCCAAATACCCCGCCAAGGCGCACGCCAAACGCGTCGTCGACCTCATCCGCAAAACCAAGCCTGATACCAACGGCGTCATCTACCTCGAGGCTCGCAACACCAAGCTGCTGGAAGACAGTGACTCTCCCGAGCACTTCAGGTCGGTCGCCCGAGCACTGCTTCTCCTTTGTTTTCATCACCGCCGCGCTGATGCATACGTACACGTCTCTTGTAATCCAACTGACGACTTGCCGTCCCAGGCAACGCCGTTACTTCTACTACCTCACCGGCTGTAATCTTGCCGACTGTTCCTTTGCCTACGACATGCAGACTTCCAGATCGATCCTCTTCATCCCTCCCGTCGACCCTGAGGATGTCATTTGGTCCGGTCTCCCCGTCAGCATTGACCAAGCCCTGAGCCGCTACGATGTCGACGAGGTCAAGTTCACCACCGACGTTAACGCCACCCTCACCCACCTCGCCAAACAGGGTCCCAGCTCGACCGTCTTTGCCATCGCCAATCAGGTCTCCGACAACGTCACCTTCCTTGCATTCGGAAGCAACGACTTTGACACTGTCAAAAAGGCCATTGAAACCTCCAGAGTTGTCAAGGATGAGTTCGAGGTGGCCATGATCCAAAAGGCCAACCACATTTCTAGCATAGCTCACAAGGCCGTCATTGAGCGTTCCAAGACTGCTGCCACTGAGCAGGAGCTTTACGCCACCTTTTTGGAGCGATGTGTATCCCATGCTGCTCCCGAAATGGCCTATCATCCCATCTTGGCCGCCGGAAAAGCAGCTGCTACTTTGCACTATGTCGACAATAATGCCCCCCTGAGTGGCAAGCAGAACTTGTTGATTGATGCTGGATGCGAGTGGAACAACTATGCCTCTGATATCGTGAGTGCCAGGCGCTAAACACGCTCTCACTGATGCACATCTCCCCCCGCGGCCCCTACTGACGGACATTAGACGCGAACCTTCCCCCTGACTGGCAAGTTCACCAAAGAGTCGAGGAACATTTACGACATCGTTCTTAGAATGCAGAAGGAGTGCATCGAGCTCATCAAGGGCGGCATGCTCTGGGATGACCTTCACCTGCACGCCCACAAGGTTGCAATTGATGGACTGTTAGCCCTCGGCATTCTCAAGGGTGACGCCAGGGAGATTCTTGACGCCCGAACAAGTGCCGCCTTCTTCCCCCACGGTCTGGGGCACCACCTGGGCATGGACACGCACGACACGGGCGGCAACCCCAACCCCAACGACAAGGACAAGTTGTTCCGCTACCTGAGATTGCGCGGCCACGTGCCTGCTGGAGCCGTCGTCACCGTTGAACCTGGTGTAAGTGTTGGCTAGTGCCGGCCCGACAATCCACGCTGACGGGGATAGATTTACTTTTGTGACTTCATCATCAAGCCATATCTTGATGACCCCATCCACAACAAGTTCATCGATGCTGCTGTACTCGACAGGTACTGGGACGTGGGTGGTGTCCGGTAGGTTGTCGACTCAACGATGGATCACGCTAGCCTTCGATTTACTGACACCGGTGTTGGCAGAATCGAGGACAACATCCACGTCAGGGAAAATGGCCATGTGAACTTGACCACGGCCATCAAGGAAGTGAGCGAGGTTGAAGCTGTGTCAGCTAAATAAGCATTAAAAATAGTAAAGTGCAACAATTGGATATAATTCAAGTCACAGACAGTCGCGAGACGAGACGCTGCCGACATGAGATTCCCCGACTGCACCAAACGATGATTGCGTTGTAGATTCTACACCATGGCCGAGGCGCATTCTCGCCTACAGTAGAGCGCTGTGTGACATTTCATACATTCATGGTATGACTTTTCCCCATGAATCTAGCACCGAGCCTCGGGCCCCCGGCGACGTATGGACTCGCACACCAAGCATGGATGCATCGAGTTCATTCCTTGCAGGCAATCTGGTCGAAAAACATGTGCATAACTGAGCCGAATTAGTCGTCTGCAGCCACACGTGAATGCAAGACTAGCCAAGAGGCGTACATTTGACAATGTCATCACTGGCATTACATTTGTCCTGGAGGCACGCCGCGGTACCAGTCTTGATATCAGCCAGGCTGCTGCAGAAGGCATTAACGATGCCGGACTCGCAGGACTTGATGTCGTTGCCGGCATCAATGAAGCACTTGAAGGGGCACTTTGTCTCTGTGACAAGAAGGTTGAGTAATGCGGTGAGGTCCGGAGGAAAGGGCAGAGCCCCGTTGGCTTGGGTGCCGACAGCGATGAGCAGCACGGGGACGTAGAACCTCATTTTGTCTCTGCTGTTTCCTGCCTGACTGTGGATGAAGACATGTGGTCATTGGGGAGGAGCGGAGAGATGATGGAGATGATGGGGGAGATTATATGATGACCTGGATGGGATGAGGTGGCACCCGAGTCTCCCCGGCACGGAACAAGGGTGATGTCTCGCGAACCATCCATGGCATGTTTGATGTGATAAATGACATGGCGATGTTTGATGTGATGAATGACGTGGCGATGGCCGAATCAACGGAGAGGCACTCCGTAGACGTAGACGAAGACGTAAGCCGCAGGCTCGACTGTGACATGAGGCACATGGGCCGATGCAGTGTCCAAAGACATTGGCGACAGATATCTGGACACGTAGTCACGGTCATTGTGCTCGCCATGACGATGCCTCTTGGGCGCAAGATGGCGGGGCTTACGTCAGTTGGATACCGTGCATTCGACGCGGCAGTTGGCGCTTTTCCTACAGAGCAAACGGACGGCCGGCTTACGTCGTTTTGGGTGTGACTTGTGGCTGCATGCTGGCCGGGAGAGACGGCAATTGGAGTCGTGACTCGTCTGCCGGTGCTTTGGTGAACCTGTACGGAGTAACTTGTCAATTGCTACTCGACCACACGTGACGACGCCATGGGAGTGCTCACGTCGCATCTGCCACTGCTGACTAGTCACGACGTCACTCCTCAATCTTTTCCTTTGCGGGCAAAGGGAACAAGAGAGACACGTGCCCGTGCCCGTGGACTCGATGCGTGTCGCCCGCGCCGGCAACGTTCAACTGCACATGCGCTGCTCAACACGCGCCCGAGTGCACAATTGACGACTGGTATTGCATCGAGACCCGTCCCGCACTGTACGGAGTGACTACCGACTACCGAGTCTTGTCCACCCGCCGCCGCTCCACTCGGCAATCGAGGCCCAGCACGGCAGGCAGCCCGTCGACGACGCATCGTGGGCCCCGGCCCCGGCCCCGGCCCCGGCCCCCTTCACCGCTCCTTTCACCCTCCCCAAGTCCCTGCCTCGTGTCTACCCGTCTGCGTGCCCAGCCTATCAAACGGCCACGCCCCCTTGCCCCGTGACGCGGCAGCGATGTGGACGTCGTGGGGCACCGGTTCGTGCTTTGTTTGCTGCTGCACACGCACTCACTTGCTCACTCCGTGGTTGGGCACCTCAAACTTGGGACTATATCCCAGACCGACGTCGTTGATGGCCTGCCTGCATGTCTGTATTTTTGAACCTCTGAAAAAGTAAATACTTTCTCTTTGCTTTTGTTTTCCGCTCCCCAAGGCCGCACTATCCTGTTCTGACTGAATCCCGCCGCCGCCGGCCACAATCAAGTGTCTCGATCGTGCTGCCAGACCCTCAGTGAATCCCTGCTCGGCTCGGCTTGCACATGCCTATGCCTCGTCTCCCTTTACCCAAACGAGAAAACGAAAACTCCCAGAGAACAGTGTTAAAAAAAGAGAGAACAAATTTTGTCAACCTGATACCCAGGTCGCAAACACAGTGCGGCCGTGACAATGTAGCAACAAGTCCAACTTGGTAAAAGAAGATGGAAAAATTTAACCGGCTTCAAACTCCAAACTTTCAATGCCCTGTACCTGGTGAATCGCCCAGCCCGAGTTCCTAAACAATGTCTCCAAAACGCCCGCAGTGCCAATTTCAAATTTTTGCCACATCATGAGCACTGTTTTTTGTGCCAAGCATCATCGCACGTATGCAACAATAATCCAAGACGCAAACTGACTCGCTTGCCCTCAGCTGGGCCCGTACGGCCCCTGACCTCCTCATATTTACCCGTGAATTGCTGTCGCGCTGTGCGTCTCTGTTGTCCAAGGGAACCGCTCAGAGATGCCGTCGCTGGCGGGAGTCCCTGAACCGGATAACAAAGCTGGCGGTGTTGATCGTCCGATGCAGGGAGCCATGGCCGCGGAAATAGAGTCCTGAAGCATCTTCGGACCTGCTGTAGAGGCGGCCGAGCCCGGAGGCGGGCTGCTGAACGACGGAAGAAAAGGTTTCATATGTCCCAAGCTAAGGCTGTGATGCGCAGCCTCACCGGCATGATGCCGCGGAGCTGGGCTGTCCACTGGACTAGAGTTGCCCGTCCCATAATCCCCCCCTTGCACTTCGCCCATTGCCCCAGGCTTACGCGTCCCGTTTCTCACAGCAGCGCTCGTCTGTTTCGCGGCAGAGCCAAACTATAACCATGGACACAGCGGTTAGCAAAACACAGGACCTTCCTTAAACATAGTCGACGTGCACGTGCGCAACAAGGGGATTCCGAAGGACGAGGGCCACCCAGGAGGCCAAGTTCGCAGATGATATGGGGGCTAGGACATTGCAGGAGAGTTCTTTCCAAAGTGGAGGTCGGGAGCACATACGAAGCAATACTTGTTGACGAGTTCCTCGTACGAGGCGCTGGGTAGGCTTGACACAGGCGAGTCCGGTCCACTTGGCAAGCCTCCACTGAATGGCAGAGACACCAAGGATTCAGATCCTCGTACATTGCTCTTCATATAGAGAGTATCCTTTTCCATTTCCTCCGACTTGGGTAGGTTGGAGGTTGTGTCCTTGGCCGCCTTGACTGCGGCGCTAAGAGACGCGCCAAAGTCGTAGCGGTTGGAAAAGGCAACCCCGCTGGGTGACACCATGGCCTTGGAGATGTTATCGCTCGCAAGACTGGACGAAGACTTGGACTTGAAGCGAAGGCCGCCGGCAGTGTCGGATTCGCCCAGGTATTCATGGATAGGCTGGTCAAACTTGAAAACGCCGTGGGCATTACCGAAAGCATCCAGGGATGCGGGCAATGAGAGAGGGCGCGCTGTACTTGGGCCATTCACTCTGCGGTTGCTGCGAGGCAGGCCATTCAGGGGCTTCGAGGATGCTCCCTGGAAGTTCTGCTTACCATTCTGTTGCAGGTATTTCTTCTTGAAATCAACTTGGAAATTGGTCGAACTGTTGTTGTCCCAGTACTCCTGGCCATTTACTGTGTAACGAATGCAAAAGAAGAGTGTCTTGGACTCAAGGTCGGCCATGTCTGAGAGCTTAATGGCAAAAGTGAACCTATCATGGCCTTCTAGACTGTGGCGGGGACGTATTTCATGACTGTACTCGGCACTGACCTCCGACACGGTCTTCCAGTAGTCCATGGTAAAGCGACAAACAACCGATTTGTGAAAAGCTAAATTGGAAACAGTGATGGAGCCTAAAAGAGACTTGTGATCGTTGGATAGCCAGACTTTTTCTAGCCTCACGGGCATCGTCTTGCGCACAAGACAGTCGTGGGGAAAATTAGGGGTAGCGAGCTCCCACTCAAACGGAAGCGCCTTGCTTCCACGGCTATCCGCGAGAAACGGATATTCCGCACTGCCGTCGTAATTGTCGGCCGGTGATGAGCCAGCGCTGACGGCAAGTGGTCGATCAACTTGTAAGAAGTGGCGGACGTGTTCTAAATGAGAGTCAAAGTGAACAGCCTTCGAAAAGACGGGAGTGCCCGGCACACTGGACGGGCGTCGATGGCCGCGAAGTGCTGGTCGTACTAGTTCACCAGACTTCTTCCTGACCATTTGGGGTTTGAACTTGAGGTCGTCATCTGCCTCCTCTTCGGATGCCGCCGAGGACGTGCTTTGCTTCTTGAGTGCCGAGGCATGCGGTTCGGTGGAAGATCGCATGTGTCCGTTCTTGCGGCCTCCCATGGGTATTTCGCTCAATGCGCTAGTACTGAAACTCCCGCGTAAACTGGGAGGGATGGCATCTACATGTCGTGATTGCCGCGGGGTAAGGGTCGTGGCATTGGACATTTGGCTAACTGCCTCTCTCAGGTCTTTGAGGACGACGGCCCGTCGATTCTTGATTTCTGGGGGTTCATCTTCATCGCTTCCAGACGTTCCGGATTCCGGCGGTGAAATCATTGCTCCTTTGGGAATCAACTCCCCCGCGTCCACAACCGGCGGCGGCGATTGCCGCAGGCTGCCGCCCAAATTCAGCATCGTGATTTTTGCTTCTCCGGAACCATTTGTGGCGGAAGATGTTGCCGGTACGGGACTGATCGTAGTAATCGATGGTGTACGTCGATGCTTGTTCAAGTAGGATGCAGAACGAGGGAGAGGCGGTCTGGGACCGGCTTGGAAGGATGAGCGACTGCTCACATCAGGTGAAGTCGACACTGAGGAGGTAGCTGACTGATGTGAAGGCGAAGTATAAGGCATTCCCAAGACGGGCACGCCTGACACAAAATATAATGAAAAACTGGAGGGTGACGGTATCGTGGCGACGAGGTAGGGCTTCTCGGCAACGTTTGATGTCGATGACGAGGCAGTCTCAAAAGCACATATCTAACACATCTAAAAAGAAAAAAAAAGACGCAATGTAGATACAGCGCAACTAAAAAAGCAATTGTGGACAGAAGTAGAGAGGCTGGTAGTGAAGCTGTTGGCAACTCTGGTCAGCCCGCGATGAAGATTGGAGGCTAGACGTCTATGGTCCGAGAAACGCCTGCTGAAGAAGCGACGGTAACAAACTTACCAATATGCTCAGAAGTAAACAGCTCCCCGATCCAGTTCGTCTGCAACGAAAGTATGCTCTGGCAGTATTTCAGCAACAGAGCAGGGACTGTAGAAGCAACAACCAATGGCAGGAACAAACAAAATACGTCGACGGTTGGAGCGGACAAGAGATAGGGACTGCCGACGTAGATGGATAAACGCCAGCAGTTCCAAACGGAGCAGTAGAGTGTATGCTGTCAAGAATCAGCTATGGCGACGACGGCATGAAGCTCTGTCGACGCTGATGCTCGTTATCGTCGTGGGTCCTCGTCGCGGTCGAGGGGGTAAAATCGACCGAAACCCACCGCTCTACGTCACCACCGGAATTGAAGCAAAATCGACCAACCAACCAATTCGATGGTGCGTCTCAACACGGTGACCGTAGGCCTCGGGGGCGAGGGGTTAGAGGAAGGCTTTTGAAAAAGAGAAGAAGCGATTGAGAAGCAGAAGAACAAAAGAACTAGTAGAAGAGGTGGGGATGAGGATGGTTTTCATTGAAAGTCATGCCATAGAATTATTAGCATGGCTGGCCACCTGGGCGGACGGACGCACAGTCTTCCTTGCGTGGTCCGGACAGAGCGGACCAGACTAGCACGGCACGGTAGACCTAGTAGACGAGGGCATATGGACTCGGGACCGGGGGGCACGCCTGAACTGGTGGGTTGAGGCTTGGGGCAAAACAGGGGGGCGTGTGGCTGTGATCAGTGTGGAGTTACTCGCAGTCTAGTTGCCGTTGCAGTACTCCGTAACCTTGTTGAGGTGGTTTTGCCTCTCGGTTGACAGATGGCTGATGTTAGAAGACGGTTGAAGAGGGCGTCGCCGTATCTGAGTTATCAGCAGAGGTCAGGTCAAACATCGCATATTGACAGGAGGCTCTTCAAAATTAGGTCAAGCCAACGGGTTGCATCCCACAACATTGGAAATGGTATGCTGCCAAGGGAGCTGAGCACCTTCCATATGGTGGTGCAAATGCCAGTCGTTTCCCAGTGTCGAATTTGGGCGCCATTGTCCTGCCCACGGCAGAGCAGGGTGTGCGGGGAGGCAAAATCATCACCATTGTAGAGACGAAGCCGCCACCGAGTATCGGCACCCTGGATTCCAAGAGCTCAAGGCGCAATGTTGAAACATGTTGCGTTGTTGTCGTTTGTAAAGGGCAGGCAACAACGGCGGTCTTGGCGCAAATTGATAAGATGATATCGAAGTCCACACCGACGGCATCTGTAGTTGTGCAACGATCAAGCGTCTAAACTGGATTTCGAGACAAGTCCCATACCTTGTTGGGTTTGACGAGCTGCAGGTTGGCCTGCAAGTCACCAACTTAGAGTGCGGCTCAGTCGGGGGAGGTTTCTGATGTGTGACTGGAGCCAAGGCCGGCCGCCAGTCCACCTTTGACTAGGAACAGAGTCAAGTGAAGTGCAGCGAACTCTGGTCACCAAGCCGTCCATTTGATGATTTGATGCATCGGTCATTCGTAGTCATGTAGTCATGCCCCGCGAGCGGAGAAAACCATGGATGCAGGCAGGATGATGCCGTGCAGAGACGGCGGCGCCCTAGCGCCAAGGCGTTTGAAATTTTTCGCGGTGCTGGATCGGTAATTACGCAGGGCAGCCTGTGCTGGGGTGCCTGTGCGTACGCCGGCGCGGGTGGAGAGCAGCAGAATACCATCGTCGATCGACAAGCGGAGTCGCCGGGGCGTTTTGACCGCGAAACCTGCGAATAACGATAAACATTACACCACTGTACTCCGTACCCAGTGTGCTGTCTTGCTTGGCCATGCTCACCAATCCCTTGCCTGCCTGTGTCGAAACCCGTCATCCTTTGCACTCTTGCGGCTATGTGCAGCTGTATCAGAGATAAGTGGTGTGATATGGAATAGCCACATGCCTTGTGTGGCTGTATGCCAAGCTTATCGCAAACTGGACAAGGTCACCCACCGAACCATCAGCCGGTCTGAGACTCTGAGTTTTGTCTTTGACCCATCTGACCTCTGGCCGTTGTGCACGACGATCGAGTCGCATCTTCAGTCGTCTTGGGTGGAATTTCGAGACATTGGGGCAAGTCACTCAGTAAGGTGAGGCAAGGCACAAAATGGCATCGCGCCTTCCTCTTTACACCACCCAGGTACTCCGTACTCCCCCGTTCGTGTGCCATGTGTTGACTTGCAAGGAAGGAGCCACAGTACCGTACCGCCTTGTCTGCCAACCGCCGACTGGCTGCCAAACTTATCTAGATGCCATCTTCATCCTCGCGTCCATAGGTCCAGGTCCCCGTGGACCAGCCCGTTTCCGCGCCACTCCCTCTTCCTGCCCTGATTTCCATCTCGTATCCGGATTACGTTGCACAGACTTTGAAGAAAACTCGCCACGCCGTACATGTGTCGCTTCCAACAGCATAGTGCCAAAAAAAAAAAAGGTATCAACATGCAAAATGCGCGGGGACACGCTACCCGCCATCCTCCTCTGTTCACGGGAAGCCGGCCCAGGTGGGCAATGGATGCTGTCTATCAACGCCAGCTAATGTGCTTGCCGTCACAACCAACGGCATGGCGCCTGGCGATTGTCCTGTGGTGGCGTTTGCCTATCGAAGAAGAGTCTTGGACATGTCTAGCCTCAGATATCAGCCAATCCTTGACCAGAGCCACCGCACACGCTATCATGGCACCACCCATCACTCCTCACCGATTTTAACGCCTTGCAACCAACTCGGCACATTTGGAGCCGCAGGCACGCTTGCACATTCATCGCCATGCAGTTCAAGGAAAGGGGTACTGCTGGAGAGAGGAAAAGGGGTCAGTCAGTTACTTGGCCATGGTGCTCCCCAACGGACCCTGTCCCGTCTCTCCAGATGGCGCTGCAAACAGCAGGGAACGACAGATGGTACGCAATTGTTAACTGTTACAGACACTTGTCGCCTAATAATAGCTCACCACTCGACGCCCCCGTCCAGTCTAGCCATTTCATCAAATCGTCGGCCGATGCACTGATAAGCAGACACTGACAGAAGATGTGGTGTGCATCCGAATTTTCACCCGGTTCGCCACTTGAATCCCCCCACTCCAGTTCCGGCGCAGCGACTCAAGATGGATGGGCATTCCAGCACGGAGTACGGAGTACGGAGAGGCTCACCCACTGCCAGGGCCTACGAGAGCGCGGGTCTTGCCAGTGTGGCGTCCAAGGCCAAGCACTACAACAGGCATCTGCCGTTGCTGGCGATCGTCCAGCTTCGACTGGCTTAGGCGTTGACCTCAGCCCCCAGGAATATTTGCCATGGATCACTAATGACGGTACTGGGGAATATTCTAGGCCGTACGACAATTCGTTTGGCCACCAACATCAAGGAAAACTAGTAAGCTCTACTTGATCGAGCACTGTGATTGGCACGACCACCAAACTCCGAAACAGTCTGGAGATGAGCTAGAAGCGCAAATCATCTTACAGTGGGGGGCAAACAGAAGACCGATGGAAGCTCGGATTTATGCATTTCCGTGGCAGGACAATTGTGCCATGGCCCGCGATCCGATGAGCAGCCGAGCTAATATCGCGTTATACATGCAAAGCCTGGACCCGGCCGTGTCTACATCCGGTCAATTTTGTTCGCCATCAATTGAAAAGGCAATGTCAGAGATAGGGACAACCCCCCCACTCGTCTCTCAGACTCGAGGCTACCTTTGAGTGCCGCGTTAGGCTATTGCCGCAGCTCCACTTTCTGCCACTCCGAGTTGATGGGTGTCAAGATGCAAAAAGGAAGTAGTATACGTTATTAACAGGCCAACAAGTTGAACCCCAGTACGTCGTGTCTGCAGTTCTATGCGGGTGGAAGGCTGTGATAATGCAAGTAATAAACAATCTCTCCACAGTCTTCTTCCATGGGCCACAGGGCAAGGGCATGGGGAAGCATGGGGAAGCGGGGAAGGAGTCAAAGTCAGTCGATGCGGAACCAGGGACACGTCTGCCAACCGGTCTGGCGGAGTTTGGCAGCGACCTGGGGTCGGCCTTGACGAGCGTGAAGAAGAGCGAGTCTATTCCGGTCATTTTGGCGCGGCCTCATGCTAGCTTGCTATGCAGGGGGATAGGCATAGCCTTGGGCGATAAGCACCGGCTCTGCGACAGCAAAGGCGACGGGGATTCATTCAACGGCGTCCATGATACTAAAAGTTGACTAGGAAATGCATGCAGATGAGGCGAGAATGTCTTCCACACCTAGGTTACGTCTGAAGAGCACGTTCCGGCTCCCTATACTCGGTGTCAACATGCCAGATGGACATGTTGTCTGCAGGGCTCTTTGCATGTCAGTGACCTTAGCGTGCGCCACCAGGGTGCAATCGTTGGAGTTGCCCAGGGCTCGAATCCGGGGCGGCTCGCCGTCGACATGGTCTTGAAAAGTGGCCGCCTTCTTCGCCAAGCTGTCTTGCAGCTTCGAACCTGATGGTGCCCCAACAATGTCACTCAACCAAGGAACAGTTTGCATGGCCATCTCTGTCTAGGCTGGTTGTGGCTGCACCATATCAACATCAGCTTCCCCGCCATGGCGATGTGACGCTGGTGCAAACGAGCCACGGCTCTCCTGTTGCCAACGGGTTCTCGATCAAACTCACAGGCTGTGCGAACAACGCCACTATCTACCCGCCATGGTGGCTTCAGCCCATACCTAGCTTGATTGTTGAATGTCTCTGTGCTTGTTGCCATGAAGCAGAGGTATTTGCTTCACCGCCGAGCCACGCAATGAAGAAATGCATCGACAGCGGCCCTGGTCCAAACATGCCCAATATCCAACTTGCAGGCACGCCCTCTTGAACCGGACATGTATACTCTTCTTCATGGCTTGTTGGACCAAGGTACGCTTCAATCTCCTCCCCCATCAACGTCTACCTGACTGCATAACTACTGCAATACTGATTTCTTCTTGCCTTAAATATACATGGCGTGAAAAGTGGCAGCCCACACCCGACCTTTTGTCATATCGCCCGTGGTACCCACGCAACATATCTACATTTGTGTGTATGTATCTCAAAGATGCATGCAAGAAAGACGTACTTCCGTGCATACAAGTGCTAAACATGCCGAGGCTCTCATGACGACGTCGCACACGAGCTGAACAACGACGTCTGTTCGGGTAGATGAATTACATCGGGGCTTCTCCCGCCCATCAACCAAGATGATGGGATGATATGCATGCAAGCAAGTCAAGAATTGGGCCCTCGGAAGGGGCGACCTGGCTATTCACCTCGTCTGATAGGTTGGCCAGACGCTTTAGAGCCCTGGAGGCCGCATTAGAGGATGAATATATCTGTTGGCGGAAGTGACTTGGTGGCCCAGAAATTCAAACAATATGATTTCTCTCATCGAAGACAAGGCTGTACTGGTTCTGTCTACTACTATGATGGTCTGGAACATTAAAGAGGCTGGCGTCTCTCCGCCAAATGCATGGCCAGCCAGGGGCAGGATACGCAGGCCCGAGAGAGGACGTGTTTTCAGTGTAGCCACGGGCCCATGTGTACAATATCTTGTTTCCTTCTTCCTTTCCTTTCTACCCTTTCAGGTTATTCCCGCACCTAAAAGCCGCCATCATGGTGACGCTACCCGCCACCTGTGTGTGGCGAGCCTGGCGTCTTCTGGCTCTCTGGCTGGACCTCGGCATGCGAGGAGGTAGCATGGCGCAAGAGAACATCGGACTGCTACTCGAGCGGCAGGACATGCCGCTTGACAGTGGCCAAGCTATTGAAGTAGGCATCGTTGTGCATTTCTGCCACAGCGGGAACGGGGACTGTCTCCATTCCCGAGTGTATCCAAGTCTGCTCAATGGCCAAAGCCCTGCTGGTATGTCCGACTGGCGACGGCATAGGAAGGCCCAAGAGAGTTGGCCGAAGTCGACTCGCACATCAAGGGGCCCTGGAGTTGCGGGCTTCGAAATGTCAACGTCCCCCGCGATGCAAGCTCAAGTCACGACGAGCACCCTCGACACCGTATAAACACTGCCACACAAATAACGACATACAGGCGAGCGGGGGGGGAGTACTCTGGGCTCGCGCACTCCAATGCAACCCGGCATCAACATGGCCGTGGCTGGCGGCAGCGAGGTCGCACGCGTTATCACCCAAGGTATTATGACCGACGGCAATTGAGGTGCGGGGGGAAGGGGAGACGGGGAGATGCTCCAGATCATGACGGCACTAGGGGACTCGATGGCATCTTCACATGAAACCGGCTCTCCCTCCCGCGTATATGTGCAAGACGAGCAAGGTCAGCTGCAGGGACCTGGAGGAGGGATCCCGGGGCTCCAAGCCGTCCCTTGCCACCCACTGAGTCGTTGGACCATGAATAAGCGATGACGTCGCTGGCATCACGGCGAGAACGCTGGTTTACCCCTTCCCCGAGGGGTGTCCGAGCGGTAACCACTCGGCGACTGACACGACCTCGCCAAGAACCTACACGACTAGCCGGACGGATAGACCTAGCCAAGATGTGTCCTCGCCCCGAGAAGAGTAAATGCGACTCACTCATCCCGCCTCAATGTGAGATGTGAGCTCCGGAGACGTACTCTCACCTCCGGAGTAGCAAATCCTGTCACGCCTCGCGTCCGCATGTGCAGGATAGCTCCCCGGATACACGTGATTGACGACTAGTGAGCCAGACCGCGAGTGAGCAACCCAGAGAAATGGCTATCCACGGCTCTGCCGCCCACAAAGGAGCCCGCGCTGCTCGCTGATGCACAGTGCCGACTGAGTTTCCATCGCCAGTCCCGGACCTGGACCAGGCAAGCCTAGTCACCCTGTACCAGCCAACAAGTGCCGGGTCACGGGTGGAATCGAATCCCGTCAAGGCGCAGGCAAAGTTCCATGTGGTGCTCTGGATCCTGGCCGTCGTTGAAGAACCTACACGGCTACAGGTGCGTAGCCGAGGCGTGCGACGCCCGCACGTCACGAGCACAAGCTCCTGCCGCAAGTATCCTCGGTTTTGCTACAAAAGAAACGAGCAAGTGAAAGAGAAGAGCCTAGCCCGTCGGCCAGGCGAGCGAGAGGACGTCAGGGAGCAGGTTTGCCGTGTCATGTTGGACGGCTGGCGCAATAGGTATCTGGACTGGACTGGCTTGCCGATGATGAACGGGGGTCGAGCTTGCCTCCAAAGATGCCGCTGTCACGGTAGTTAATTCCTGCCATGACTTGGGCTATACTAGACCACTACTTGGAAGCATCTGGATAGCAGAACCGCCAAGTATGACAAACAACTGTCAGCACTCCACGGCCACATCACTTTGCGCCGTGCACGCTCAAGTGAGGACCGGATGTGAAGTTCTACCACGTGGACCATTATGTTTTTCTTTATTTAGAAGAAATCAATTGCATTTCTATTCCTGGAAAAGGGGGAAAACAAAAAAGTCGGCCCCAAACGCGAGGTGCCTTACTCGCCATGTACAGGCGGACCGGCGTAGTTCTTGTGACCCCAGGCCCAGTACCAGATAGCTGAAATGCTGACAGCGGCAACGAACACTGCAGGAGCATAGTTGACAGTGGTGGCCTGGACCGGAATGGCTGAAGGCATGCAGAAGAGCGGGAGAGCAAGGGCAGACCAAGCTACATGAGGGTGATGACAGGAATTAGCGTGGGACAGTTGATGTAGGGTGGGAAACGCACAGGACGGACGGAGGAAGAACAAAAAAAAAAAAATAGGGGAAGGGGGTCACGGAGGAATGGCGACCACTTACCAATGGCAATGATGTTGGCGACGTATCCGAATCTGCCCAGCGAGAATCGGGCGTCCTGGACGGCCTTGCGACGATTCAGCAGGCTGATGACTATTGGGCAGGCGTACGAAGCAGTAAGTGAAATGACGCCCACGCCAGAGAAGGCATTGAAGGCGGCCGAAGACCCAAAGTAGATCAGACCGAGCACAATCTCAACAGCCATGCAGAGCATCATGGCATTCAGGGGCACATCGAGGGAGTGGTTAACCTTCATCCAGATCTTAGATCCGGGAACGGCACCATCACGGGCAAACGCCCAGGCACAGCGGGAAGAGGCGGTGGTGCATCCAATACCGCAAATGACGGCAAGAACTAGGAGCGGGAACAAGAGTCCGAAAGCACCGCCAGAGTTTCCAATCGCAGACTTGATGATCGGCGGCACCGGTTGGCCAGAGGCAAGGCTGGCAAGCACGGAGAGGTCTGGAAGGACGAAGACAAGAGGAATGAGGAATAGTAAGCCGGCAATGGTGTTGATGCCGATCGTAGCAACCATGGCCTTGGGGACCTGAGTCGCAGGATGCTGCACTTCTTCACACATGCTGCTCGCCACCGCCGCCAACAAGAACCAGTCAGCAAGGGACAAGGGGAAGACGAGTTGGAGGCGCAGAGAGATGAAGGGACTTATTACGAGATAATCATTCCAGTCGAAGAGGTGGCATATCCTGCATGCAATAGACCGACCATGTATGACCACCCATCGGGCCAACCCGAGTTGTTCTCAAAGTAGGTAAAGACCCATTTGGCATCGTGGCGACCATTCTTGGCAATGGCAAGCACGCACACCATGATGGCAATAACACCAGCAAAGGTCCAAAAGATGGCGGCAGTCTAGCAGTAATGGGTGAGTTAGCGCGGTGCGGTAATGATGAGATGGTTCAAAGCTGGGCGTTTACTGACATCAATCCAGGGCAGCCACTTGTTTCCGAGAGCAGAGACGGCATTGCACAGAAGGGTGATGGCGAGGAAGATGAGGAAAACTTGGTAAGGCTTGCCCTCGAGAACGGGGTGGTCGTCGTCTTGCGCAAACACGTTGACGCATGAGACGAGGAACAGGGTGGTGCCAAAGTTGACAGCCAAGGTGATGGTGATGTTGCCGACAAGGTATGCCCAGCCGCAAATCCAACTGGCAATTCTACGCCACTTGGCAGGCGCAAGCATAAAGGCCTGGTAGTAGACGCCTCCGGCGGTAGGATATACACTGGTGATTTCGCCCAGAGACGCGGCGACGCAGACAATGATGGCCGAGACGGCAACCCAACCCCAGATAATGTCGACGGGACCGCCGCCAGTTATGGGGTATACGAGGGTAGTGGCGAGACCGTAGGGAATCGACGCCAGCACAAAAGACATGAAGGCAACTTGGAAAGTCGACCGGTTTCGCGCCAACTCGGGCTTGTAGCCGAGATTTCCGAGGATCTCATCAGCAGAGTCATTCTCGTGCGAAAGACGTAGATGGTGGTCGGCCTTGTTGTCGACGGCAATGGGACCGCCGTGCGAGTCTCGCTTGGTGAGCGCCATGGCGAAAGGTTTGTGGCGAGGGCAAGGGCAATTGGCGTTGGCGCTCAAGGTGTTGCGGATGACGGTTGGGTCGAATGTCGAGTCTCACGATGCGACACGAGATGCAAGACGCAAGACGCAAGCGGAAACTGGCCGAAGCAAAAACGACGAACGGAAAGCAATGAAGCTATTGCGCCCAGACGACCCAAGGCGAACACTCGGCTCTGCACGAGCGACTCAGCACGGCTCGATATGTTTATGGAGGGGAGGGGAAGAGAAGGAGGCTGACGAGCCGTTTTTCTTTTCCTTTTCTGGACCACCGACGACGACGAAGAAGGGCTGGGGGCGGTTCGTCGGTCGAAATAAAGATGGTGGAGCCAGACAAACCGCCCAGCAAAGCCAAGTAGTTATTGGTGGCCCTGATAGTCAAAGTCTGCAGAAGCTTGCAGGGACTTGAAAGAATGGTGAAGACGCTTGAAGCCGGAACCTTGATTCTTTGTGGCGGCAGCTCATGGAAGGCCCCGGTCGGCGTGGGCGACGTAGATGCGCCTTGCCCCACGCTAATGTTCTGATTTGGTTGGTAAACGAGCAGGCCCCAAGGTTGTGTGCTCCCGCGGATGGACGTGGTGGTCACTGGTGATGGCCTTGGTGGTTGGTGAGCTTTTTGAGATGCTGGCAAAGATTGAAAGCAATTGACCAGGCGACGTCTGGATTGGACGAGCACATTCGTGTCCGTGCCTGGTGTCTGGTGTCTGGTAAGTGTACGTGTGCGTGTAGTGGCGGACGGAAGGCGCGATGGGGGACGGCCGGGTTGCAGACGCGCGGACGACCAGGGCAGGAAGCGAGCCGCCTTGGAGAGGTGCTTCCGATATCTGGACACCTCGACGACATCTGCAACCTGGACCACCGAGTATTCATTTTATTGACCCGAGTCCTGCTTCGCTGTGACGGCTTTTCTTGCCCTGATCTCCGGTTCCTGAATCTCCGTCCTCCACTCCGTCGAGCGTACGACGTCAGGTTGTGGGGGTGCTCCATTCTCTGCTTTTCAACACGCTGTGGCCCCCCCAAAAAATGCACTCGCACATCATGTCCATGCGGCTTGGACCGCTATTGGTAACTGCGCAGAACATTTGACAGGCCATACAGTCTGAATTTTACCGTGTCATGGGGACGTCAAAGAGGCCTCGATGCCTGAGCTATCCGTCGGTGACGGCTGACTTGCTGAGATAACAACTCCAGCAAGTTGAAGCATGACGACGGCCAAGAGACTGTATCCGCATCGAAACGTTCCGATCAGAAGGTACGAACGAGGTGGCCTGGCGTTGGTGAAATAATACCCGGGAGGGTGAATCCACGGAACTTGTCCACTGCATGCGGCGAATTGTGGAGTGACAGGGGTGCAACAATGGATGGATGGAGTCTGCCAGCTAGAGTACGGGCCTTGCTGAAGTCTGAGAGGGTCTCTGGGACACTTGAAGATTGTCCAGCGTGGGGGCCTCGCTTGGCAAGGGAACCATAACGACGTCACAGCCGTGTCTGCTGGATCCTCCGATCCAGCCAACCCACTCGTCCACCACGGAAACTGGCGACGGCTCCAAGACGAGAAGGTCACTCTGGCGCAAAATTAGCATCACGACAACTCGGACTCGGTCACGGCCGAGCTAACCAACCGGCGGGAAGACAAAACCTGGTCGTCGCATCCCGCTGACAGGCGCCACCACCTCCTCATGGGCTTGCATCGCTCCGACTAGTGGGATACCAGTCAATGTTCTGGAATGAGGCCCTGTTGCCAATTGGTTCCAGTGGTTTTGTTCGCACACCAGCGTGATGGGCCTGCAAGCTGCAATTTTAGACAGTGAGCTTGGCTGCCTACTACTAGTACTAGGGTTGAGGGTTGAGGGGGTGGGCAACGAGACGCAAACTAGTAATACGAAATGTCGTACTCCGTACGGAGTACGGAGTACCTTGAGAGACCCCGAACATCTTGGGATATCCGCTTTTTTTCTTTTCCAAGCTGGGATCACGGGGTCAGTACGAAGTAGAGATCCGAAGCAAACAAAATCTTGACCCGACAGCGGACCAATTGGAGCGAACTGGATTGAAAAGATTTGCTCATGAGTGTGTGGGAATTCCAACTCGAATTTTCATTGCTGATTTGACCAACTTGCTCATCCCACAGGCATTTTTGAGCCCGTCGCATTTGAACTGACTCGCTCTCCTGAAGCAAGCACGCAACAACGAAACCCAACATGGCTCCCATGTCGGTCAAATTTGCTTGGTCTCGCGGTGCAAATAAACTCTGTTGCTGGCTGTAGGCCGTGCGAATGTATGTATGTATATAATAAAATACAGTAAACTATATCTATAACAATCCTGTATCTTAGCGATATTTAGGCTTTTACAATAATTTACAGTTATCTAAGGTTTTTCCCTAGTAAATTATTAATAGTTGTATTACTAATAATATTATTAACTTTTTGCTTAGTTACTATATATTTTAGTGTTTTATTATTATTAAGCCTCTACTATAAGCACTAAATTTTACTGCCTTTAATATATTTTTCTTTCTTTAATATTACTATAATAATGCCTCTATTTATTATAATATTATAAATTTAACTTCTTTTATTATAATTTCTTAAGTTATATATAAGTAGATACTAATTAGTTATTAAGAAAGGCAAATTATATAACAAAAGTATTATAAGAATTTTCTTTAGCAATAAGTATAGCTTTAGCAGTAAGCTTATAATAAATTTAATTAAAACTTCTCTTAATTTATAATATTTAAGTTAATTAGTATATAATATAATTATATTAATATTAAAAAGCTCTTAAATACCTAAAAATACTATTAAGTAAAATATTTATTGCTTAAGTTAGCTCTCTTTAAATTAATAACTTAATTAAATAACTTTAGTTATATTATTACTAGCAAGATTATTGCTAGTTTTATAAAATAGCTTTAAGAGAAAATAGAAGACTTTAATAGCTTAAAGACTTCTTTATTTTCTTAAGAATAAGTTAATAGCTTTAAATTATACTTTTATATTAAGAAACATAAAATTAACAGTAAAAGTAAGTCTACTAATACTTTTAATTCCTCTTAAGACCTTACTATAATATAAAAGATAAAAAGATAGTACTTAGATAATAATACTTATAATATAGATAAAACTAAGCTCTTTTAGCGTAGAAATTCTTTATATATACTAGCAATAAGTTTATAAAAAAGAACTAAGTAAGATAAAGCTTATATTATAGTCTTACTTTATACTAATATATCTAGAACTTATTAGCTTAATCTTTAAATTATTAGTAAGTCTAAAAACCTATAATATTTTAGTAAAAATAATAGTAAAATTACTACCTTTCTAGTATACTATTAGAGTAATATAAAGAGCTAGATAAACTTTAATATATTTCTTAAATAGCTGTAATAGTTTAATTAATAAATAAGTAGCTATTATATTCTTCTTCTATTAAATAACTTTAGCGCCTACTAATATACTATAAATAAAGCTATTTTTATAAATACTCTTGCTAATATAATAGTTATTTTTCTTTTAGTAAATATAATAAGCTTATATTAACTAATAAACTAAGGAATTATTAATAATCTTAAGGTCTATTATTAAAAGCAGTAGCTATAGTTTGTAGCTAAATTAGCTTTTTAGAATATTAACTTAATGCCTTAATTAACTTTATTAAAGGCTATTATATAGCTTATATATATATAGTATAATAGTATAAAAAAAGATACTATTGCTAATTATTAAAGAAAGTTAAAGCTACTTAGTAATATTTATAGCTATAAGTGCTAGCTAAAGAATTAAGATAAAAGCTATTAGTCTCTTCTTACTATAATATATAATATTTATATTTAAGGCATTATAAATATTAAAAATATTATTAATAGCAACCTTAATAACCTTATTAAGCTCTTTTATAAATATATTAATAAGAGCTATAACAACTCAATTAATAATATTATAGTAAGGTTTTTATAAGTTTATTCTCTTAATTTTAAAGACATTAATAAAGAACTTAAACTACTAGTAATTACTATATAAAAAGCATCTAAGGTAATTAATAAATTAATTCTCTTTAAAGAATAATATAAATCTATTAATTTTAAGCTTCTTTAATAGCTTTAATAGTATTAAAGGCAGATTTAGTATAATTAGCAGAAAGCTTATAAAGTAGTAAAGAAATAATAATCTCTTAATATATACTTTATAATATTCTTAAGTATAACTACTTAGTAAATTTAATTAAAGGTATAAGCTCTATAATTATTGCATCTTAACAATAGTTGCTATATTACAATAAAAAAAGGCTCACAAAGGTTATCGTTATAGGGGTGGTTTACTGTATGCCCCGACTGCTCAACATGCTGAACTGACTTGTAACTCTAGGACAAGTGCGACGCCGCCATCTCTTCATCCTCGACCTCCGTCGTAGTCGGCACCGCCAACCTTGCGCAGCCTCGCAACCACATCTTTCTCCTCCAGCTCGGAGCGGTCGCCGGCGGTAATAGCGATGCTGTGGTGAGACAGAATGCGCTTGACGTCGCCGCTCTCCACGCTCACCCGTGCCTTGCGCATTACTTTGGTGTGTTCGCCAATCCACACAACCAGGACAAACTTGACACGGGTGCTCTCGGCGTCGTTGGCGTACTCAACACGTACATAGCCATACTGGACCTGGGCATCGTCAAGCGAGGCCGCCAGTTCGGCAATCCCTCCTGTGCCTTTCTCACTCAAAGACAGTTTGTTCCCAGTTGCTGCTGCATAGGAGATGAGCATCCAATTGGTTGCGTCATTGTCACTGCGAACTGCATTATATGCATCCGCGATCTCGGGAGCGTCCAAGCCACTCATTGTCGAGGCGTTGACCGCTGTGACGAGCTTCCGAGCCCAGCGTGCTGTACAAGGTCTCCCAGGGACGCGAGGCGCACCGAGTAGGGGCGGTTCAAGTTGGCTGGGAGCTTTCGTCGAGGTAGTAGTAAGTACGGAGTAGTATGGTGCCAGTCTGCACGTATCATGTAACCGTGACCGATCAAGGAACGTTACTCAAGAGTCTGTGGCTGAAGGAGAAAGACAAACAAAATGGATTCGGCAAAAAAGGAAGAAAGGGGGGGGCCAGAAGACACATGCTCCGAGTTTCAAGCACAGCAGGGTATGGGTATTTTTCAGGCTAGAACTCACGAGAGCAACTCACGAGAGCAACTCACAAGAGCCTCTATCTCACCGACCACCCACTGGGAACTCTCTTGGCGGGCCCGGCTGGGCTGTCTCGACTCTTGCCAGACGATGTCTTGGCCAGACACCTGGATCTGCAGTCAAAGGAATCCTAACACCACGAGCCGGAGAAATCGTCACCTTTGTTTCCAGAGGCCGGCTCAAGCTAGTTTGGCAGCTACGAGTAGTGCTAGCGAATCCGGTCGATTGCCTCCTCAGAAACCAAAAACGAACCCGCTCCAGGTAACTAGAACACAAGCCGGATGTCCTGTCCCGTTTCCATCAAAACCAACGTTGTCTCTTCGGGATGCGACATTGAATCAGGACTATAACCCCAATCAAGTTCCACGGTCTTGTTGCCTTGGCAAGTCCAAGTCTTAATTCACCATGGATAAAGGCATGAGCAGGGCAACCTACCACCAGGTCTCGTCAACTTGGCTACAGTGTCGCCCTGGACGCAGCTGTCGGAACACAGCAACTAGGCTAATGATGAGGTCAAACGGCCACAAGTCCAACCAATCTTGGGTGCGTTTTTATCCGCAAAAGCCTGGTCATGGCATCTGGGAGGTTCCTTGGTGGAATGACGTCATGCGCACGCAGGCCCAGACATGATAAAAAGCTTCACGGTCAACAACAGGCTAATGGAATCATGTATTGTCACTCTTCTCCTCTAGCCAACCCCAACTAGGCAAGGACTCCAAGTACATGACCATAACACATGATGGGGGGGTCTCTAGAGGTAAAGGATATATGGATCAACGAGGACTGTGGCCTTGCTCCAAAATCTCTTGTCCAGATAAGTCATAATGATAAAAGGTAACTTTCTTGAATATTGTCCAACAAAGTAAAGACAAGTCATGCTAGCAACAGCCGCCCGGTTTACACGCCCCATTGCCAGTTATACTGAAGTCCAGCCAATCATCTAGGGGTTAGACGCGTACAAAGCAGTTGGTCGAAGCGAGCCTGGGCAAGTCTACACTCAAACTCGGCGCCACTACCGGACCCTAAATGCTGCGGCATAATTCCCGAAAACGTCGTCACGTCATGCTCATATTCTTCCCGGTGGGCGAAATCGCCGGATGCTATGGCACTTTTCCCCTCGGGAAACTACCTTGTCTCTTGGCGTTCTGGGCTGGAGCACTCGTCGGGCCGCTTCCAGAAGGGAAGAAAGAGAAGACCGGAGCGTGGCTAGCTGCTCCGACTTTGGAAGCGCGTTTAAGATTCTAGCCCTCGGAGCTGACATCGCTTTGCTCTCCTCCAAGAGCGACTAGGGCCCTTCAACCCATGTTGCCGCCTGGACCTTGAACGCCCTGCCATGGCTGCGCACTTCAAGACGAGCAATCAAGTCTCTTATTTCCACCGCCACGAGACTGCCGCCAAAGGCAAGGTCGGGGCGACTGGGGGCGTGTCAAATGTGCTCGTGAATAACAGCAACGACAAGCAGGGCGTGTGCGAGCGTCGGAAGGAGCCCGAGGATGAGACAGACGACAACGCCGGCTGAACGAGCGATTACGACCGAGAAGCCCGAGAAAAGGAGACAGTACACACCGACCGAGGCCGTGGAATTAGTTGGACGTGCATGTTGGGGGCGGGAATTGACCCCAAGTCGGGTGGTATTACGAGCGCCCAACCCTAACCCTTACAGTCACCGAACTTTGTCCGTTTGCAACCAACACGATATCTATCTGCCATCTTTTGGCTGCGGGGTTCCCTGGGGTTTCCCAGGCTGCGGCAGGGCCATGGGCGTCATTGACAGGCGCAGCATCCGTCTACAATAAAACCGACGAGTATTGCTCCTTGCCCGGGATTGCGTTCGGCGACGAGGGTCGTCTGATGAACTGAATTGTGTAGGAGCACGCTTTGCACCAAGCCACGCCGGAGTTGAGACACGACAGCCACGACCGACTCTTGCACGACAAGCCGGGTCGGTGCGACGTCGACATCATGAGGGCTCATCTCCTGGCCCTGACGATGCCCTTTGTTCCGCAAACCCTGGCCAGTTACGCCTTCTACGTTGGCAAGAGTCTCACGCAGGATGGTAGCGTCCTCGTCGGAGGGGCGGGCGAGGAGGTCTCGAGCCACTGGCTGCAACTATTCCCTGCTGCCAACCACACCCCCAACGAGACCATCACAGTGGGCGTCACGGAAAAGGCAATCATCCCCGGGGAGCTGATCCGCATCCCGCAGGCGAGCCATACCTTCCGCTACCTGAGCATGGAGTACTCGGACTTCGAGGGCTTCCCGGCGCCCCTGACCAACGGAGGCCTGAACGAAAAGGGGGTCGCGGTCAGAGACGTGTGGGCCAGCAACCGCGACGAGCTGATTCGCATGACACCCACTCCGCAGCGCGGCGTGCAGTACAGCGACATGGCGAGGCTGGTCATGGAGCGCGCAAGCACCGCGCGCGCCGGGGTGGAGCTGATACGAGACCTCATCAAGGACCACGGCGAGGCGACCTACGGCGGGAACACACACCTCATCGCCGACAAGGACGAGGGGTGGGTGGTCTGGGAGTTCGCCGGCGGCCAGGGACTCTGGGCGGCCGAGAGGCTCAACGCCTCGCAAGTCCGCGTCCTGTACCCCGGGTACATCCAGGCGTTCCCGGTAGACTTCGCCAACAGCACCGACTTCATGGGCTCGGACAACCTCGTCACCTTCGCCGTCCAGCAGGGGTGGTGGAGTCCGGGCTCGGGCGAGCCCTTCAACATCTTCAAAGTATACGGCCCCCAGGGGCCCGAGTACACAGCCCGCGACGGCGGCTTCAAGTACATGTCCCAGGCGGACTTGGAGGAGGCCACGCTGGCCATGGCGCCCGTGTCCGAGGCAGACCTCATGCGGAGAGTGCGCGACCACCGCATCTCAGACGACGAGGCGGGCTACGGGCAAGTCGTGTCCCTCCGCGAGGGCGTGGACCCGGACATGCTGAGGATCTGGATCGCCCCCACGGGCTCCGTCGCGTCACCGTTCATCCCGTGGTGGCTCGGGGGCCAGTCCATCCCCCCGGAGTTCGGTCAGCACCGCTACCTGACGACCGGCGCGTCGGGCAGCTTTGTCACGCCCGACTTCCAGCTCCAGGAGGCGTCTCGGTTCGCGGGCCGCATATTCAAGCGCGTCCTGTACTACATGTGTAGCGCGCCGGCGCAGCTCCTCCCCATTGTGACGGATATGCTGACGACTTTTGAGGGCGAGTCTGCCGAGCATCTTGAATGGGTGGAGAGAAGTGCCAGGGCGCTCATTGCCAGCGGCGAGAGGCACTCGGCGAGGCAGTTGATGACGTATTATTCGCGTTCGAGGGCCGCCAAGGCGCTCGACATGGGCGATGCCTTGAACAACGCGCTGGATGGGTTCATCAAACTGCGAGGGGAGTGGAGGAGCCCCCTGGGCAAGGAGATTAACGATGCTGGCAAGGGGGCGGAGACGGTCAACTGTCTGGTCGGCTTTGATCCTGATCGCCCGGTCAATAGGCAGGGACGGCTGAGAAGAAGGCTTGTTGCCTAAGAATACCTAGAATACGATTCGGTGCGCACCGTACGACGGCTCACCTCGACAGAGGGAGACGAAAAATCGGACTGCAGAGATGGCTCAGCAAGTTTAGATCAATCTTCTCAGGCTACTTGATACGTTCATGTTCCATTCTTTCACCGCGCGTCTCTTACCAACGCCCAGCACTTGCGCATTCCTGTGCCCATAGACTCCCCGTCCACCTCCTTACTCCATCTCGCGCCATCTCCTGTGCCGCATTCATCACCCTCTCCGAGTCGGAAGAGGTGCACATGCATGGTCAGCTTCAGATGCGAGAATAACCACGGCACACTTCCCAATTCTCCCACGTGCTTTGGAGTTTGGCCGTCCAATATTTCTCTAGCGTGCGACTTGGCCAAAGCTATGCGCTGTTTTGTCGAGCTATAATCTTCGTGATTGAGTAGAGTCTTGCTTGGAAACTCCCACAGTCCCGCTAGCAGGCCTTTTTCTGGTCGACGGTGGATGAGATACGACCCGTCTTGGCGCCGGATAGCGCACACGACAGTTTCTTCCTGGCGGACGGGCTTTTTAGCCGTCTTGAGGGGAAACTTGCGAGCGTAGTTGGAGATGGCTTCCTGTTGCGCTTCGTTCGTATCGGCGTCTTGCCTTTCGGGGCCGGATAGTCTGGCAGGCTTTCCGCCCGTGAATGAAAATGCCGCCAGGGTCATTTGCTTGGGACCTTTGCTCTTGTCTGCTGTCCTGGTATTGCGCTTTGCTTCTCGCAGGGCTGTTGGCTCTGGGTCGCTGTCCGTGTCCGGCTCGAAGGGCTCGCAGAGTGTACAAAGATCTTCCATGTCGCAGACGTCTTTTGCTTTGTTCTGCTTCATGTTCTTCGCCTCGTTGTATACGCGGCATGATGCGGTGACGGGACATTTTGAACAATCCGGCTTCGGGGTGCACACCGTGCTGCCTAGTTCCATCAGTGCTTGTCCCCAGCGACCCGGCCGATCAGATACCTCTGACATGTCTTCATTGTTCGGGTAGTCGAGGGCCACGGCCTGGACGAGGGCACCAGCCGCTGCCCAGATGGAATCGACGACTTTCTTGTCCGTTTTGATGTTGCCATATATGCCCAGCTGACGACTCAAGACACGTAGGACATTTCCGTCGACCATTGGGGCAGCGCGGCCGAAAACAATTGCAGAAATGGCGCCAGCTGTGTATCTACCTACACCAGGAACCTTGGCTTCAAGTTCAGCAGTGGTTGACGGCAGCAAACCTTGCATCGCCGAGTCCTCTACTACGAGCTTGGAAGCTTCGTGAATGCGTGTCGCCCGACTGTAATATCCCAGCCCTCGCCAGGCAGCTAATACGTCCTCTGGGTCCGCGGCGGCAAGGTCCTGGATTGTAGGCCACTTTTCCATCCAACGATTCCAATAGTCAATGACGACGGCGACCCTCGTTTGCTGCAGCATGATTTCACTGATCCACACTTCGTATGCTCGTCGTTCCATTAACCTTCTGAGTTGCGATGCATCGGGTTCCGAGGAAGGATTGATCCAGGCTTTACGCCAAGGCATGGCGCGGGCCGTGCAGACGGAGTCGAACCACGACAGCAAAGCCTGCCGATACTCGAGGCCCTGGATGCCACAGAGGAGTAGCGGTCTGTGGTACGAGAGCGAGTGCTGACGCCCGGACGAAGGGGAACACGGCTCTTGCGAAACAGCGCCGCAATTTTGGACTATGGAAACAAAACTGCTATTTCCTCTTTTCGCACCTGTATTCGAGATTTTGCGTCTCTTGGTGCTTCTCGACTCATTGTCCGATGGCCGGCCGTCATTTTCAGAACCGAAGCTGTCGTCGCTGTGTCGTGCCGTACTGAGGCGAGGTGAAGACGACCTATTTGCTTTTCGAGGCTGCGCAGAAGATGCTATTCTAGATGAAAGCCTTATTGGGCGTTTTCCGGCCATGGCCGGGCTCTTTGCGGCTTACAAGTTGGGTCGATGCAGAGCACATTGATGCCGTCGAGTCGTGGTTTGAAACGAACGCGTCGAGGTTGGCGTGTCTTAGGCCCACCGCGCGTAGAGTGCCGTTCGTAGCGCGGCGATTCGTAGCGCGGCGTCACATGTCGTGCATCGAACATCGGCCTTGAGCAGCGACGTAGTCTGTACGATTATGTCGTACAAACGCGGGCGGATACCGGGTCAAATGCCCGCATCCCAATTCTATTGTATGAGTTTGCAACCTGGGTCGCCGGTTCTAACAACATCAAATTGACATCGTGCCACCGGTACCTGGCCGTCATAAGAGACCACCACGGATCCGACGAAGCGGAACTGCGGGTTCGTAAGCGTCAAGTTTTGGCCTAGGACTGCAGTACGGATCAGCCTCCCAGAAGGAGCTTCACGACTGCAACCCAGACCTCGATATGGGACTTGAAGGCATAGCTGACTCAAAGTACATACTGGGAAGCGGGCAGCATCGAAGCTTCCAAGGTGACAATTGCCGTGGAGATGCATTAAATTTGGAACAACAGGGCATCCTGCCGAAATGCAATATCTGGCCAACGGTTAGCTTGGTGCAAGTCGAACACTTGGTGCGGTAGCAGCAACCAGCTTGAAACCCCAAATGGCTCAATTCTTCCGACCCAGACCCTCTGGTGAGGAGAAGTTGGAGTCGACTTTGTCCTCGCAACGAGCGCGGCGTGCTTCCTTGGCGACGACAAACTGTTGAACTGACAAACCGGCCAAAGTACGACGCCACGACACGTCGCGTGCGTCGAAATCTTTGTACCAGGAGCCGCCGTCTGATTACGGCTAGAATTCGATTGTCGAAGTGTTTTGGTGTTTCACGTCTGGAGTCTGGACGGGAGCCAAGCGTGGGGGACGCCGCAGACAAAACGTGCCATTGCAACGTGGGGGTCATATTCCCAGGACCAAGCACGCGGAAGGAGCAATCAAGCGATCCCGAACGTCGGCAGGGGCGGCAGGCGTAGATCCATCAGACACCGGCCCAACGACGCAGAGATTCCATGTGAGCCTAGTCAACAACTTCGCTTGCTTCCACCTTGCTCTTCGTCTGCTGTCATGGAATTTTTGACCGGGTGCTGCTCACAGTCACAGCCCTGCTTCGCTACCACCCACCCACCCACTCGCCGAGACTACGGAGTAGCGCGTCCCAGCATTGAAGCGACTCGACGCCCTCCTCCACCTTGGGGGTCAAGCTGGCAGAAGCGTCTCCATGCATATTCCGTATGGAACGACCAATTGCCGGCTGCTACTCCAACCCGCCGGATGCAAGGAAGCCAGACAAAAACGGAATGGGCAAGGAAGTCTAGCGGCGGTGAAACCGGAGCCCGTCCAGGAGATAGATAAGCCACCGTTTCCAATGTCGGCTTTGGAGTCGTTGCCAAAGCCTCTCATCCGTGTACCGCCAATCCAGCAACCACGATGTCGCGCAAAACGGGTTTGGAAAGAACAAGCTCACGGCCCATAGCCATGTCCGACCGAGGCTCGATCCACGCCGACGCAGTTGTCGATCCTGCCCTGAACAAAGGTGACGGCGGTGAGATCACCCAGATTCAGGGTGACGCACACTTATATGAGACCGTCACGGCTGCGCCCCTGGATCCTTGGTCCAAGACCAGCTTGCAGCTCTACATGATCTTGTTGGTGGCCGCACTCAACGCCACTGCTTCTGGTTTCGATGGCGTATGTTCGAGTCTGATGAATCTAATTCATGCCGTTTGGCTCATCTCTTGACGGGTCTTCCAGTCCATCTTCAGTTCCATCAATGCCATGGATCAGTACAAGGCCTATTTTCATCACACCGAACTTGGGTCTAGCACTGGCATGTTCGTATTCCCACTCTTGGCTTTTGCTGCACGATGCTGAGTTGGCCCCAAACCAGAATCTTCATGATCTACACCATTGGCAACATGATCGGATCGCTATTCACGGGTCCAATCTGCGATCACTTTGGCCGTCGAGTTGGCATGATGACTGGATCCATTCTGATTATGATTGGAGCTGCCGTCCAGACTGCTGCCCAGAGCGATTCCTACCTTCTCGGTGGCCGATTTGTCCTTGGATTTGGCGTTTCCATTGGAACGTCGTCGGCTCCTACCTACGCCCTTGAGCTTGCTCCTCCCCAGTGGCGCGCCCGTGTCGTCGGATATTACAATACCTGTGTGAACGACCCCATGCAAATGCCGATCACATCAGACCTGTAGCTGACAGCCTCATAAGTCTTCTATACCGGATCCATCCTGGCTACCGGCGTAGCATACGCCTCGGCCAAGAACGACAGCGAGCTTGCTTTTCGGTTGCCTCTGAGCCTGCAGCTAATCCCGCCCATCTTCATCTTGGTCGGCGCGTGTTTCGTCCCCGAATCTCCCCGGTGGCTCACCATGAAGGGCAGGAAAGAGACAGCCGCTTCCATCTTGGCCAAGTATCACGGGGGTGGCGACATGCAACACCCCATGGTCAAACTCGAGATTCGAGAGTTCGAGCAAAACATCGAGTTGCAGAAGGCTTCCAGCGTGTGGAACTACTGGGCTCTTGTCGACACGCACAATGCCCGTTGGCGGTTCGCCATGATGGCGTGCATGTCCATCTTTGCTCAGATGGCGGGAAACTCGGTTTTGACCTACTATCTGCCGTCCATGTACAAGCTGGTGGGCATCCAGACGACGGAGAAGCGACTGCTCCTGACCTTTATGAACTCAATTGTCTCTTGTGCCGGCGCTGTCGCTGGATCGGCGACGAATGATGGCATCGGTAGGCGAACCAAGCTGTGGGTTGGCAGCATTGTCCTGGCAGGACTCTTTGGCGGCGTGACTGGCTTTTCCAGCCACTTTGAGAACAAAACCACGGTTGTCAGCTCGGCCCTCTCCAATGGCGGTGTTGCTTTCATCTTCCTTTTCGGATGCGCCTATTCGTTCGTCTACACCCCGCTTACTGCCACCTACTGCGCCGAAGTTCTGGCCACGCCTACTCGTGCGAAGGGAATGGGAATCCATGTCATCCTCTCCAACTGCGCCAACTTGTACAATACATATGTTACAGCTATTGCGCTGGAATCCATCGACTGGAGATACTACCTCATCTTTGTCGGCCTGAATCTTATCTACGGCGCCGTATGGTTCATCTTTGGCGTCGAGACCCGTGGCCGAACCCTCGAGGAAATGGACGACGTCTTCAATTCCAAGTTCCCACCTCGGGCCGCCCTCCAGAAGGCCGTCATGCTACGACAGGGGAACGGACACTTGCAAGGACTGGGTGGGGGTGATGTACAGGGCTCGAGTATCTCTCGATGATTTTGGGACAGACATCTTGCTTATGTGCTCATATCAAAAACATGTACATGAATCAGAATGAAGCTGGCCAAACCACCCACTTCTCTCAGCGGCTCCCAATGGCAACGGCCTCGGCAGCGGATGTCGCAACACTCCCATGGCAGCCGGCGTAGACGTCGTTTGCGAACAAAGCGTGGGTATCGGCATTGTTGAGAGAGTCGGCTGCGCTCAGTCCCATGACATTATAGTAGCGGTAGCCGAGGTCATCGGCGTCCTGAATGTCACGCAGTTGCGTCATGTCGTGCCGGTTGGCAATGGCCGAGGAATGGACGGGATGCCGGATTGAGCGAGTCTGAATCAGAGAAGCGTTCAGGCAGCTAGCCAACGAGGATAGACTGCGCACAACACCAGACGGCACACAATAAATATTATTGCCATGTAACCGCTAAGGCGGTGCTTGATAACATGAAGGGGACGCCTGTTACTACGACTCCATTGCGTGCTCGAGGGAATCTCGGCGCCGGCAAACCAGCCAATCTCAAAAGCGACATGACACCAATACCCAAAGCCCACGACGTTTTTATTCCGAATTGCGCCTCTTGTAATAAGTCGACGCAGTTTGTGATGTCGCTCGGCAATCAAGCAACATTGGCTCCGCCGACGATGAATCACGGCCGCGACAGCATCTTGTGAATCTGCTGCACGTACCAAAGCTACGAGGCAGTTGCTCGTGTCAGTCTCGCGGTAGACAACGTATACGGACAGGTCCAGGCGTGTGAGTACTCACAATCTCAGCACTGCCAGCGATGGACTTGATGCCAAGCAAGCTGTTGAGCCACGACGGTGCAACCCTCTTGGCGTACAGCCTGGCTTCGTCGTCGTTGACGTCCTTGTTGAAAATGGTGTTCTTGGGGAGCTGGGGGTCGAGGACGGCCGGCCGACCGATGCCGACGAGATCGCAGGCGCCGTCCCTGATGGCGGCCTCCATGCCCCGGCGCGAGCGGAAACCGCCCGTCAGCATCAGGGGCACGCCCTTGAACCTGTCGCGGATGGCGTGGGCGAATTCGATGAAGAAGGCCTCGCGGGCCGCAGTCCGCTCCGACACGAGGGGACCCGGGTCGACTTTGCCCGACATCATCTAACCGCGGGGATTGCTGATGAGCGACGAGGAGGGTCGCGGGTCGCGGGTCGCGGGACAAGAAGACTCACCTCGGGGTTCTCGTAGGTGCCGCCGCTGATCTCGAGAAAGTCAACGCCAGCGGCGGCAATGGCCTCGAGCTGCTCGACGCACTCGTCGAGCTCCACCCGGCTCTGGTGGTCGACGCTGTTGAGCTTGATGCCGACGCAGAAGTCGCGGGGCACGGCGCCCCTCACGGCCTCGAGGATGTCGAGCACGATGCGGGCGCGGTTCCGGGGCGAGCCGCCGTACGCGTCGGTCCTCCTGTTGGTCCTCGGGCTGAGGAACTGCGCCAGCAGGTAGCCGTGGGCGGCGTGGATCTGGATGCCGGCGAACCCGGCGTCGTGCGCGAGCCTGGCGCCCTCGACGAAGCGGGCCACGACGTGTCGGATGTCGTGGGCGTCCATCTCCCTCGGGCTGCCGAAGACGAGGGCGCTCAAGAGGCGGGCGACGAGCCCGTCGCCGAGCCTCACGGGCACGACGCTGGGCGCCATGGTCTTGCCGAGGAAGCCGTGGGAGCCGGCGCCGGGCATCGACTGGCGGCCGGGATGGTTCAGCTGGACAATGGTGGGCGTGCCGCTCCTGCTGCAGGAGGCGGCCCATTCGCGCCACGAGGCGAGCAGCTGGTCTCGCGGGATGCCGGCGTTGACGGCGTTGTCGTCGGGCGTGCCGAGGTAGGCCTCGTCGACCTGCACGTTGCCAGTCATGACGAGGCCCCAGGCGCCGTCGGCCCATGAGCCGTACGCCTCGACGAGCCCCTTTTGGGGAAGCTTGTCCTTGTCGCCCCATCCCTCTGCCATGGCCGCCTTTGCCAGCCGGTTGGGCATGGTGAGTCCGCAGGGGAGGGTGAAGGGGCTGGCGAGCTCGAGATCCATGGCCGCGGTGTCGGAGCCTGCCTGTCCTCGTGAGCCGACTCCTGGCAGACTACGAGACTGCGAGACTGCGAGACTGCGAGACTGGGAGACGCAGCGCCGTCGTGTATCGCAGCCGGTCAGGCATCTCGGCGACGACAAGGGCGTGCGTCGTGGTTATAAGCTGCGATTCCTCCACCGGGTCGGGCGGATTATTGCGCCGCAGCCAAGAGCTTCATGGCCCCGGCGTTCCGTTGCCGCCATTCTGCGGACACGGCATGCGAGGGTTTTCCAAACTGGCCTTGGACGGAAACCCCGACGGACCCTCGGCTCAAAAAGTGTACGCGGCCGAACGCCGGCGCGGGCGCGGGCACGTGACGCGGACACGGGCCCCTTGGATTCCGTCCACCGTTTGGATCACGGACCGCGCGTCGCCGGGCCGAGGTAACATCAACTCACTTGCATCTTAAAACACGGCAACCTGGCAAAACGAGGTACCTTGGTCCTGTTGCTGCCTTTGCTGGACTGGCTCTGGCTATGCCGGCCGGGGATCACTCGAAAGGACTCGACCCGGCCTTGGAGACTATTTGCCGCGAGCGTTATGGGAGTGTTTCGAAGCGGTGCGAGGAAAACATAGAACAATGCACCGAAGCCGTTGGCGAGGCCCTGAAGGACAGTTGGAGTCGGCATACCAAGGGGAGTGATCTGGTCGCTGTTTGCGTTGATGCGATTTGGGATGATTGTTACAAGAACAAATATTGTCCCTTGGGCCTGAGCTGCACGGCCCTGCCCATAACGATGAATCTCCCGCCTACGGTATACATATATATACATATATATACATAGATATATATATATATATAAATTATATAGTAGACAATAAATATTGCATAGGGTCGCTCACACAGGTATTATGCTACAGGTAAATGGACATATTCAACAAGTCTGTCCGTGTCAGGAAAAGAAAGCTGCCATGTAGCTGTGACCCGCGGTCACGACATTCATATGTAGTGTCGTGGGCCGACGCCGACGCACCAAGGCCGCCGCACAACGCGGCTCAAGTCATCGACATCGCAACAGTTTTGGAGGAATTTTCAACAACTCTTGTATTATTTACTAGTTTTCAAGTGACAAAAACTGACTTGGCAGCGTTTCGTGCAGCTTGATTCATGCGCCACCGGAAATCGCTTTGCAAATCGTACAGCAACGGCAAATATTCGTCCGTCATGCCCCATTGCTCGGCCTCGTCGTCTGTAACGACTTTGTTGCAGCACTGCATGCGGTGCTGGGCGATGACTAGGACTTTAAAAGCCGCTAGTTGTTGGTCGTCACCATTTGAAAGCACTGCTACGCCTTGGACTTTGTCGTCGTCGGTAGCGGGGTTGAGTCTCGCCACAACGTTTCGAAGAAGCTCCCGTTGCTTGTCCTCTAGGGGCAGTTCGAGCTCAAAGTCGGCAAATGCGAGCCCAAGGTCGGCCATTTCGTCGCCGCCGTGGCCGTGGCCGGGGCCGGGGCCGGCACAAACTGGCCAAGCCAAGGGTCCTAGCTGGACAACAAAGAATCCGTTCTCTTTGAGGAATCTGACACCCTGGCGGTTAGTATGGTCACGAGGAGTGGCAGAGATGAGCCTCGTGAGGAAGCCGAATTCATCGACGCTTATGGGCTTAAGGTCAGAAAGCCCAACCTCTTGGGCACGTTTTTCGAAAGAGTTCGGCCCACTGGTAAGTTGGTGAAACCTGTCCAGTATTCCCAACGAGTCCCCGACGCCGGTAGCGTCCTCGAGTCCAAGTTGTCTGGGTGGGCTCTCTATGCTCAAGAATACATCTGCCAGCATAAAGGCAAGCAGTCGAGCCTCGTCATTTTTTTTGGCCATGACAAGCACGCGCTTACCCGCTCCAAGGACGTGTCCGATGGTTTGAATGGCGTTTGCTGTCCAATATTCGAGAGGCGACTGAAGCTCAAGGTAAACGTGCTTGAGCCCCATTTCCCCATCTTTGGCGACCAGAGCGTGTTGGGATGGTGCGAAATAGACGATGTAGTCGTAGTCGCCATGGCTCATGCCGTCATACGCGCCCTCTCCCGTGATGGTAACGTCAAGCTCTGCAGCTTCCGGCAGGTCCTTGACGTCAAACTTGGCTTTTAGTTTCTCAACAGTGCCCGAGGGGTTTCCTGAGTTGTTTTGAGGTGTCGGGTGCGGTCGAGGCCGGTTACCGCTAGCTCCCGTTCCCGTGCTGTACATCTCCTTGACGCGCTTTAGGAACCTGCCCAATTGTTGTTTTGCGTATTTCGTCGGTAGTCGAGTAACGAAAAATCGAGCCAGCTCCTCCGTTGTGATCTTCCGAGACGGGTCGATCCCTTTGGAGTAAACTATCCACAGCATGGCGAGCAGAGGCCCTGCAACCTCCTCACTTGCCTGGCTCCCACAAAGAATCAAGACGCGATATTCTGCGCCGGAAAGCAGAAGGATTTGTTGAATTTTAACAACGAGCTCATCGTCGACTTCGTCTGTTGTTTTGATTTCGTATACTTTAATGCCCCTGGATCGAAGGCGTGTCACGACTTCAGGTGCGTTCGTGTCGAAAACAACCACGATAAATCTCTCGTTGGTGACAAATCTAGCAAGCTGTACCGGGCTTTCACCGGAATTAAGTGACCAGTCACCGATGGCAATCATCCTGTTGCCCAATTCAGCGCGCTCCCTAATTTTAAAATTGTGTATGCCAGCTTCAGGAGCAGACTTTACATAGATAGCATCTAGTGGTGCTTGATTAGTGACCGTCTTTACTCTTCTGGGATTAACTTGTTCACTCACTCTGGCGCGTCTTCAGCTTTGATGCTCGGTCTCTCATGTCCCATATCAGATTTGAGAGTTTTACATCTGGAAGCTCTGGTTTCGTCAAAAAAAGCACTGGTCGATGTTCGTAGACGACCTCGACAGCGAGACCGTCCAACTCTGGGGACTCGTCTCGCCTTGTAGCCGTGCTTTTGATGACCACGGCGCGGAGCGCTGCGGCCATCGCCATTTCTTTCAAGGAGCCAACAGGGCCATCTAATAGCACTACAATGAAGGATGATTTGCGGACGACTTTCACCAGCTCCTCGAATCTGGTCTGGAACTGATCGAAACGTTGCCCAGTCGGATGGAGGGTAGCGCGGCCGATCTCCCCGCGGATGACCCAACGAAAGTCGACGACGTTAATTAGCGATTTGCCGCTTGCTTCAATTTCTCCTGGTGAAGGACCTAAAGCCCCAGATCAGCACTCCATCATGGCCCGAGTGTTGGACCAAGACACTAGGACCTGGCCCTCTGATGCCAAGGCCACAGTGTGCAAGATTCGAATTGTAATACATACATTTTTGTGCCTGGATGGCAGCAGCAGCCCCAAGGAGCAGCGCAAGGCTCTTGAGCAGCATGGCTGTGCCGTGTACAAGGATTACCTGCTGCTATAGGCTCTTTTCATATATTAATTAAGCAAGTTTAGTCGGATGAGTAGAAGGAACGCCCTCCCAAGCAGGCTTCCTGCGTGGTTGGGTTATATATGCTTCGCGCCGGGCAGCAGGCTCGCTCTCCAATGCCGGAATCCGGGCGCCCGACATTCCGCGAGAAGTCGAGCCATGCGGCAGGAAGACCGTGGAGTGGAGCGCTGGGCGCGACTTTTCTTCTTCTCGCCTGATTTTAATATAAATGCATGACGCTCGGCGTCTCAGGTCTTGGTCCGGCTGCACAAGAGCATGTTTATGCGCCTAAACTCTCGGATTAGAAAAACCATCAAAAAAAAAATCAATGCCTCGAGGCAAAGACGTCCCATTCATCAAAAGGACTTGGCCAACCCCTGCTGTTGGTCTGCAGAGGACTCGGAAGGGCAAAGAGGTCCGTCCAAGCGGTGTGGAATTTAGACGTCACCGAAGCCGAAGCCAAGACCGTAGACACCCAGTGCCGACAGTTGGGGAGCCAATGGCAGATGGACATCGGGTCGATGCCAGCTAGGCCCCGGGAAGCAAGTAGAGACTTGGTTTTCCAAAAGATCCTCGTGGTCAGAGGCTTGCATTCATCCAGCAGCCTTCTGCCCTAGGTCTTGTCATCACAGCCCTTGTGTCACCCAGATCCGTATGCCAGCCAGCTTGTCCGGCCCTGTTGTCCGGCCGCCACGGCTTGATGGCTGACGCAAGACAGGTGATAACCCAGGAAACAACACGGTCCAAAAAAAGGGAGGCCCGCGGCCCTGTTTCGGCAGGCATTGGATTGGAGCCCCGGAACGGAGTTTTCCGGCAAGAGGACACTTGTGTAGCACCGCCACGCTGTTGACAAGGCCACTTGGATTCGAAAGATGACTGGGGAGGGCCAAGCAAGCCAACCATCCATCACTGGGACGCTGACCGAGCTAGGGCCAAGAACAAAGAACAGATGGCCTCGGTGTCGTGTTTTCATGGTCGAATCTTGAATTGCTGTTACAACACGTTTCATTTCGCCGCCTTGTACGGGTATATTTTACGCCGGCTGTTTTGGCCTTACTCTTTACACCCTCAGTATCTGGGCTGGAGCCAGCATTGATCACAAGGTCAACGCTGTCTTTCTTCAAAGAAGCCTAGGGACTCAGTAGGTCTAGTTCGACTGCCTGAGGGCTCGAGGACACACCATTTCTCGGTCGCCAACTTCCTCGCCGTCCAAGGCCATGACCTGGTACTCGTCGCAGGCCTGAATCGTCCTGCTTGTATACTAAGCGCCAAGTCAAAGTTTAGACCGTGCTCGTCGACTGGCTGTACCACGTGCAAGGTGTACTGATACTTGTGGCTGGGCTCTTTACGCATACCCTAATGAAGCAAGTTCTAGTAGAGTGAGCAGAAAGATACCCCAGCGGGCTTCTCGCCTGGCGTTTACGCTCGGGCAGAGCGCCACGGCCAGACAGAGGAATCCCAAAGCAAGCAACACTAGTTAACAAAGCTTCAAATGGTGTCGACGCAGGCTCTTGGCTCGTCGTCGACATCCTTTTGCCACAACCAAGACACGCCCTCTCCGCCACGCTCGCCGGCAGCGAGACTCTGAAGACCCAGAGACCTGAAGCCCAGACGGCGGGGAATTGCGGCGCTTCGATGGTTGAGCTGATGGTGCCTGATTTGAACATGGCCGGCGCCCATGTCAAAGGCCGTGGTGGCCAGAAGCGACGCGGCGCGAGTCGCGAATCCGCGGCCGGTGGCTTCGTCGGCGAGCCAGTAGCCAATCTCGAGGGTGCCGGGCGCCTTGGTAGCCGGTGCCATGAGCCCAAACGAGCCGCTGATGCGGCCGTCGACGATGACGGCAAAGTCGTACGCCTCGCCCTTCTGCCATGCTCGGGTCGTAGAGTCGAGGAACTGCCGGGCCTTTGCGAGCGTATATCCGTCGGCAGCCCACGGCATCCACCGAGCCAGCTCGGCGGCCGAGTTGCTCGCCGCTGCGTAGAGAGGCCGCGCGTCGGAGAGCTGCCATCTTCGCAGGGTCAAGTCGTCCTGGACGAGGTGTTCTGGCGGCGGACGGATGAAGCCCGTGTTTGTCATGTTGGCGGGATGCCTGAGGCCGTTGCGGCGCAACACGAAGAGAGATCAAAGGCGGGACCAGACACGCCTGGCCGGGTGATCGAGTGCGTGTTGTAAATTGCAACTACAACGCCTCAACGCGGATGAGTCGGATCATACGCTGTGTCAATTGAGTCACAGCCGGCACCCTGTGTGACGTGGGCAAGACATTGTCACGCCTCCACCGAGCTTGGCTACAAACTGCCACTTGATATATACTTTGTGCGCTTGTTTTAGCCATGTCCGCCTTATCCGGTATGGTGTAGTGGCTAACATCGCTCGCTCTCATTCGTCAGAGTTGCCGAGCAGCCCAGGGTTCGATTCCCTGTACCGGAGCACACGATCTCATCTTTTTTTAATCTCATGTGCTATGGTTACTGATGATCTAATTTTTTTCTTCATCTTCTCCATCAAGGACACCTCAGAGTCGGGAAATTCCATGTCCTAAAATGATGGGGCATTTCCCAAGCAAGGGAACCACATGATGCTACAGCTGCCACAACGCTGTCAGCTAACGACAAACGCCGCCAGGGGGCAGGACAGGCTCGCCGAGCGTGTCCAACCAGCACAAAAGCATCGTTAAGAGCCGATACCGGCCAAGAGGCCTGTCCAAACGAAAGACGTTCGCTTCTGTTTTTCAATATTCGTCCCGGAACAGTACGCGTCGGCACGTGTAGGCGTCGAAGCACTCGGGGTCGAGCGTGCTGATGCAGGTGTCGTGCGTGCCCATTCGCGCTTCCGGAGGCTCTCGTCGTCGCCCTTGTGGTCCTTCCAGTGCTGCCTCATGTGCGCCAGCGTGTCGCCGGCGCCGCTGCCGTCGAGCATGCTGCCAATGTCGGTGTAGACGCGGCCGCTGTCGCACTGCGCGGGGTATTGGCCGTTGCAGTTGTTGGCCCAGAGGCCGGGCGCGTGCCGCGGCGCCCTGTAATGCTAGTTGGTGGGCATTAGGTGTATTGATGCTTGTCTTCTCTAAGTTTTATGATTAAGTCCACCCCGTAATTATGCCCCTCATTTCCCTAGGTCATATGACTCGTCCCACTTTCCTCCTTAACAGCCCGAGGCAGCCACGAGCACGAGCGGGGAAGAAGCTGTTTTTGACACGAGCAAGGTAGGGCCCGTCGCCGACGCGGACACGACACGACACGAATCGAATCGAATCGAATCGTCGCTGCTGCTCGTGCTCGGCCCATTGACGGCCGCCAGTGTCCAAAGTCTGCCTCCGAGTTGCTAGTCTGTCCCACGTGTCCCGACCGGAACCAGGCCATCAGCAGCCGTCACGACCAAGCTATCCTGCGACAAGAGCGTACACTGCTGTCCATCAGTCATAGGTCGCGTCTGTTTCTAGCCAAAAATCACATATATACACATCCAGGCCAATCGGCCTCGTCTATCAAGCAGCCCATCTATTTTCTGGACAAGTCTCGTGACAATGCGCAACAACGACACCCCGCGCGTCTTCCAAACACAAGACCCAGCACCCAGCATGCTATGCCGGCTCTTCCAGTGCCAACCTGACCGTGTCCGACTTGCTAGATCTGTCGTACAAGTAGGCAAACAACAGCGAGGCGAAGAAAATGTACGCCGACGAAAGGCCAATCCAGACGAGCTCGGCCTTGTAGGCCCGGTTCCACTCGAGTCTCGCGGCGCTCTCAATGTCGTCGGCGTTCAGCAAGCCGATGCCCTCGTCGACCAGGAACTGCCAGATATGGTCGCGGCGCGAAATGGGCCACGACGGCAGAGACCAGTACCTGGACGTGAGGTTCCTCGCTGCCGCGGCTTGCAGGGCAGCTCGGATGTCGTCTTTTCGGCCACTCGAGAGACCACCGCTGGTGGCTGGCCTAACGGTGTGCATCAATGGTGCCGACGCCATGTAGAACTTGGCAAGCGGCCGGCCGAGGAGGGAGTCGACGCGGCAGTCGGCAAGCTTGCCGTAGTTGGACTCGTCGGCGAGGGCGTCGATGGGTGCGTCGAGGAAGGTGTCCCCGTACCGTTTCAAGGCGTCGCAGCCGACGCCCGTGACGTTGGACTTGCCGATGTTGCCGGAGGCGACAATCGTGATGGGACCCTGCTTGAAGACGGGCTGCGATGCCGGGTCGGATGTGCTGTTGCCGTATTCGAGGGTTGAAAGGTAGCCGCTCTTGCGAAGGGGCTGGAGCTGCTGGTCAACCAGTGGCCAGATGTGCGTCGCGTTTCCCTTGACGTCGATGAGAAGGACCAGGGTGGTGTCGGGTGACGTCTGGAACATGCCGTTGGGGCCGCCATCGAGATGCGAACCGTTGCCCGGGTTCAGCCCGTCGAGGATTTGCTTGATGGGATCGAGGTAAAGGGTTTGCAGGGTCCGGTCTGGCGACAGCGCCGAGGGTTGATGCCCGACGTAGAGGTCGTTGCCGTCCGGGCTCAGCCACACATCTGCCTCGACGCTCATGCAACCGGCGGCCAGAGCCGAGTACAGCGGACGGGGCCGCCAGTAGTCGTTGTGCGAGTGGACGGGCACGGGGATGACGGATTTTGCGTGGTCGTTGAGATAGGTTTCGGGAGAGGGGCCCGCGGCATCGGCGGGGTTGATGGAAATGAAGTTGTGCGATTGCGTTGACCTCATGGCCTTGGGCTGGGCGGCCCAGGTGATGACTAGGATGATGCCGCTTCGCAGACGAGCCTGTGTCAGTTACACGAGGTTGACCGGACGGAGAGCTCTGCCCATGCTCGTCGTGTGAAGGGACAACTTACATGGTCAGGCCAGTTCCGCCGCTGGCAATGAGCCACAGGAGCAGTGACCGAGCGCAGAGGATTTCGTATTTGGTAGGGTCCGAATGCCGTGGCCGTGGCCGTCGCATCTGGCCATGTCGTGAGCCGTCGTCTTGTGAGATGATGGTCTTTTCTGGCCCTGTTGGGCTGGCCACCATGGCTCGGCCGTGTTTGGTGACTTCCATTCTCTGCGTCGCCGGTCAAGAGTCCATCGTGGCAGCCTTGTTCCCCCCGTATCAAGCAAGCAGCGGCAGTCTTGAGATGGCGGCGACAGAGGCCAATGAATCACGCGCGCCAAAGACAGGACGGCGTCGTCCACGAGTTGCAACTGCCCTCACTCGGGAGCAGGGCCGTCATTAATAATGCCCACGCTGCATCATGCATGTCGCGCAGTGGTCAGCAGCGCATGCTCAGCCCTGCGAGGTGCTGCGCCGGATGGAGAAGCGTGAGCATTCATTCCGGCCCTGGGTGCGTGCTGTGCAACGAGGCCACTCACGACCGAGGTCTCGCCCACGGTCCATGGACTCATGGACTCATGGACCATGCAGATGGTATCACGTCTGCTCGGCGTGTGCATGCTACCGAGTGGCGTCAAGCGCTCGCTGGCCACGCCGCCGACTCCCGTCGAGCCAGGGGGACGAGATGAGACGAGACGAGATGAGTCAAGTCCCAAACGAATCGAACCAGTTCTTGAGGCCCAAGTGCGCCCGTGGGGCCACTGTACGGTCGCACATTAGCTTGCATCCGCAAACGCTGCCACTACGATTTTCCGATTTTCTAATTTTTAGATTTTTTAAAAGTGCAGAGTTATATAGAAAAAATTCATCCTACCTTAATATATAAATTAAACTTTATACTATAATTATTTTAGATTTATATTAAAACTAGTTCTATATTATTTCTAAATTATTTCTAAATTATTTCTAGATTATTTTAAAATTAATTTTAAATTAATTCTAAATTATTTTCTACTTTAATATACTAAGACTATATAGATAGCTTAAAAGTCTTAGAGAGACTATTTAATAATCTCTTTAGTATAGTATATTTTATAGAGATATTTTATCTTAAGTTAATAAGCTTCTTAATAAATAAAATAAAGATACTATTAGCCTTTAAATATTATAATACTAGCTTTTAGCTTAAAGGCTTTTAGGTATTTCTAGAGTATATATAAGAAGCTTAGAGCCTTTATATAAAGAGATTTTAAAACTATTTATATAAGAGATACTAATTAAATTAATTTACTACTTTATTAATAAAATTCTTTAGCAATATAATTAGTAACTAGTAAGCTTATATATACTAGAGATATAGCTTTCTTACTAGAGATTAATATAGCAGCAAAATATATAAATTATAAATTAACTTATTAAGTAGATTTAATTCTACTTCTTTTTCTATAGATATTCTAATTAATTAATTCTTTAGAATTTATAATAATATAATAACCTTTAATATTTATTATATACTATTTATAAGGTTTACTAGTAGAATTATATAAAAAGGCGTATTTAAATAAAGTAAAAGTAAATTTAAATTCTTTCTAAAGCAATTTAATTTCTTAAAAAGAACTTAAAGTAAATATTAGTAATTTATAAATTTAGTTATAAATATCTTTACTACTATATATAATAAAAAGTATAAGTACTAATTTTATAAAATTAGCTTTATAACTTTTATTAAACTATTTTTCTAGAGAAAGTTTAATACTAAAGAGAAAGTAATATATAGTATTATACTAACTTTTAAGTACTTAAGCTAAATTTTCTATAGTGCCTAGATAAATATAAGAAACTTAAGAAATATAGTATTTAAATATATATATATATTAATATATACTTATACTATATTATTTAGTTTTACTATAGTTACTTCACTATAACTATACTAAGTATACTTAAGTAGTATTTATTTATAGTTTAATGCCTTAAAATATAGCTATTCTTTATAAAATTAAATTATAGTATTAAGACTTCTTTATAAGTAGTAGTATAAGTAATACTAATATTTACTAAAACTAGTTTAGTTTTCTATTATAATATAAATAGAAATTAGTTCTTACTTATATAAAAAGATTAAATTACTTTATACTATATATATAGTTCTAGTAAATAAAACATTAAAATTAAAAGCTAGTAGTATTACTTCTATATAAGTACTTCTAACTAATAAATATCTTTCTTCTATAAATTAGCTAAGTATACTTTATTTATTAAAGGCAATATTAAAGACTAAATTACTCTTTATATAGTATATATACTTTTTATTTAAGATAAGTTTGCTAACTTTATTACTTTATAAAATAGCTATAAAATTTATATATAAAGAAATTATTAGTATATTAAATCTAGAATTTCTATAGACTTATATTATATATAAAATACTTTAAACTAAAGTATTTTACTAAGTTTTAATAATAATATAGCTAATTAATAAGCTTTATATAATATGCTTATACTACTTTATAAAATTAATAGAAAACTAAACTAGTTTTAGTATAATTTTAAGCTATATATAAAATTTAATCTTTAAGGCAATCTACTTTTATAAAACCTCTAAAGGCAAATATAAGACTTTTAGGACAAAGAAATTAATAGTAGCTAGCGCTTTTATCTCTTCTAAATAAGTTACTATCTCTCTAGGCTATAAGTATAACTTATAGAACCTTCTATTAAAGAAGACTCTACTTGCTCTTTAAGCTATATAGTATTATTAGCTATAAAGCTTATAAAAGGTAAATTATTAAAGCTTATTAAACTACTCTACTTAATTAAGTAAATTAGTAAAGCTAATAACTTTATATTTAGAGAGAGTATTATAGTTAAAAGTAAATTAAATATACTTAAAGTTAGTAATTATAGTAAATTAAATTAAGTCTTATTTATATTCTCTTATTATAAATATAGAAAATAGAAATATATCTAAACTAATATATAGCTATTTTTAATATTCTATTTATATATATTATTCTTATAAAATAAGTTAAAGACTATATATAATATAGTATATATTTAAGGTAGAAGTTAAAATAATTTAGCTTACTTAAACTATATTTATTTAAGCTTAAAAGAGATATTATTATTAAATTATACTATAAAGCTTAGTTAAATATACTTATTTATTTATTGCTTTTTATATAAAAGTTTATTATTAATATTTAACTATAAAAGTAGCTAAAGTTTAATTAAGCTTAATAAAACTAGTTAGTATAAATATAAAAGCTAGTTTTAAATTAGTTTATAATTAATTTATATTTGTATCTCTACCTAGCTTATTTATTTTTTTAGAAATAAAAAAGCCCTCTTAAAAGGTACTAACTAATAGTAGTAGAATAAGCTAAATAAGTAGCCTAGCTAGATTATACTAAGAGTTTTTTTGTGTGCTTAAGCAAGTTGCTTATAATGCTTTATTAGCTCTAGCTTAAAAGTTCTTCCTAAAGTTACTTATATAATTTTATTTTGTTTATATAAATAGAATATAGTAAGAATATTATTAAGCTTTTATTTATCTTAATAAATTAGAACTAGACTAAGACTACTATAAATCTAGTTTTAAATTAATTTTAATTAGAACTACCTAGGAAGTACTATAGTAGAGGCAAAATTAAGTATCTAGATATTAACTTTAAATCTTATTATATATATAATATAATGCCTTAAAGTAATATTTTTACTGCTAGTTATATAATATTTTGCAGTAAATAACTAGAAGAAAAAGATAGAATAAAGAGTAAATTAAAAAGAGAAAAGAGGGAAT